AGTTTATAGGTTAGTATAAGTAGTAAGGAATGCCGGCATGTAAAAGCTCTTACCAGTCTGTTTTGGTAAATTTGACAAGAAACCAGAAATTTGTCTAAAAAGCGAGACTCATCAGGTACAGTTCGCTAGACCTTGGGTAGGTTTCGTCTCGAGACTGTACGACCTACCCCGTAAGAACTTTTACGTGTTGATGTTATATCATAATTTAAATTTCAAGGAAGGGGGTATTTAATTGGGTTGTAAGAGTATAATTTTCATTAGAGATCAACTCACCTAAAACGATAAGACGTCCGCTCATTAAAGCCGAGGATATGGTGTTAAGAGGTCACGTTCAAAGGTACAAGTACATGTAGTAAAGGAATTGCGTTGCAACGTCAGAAGAATACGTGTTGTTCTTATGGTAGCTGGGAGCAAAGTGTGACGTGACGCCGGCGCGACGCACGGTTTTTTGAAAACGTATAAGATACACGCGTATCATACGCGCGCGTAATAATGAATCGTTGTGCGTATCAATGAAATGAGTGGCACAATATCAGTGCGGGGTCGACGTAAGTAAAAAACGCAGCTCAGAGATTGTTATAGGTTAAATACAAATTTTTTAGTTAAGCATCTCGTTCATAAAATTTATTTGATAATTTAATAATTTTTAAAATCTTATTTACGTGTAAGAAATAAGATGTTCACAAAATAAGATAACGTTCGTGAAAAGAAAGAAGAAAGAGTTAAATAAGAATGGAAAATGCAGGGAGAAGAGAAAAAGGATTACAGGGAACGGCCCCGCAGACTCTCGAGAATTACGTAAGAACGCCAGTGCAAATCTGTCGACTTGTCTTTCAATTGTTTTCGTATTGCTACAAACATAAGGTCTATAGCTGTCCCTAGGCGTACCTCACGATACGTCAGACGATCAGACGATCCTCGTGGAGAAAGGGGGTTTAAACCGTTCGGAAAGTGCCTTTAAATGAGCTTGACGACCAGTTATAAAGATCCAATCATTGCCAAGCTCGGCACGAGGGGATACAAATGTTTACAGACACAAAGATGGCAACAAGTAAAACGAAGAACGAACGAAAATCTTTTTTGCCTGGAATTGAATTCTTTATTTTAGTTGAAGGTATTATATGATTATCAGAGCTATAAGTATAACTTCCATTAGAAGGATTTTTTTTATTTATTTATTTTTTTTTTTTTTTTTTTATATTATTATTTTGTTTTAATTTTTTAAAAGGAAATTGGGGAAGACTAATCAGCATGGCTAGGAGGATATTTTTTATAAGGAACATTGGGGAAAACTAACCAGCATGGCTAGGAGGATATTTTTTAAAAAGAAAAATGGGGAAGACTAACCAGCATGGCTAGGAGGATATTTTTTTTAGAAGGAAAATTGGGGAAGACTAACCAGCATGGCTAGGAGGATATTTTTTAGAAGGAAAATTGGGGAAGACTAACCAGCATGGTTAGGAGGATATTTTTTAGAAGGAAAAATGGGAAAGACTAACCAGCATGGCTAGGAGGATATTTTTTAGAAGGAAAATTGGGGAAGACTAACCAGCATGGCTAGGAGGATATTTTTTTAGAAGGAAAATTGGGGAAAACTAACCAGTATGGCTAGGAGAATATTTGTTAAAAAACAAAGTTGGGAAGACTAACCAGCATGGCTCGGAGGGTACTTTTTAGAAGGAAAATTGGCACAGCTAGTAGCCTAGCATGAATACTAAAGGAAGTTTACGTTAGGCCGTACAAACGCAGCGTGGAAATTTCAAGGATTGTAAGGAACGGATCATTAAAACATACACCGGAAAGTGAAGTAGTTTATAGGTTAGTATAAGTAGTAAGGAATGCCGGCATGTAAAAGCTCTTACCAGTCTGTTTTGGTAAATTTGACAAGAAACCAGAAATTTGTCTAAAAAGCGAGACTCATCAGGTACAGTTCGCTAGACCTTGGGTAGGTTTCGTCTCGAGACTGTACGACCTACCCCGTAAGAACTTTTACGTGTTGATGTTATATCATAATTTAAATTTCAAGGAAGGGGGTATTTAATTGGGTTGTAAGAGTATAATTTTCATTAGAGATCAACTCACCTAAAACGATAAGACGTCCGCTCATTAAAGCCGAGGATATGGTGTTAAGAGGTCACGTTCAAAGGTACAAGTACATGTAGTAAAGGAATTGCGTTGCAACGTCAGAAGAATACGTGTTGTTCTTATGGTAGCTGGGAGCAAAGTGTGACGTGACGCCGGCGCGACGCACGGTTTTTTGAAAACGTATAAGATACACGCGTATCATACGCGCGCGTAATAATGAATCGTTGTGCGTATCAATGAAATGAGTGGCACAATATCAGTGCGGGGTCGACGTAAGTAAAAAACGCAGCTCAGAGATTGTTATAGGTTAAATACAAATTTTTTAGTTAAGCATCTCGTTCATAAAATTTATTTGATAATTTAATAATTTTTAAAATCTTATTTACGTGTAAGAAATAAGATGTTCACAAAATAAGATAACGTTCGTGAAAAGAAAGAAGAAAGAGTTAAATAAGAATGGAAAATGCAGGGAGAAGAGAAAAAGGATTACAGGGAACGGCCCCGCAGACTCTCGAGAATTACGTAAGAACGCCAGTGCAAATCTGTCGACTTGTCTTTCAATTGTTTTCGTATTGCTACAAACATAAGGTCTATAGCTGTCCCTAGGCGTACCTCACGATACGTCAGACGATCAGACGATCCTCGTGGAGAAAGGGGGTTTAAACCGTTCGGAAAGTGCCTTTAAATGAGCTTGACGACCAGTTATAAAGATCCAATCATTGCCAAGCTCGGCACGAGGGGATACAAATGTTTACAGACACAAAGATGGCAACAAGTAAAACGAAGAACGAACGAAAATCTTTTTTGCCTGGAATTGAATTCTTTATTTTAGTTGAAGGTATTATATGATTATCAGAGCTATAAGTATAACTTCCATTAGAAGGATTTTTTTTATTTATTTATTTTTTTTTTTTTTTTTTTTTTTTTTTTTATATTATTATTTTGTTTTAATTTTTTAAAAGGAAATTGGGGAAGACTAATCAGCATGGCTAGGAGGATATTTTTTATAAGGAACATTGGGGAAAACTAACCAGCATGGCTAGGAGGATATTTTTTAAAAAGAAAAATGGGGAAGACTAACCAGCATGGCTAGGAGGATATTTTTTTTAGAAGGAAAATTGGGGAAGACTAACCAGCATGGCTAGGAGGATATTTTTTAGAAGGAAAATTGGGGAAGACTAACCAGCATGGTTAGGAGGATATTTTTTAGAAGGAAAAATGGGAAAGACTAACCAGCATGGCTAGGAGGATATTTTTTAGAAGGAAAATTGGGGAAGACTAACCAGCATGGCTAGGAGGATATTTTTTTAGAAGGAAAATTGGGGAAAACTAACCAGTATGGCTAGGAGAATATTTGTTAAAAAACAAAGTTGGGAAGACTAACCAGCATGGCTCGGAGGGTACTTTTTAGAAGGAAAATTGGCACAGCTAGTAGCCTAGCATGAATACTAAAGGAAGTTTACGTTAGGCCGTACAAACGCAGCGTGGAAATTTCAAGGATTGTAAGGAACGGATCATTAAAACATACACCGGAAAGTGAAGTAGTTTATAGGTTAGTATAAGTAGTAAGGAATGCCGGCATGTAAAAGCTCTTACCAGTCTGTTTTGGTAAATTTGACAAGAAACCAGAAATTTGTCTAAAAAGCGAGACTCATCAGGTACAGTTCGCTAGACCTTGGGTAGGTTTCGTCTCGAGACTGTACGACCTACCCCGTAAGAACTTTTACGTGTTGATGTTATATCATAATTTAAATTTCAAGGAAGGGGGTATTTAATTGGGTTGTAAGAGTATAATTTTCATTAGAGATCAACTCACCTAAAACGATAAGACGTCCGCTCATTAAAGCCGAGGATATGGTGTTAAGAGGTCACGTTCAAAGGTACAAGTACATGTAGTAAAGGAATTGCGTTGCAACGTCAGAAGAATACGTGTTGTTCTTATGGTAGCTGGGAGCAAAGTGTGACGTGACGCCGGCGCGACGCACGGTTTTTTGAAAACGTATAAGATACACGCGTATCATACGCGCGCGTAATAATGAATCGTTGTGCGTATCAATGAAATGAGTGGCACAATATCAGTGCGGGGTCGACGTAAGTAAAAAACGCAGCTCAGAGATTGTTATAGGTTAAATACAAATTTTTTAGTTAAGCATCTCGTTCATAAAATTTATTTGATAATTTAATAATTTTTAAAATCTTATTTACGTGTAAGAAATAAGATGTTCACAAAATAAGATAACGTTCGTGAAAAGAAAGAAGAAAGAGTTAAATAAGAATGGAAAATGCAGGGAGAAGAGAAAAAGGATTACAGGGAACGGCCCCGCAGACTCTCGAGAATTACGTAAGAACGCCAGTGCAAATCTGTCGACTTGTCTTTCAATTGTTTTCGTATTGCTACAAACATAAGGTCTATAGCTGTCCCTAGGCGTACCTCACGATACGTCAGACGATCAGACGATCCTCGTGGAGAAAGGGGGTTTAAACCGTTCGGAAAGTGCCTTTAAATGAGCTTGACGACCAGTTATAAAGATCCAATCATTGCCAAGCTCGGCACGAGGGGATACAAATGTTTACAGACACAAAGATGGCAACAAGTAAAACGAAGAACGAACGAAAATCTTTTTTGCCTGGAATTGAATTCTTTATTTTAGTTGAAGGTATTATATGATTATCAGAGCTATAAGTATAACTTCCATTAGAAGGATTTTTTTTATTTATTTATTTATTTTTTTTTTTTTTTTTTTTTTTTTTTTTATATTATTATTTTGTTTTAGACCTTATGTTTGTAGCAATACGAAAACAACAGATCGCGTTCCATGAAGAACCACTTAAGTTTATTATTGTTGTACGCTTTCTATACTCTGTATAATAATGGTTATTTGTTCAGATGACAACGTGTTTCGAATTCAACTTACACTCAACATTCAGTGAACACGTGTCACACACATCTGCGGTGCAGACCGATGGTCTAACGGCACAGCACTTGTATTCACCCCCGTTGTCTGTTCTGGTGAGTGCGCCTGTCGTGAAGCCCAGTGTCGTCATTCGGCCACCGTAGTCGCCATCAGTAATCATTAGCCCTGGATGACCAGTTTGCTCAACATTGTCTCTCAGCCAAGTCAGATTGGTGGCCGGGTTCGTGCTCTCGGATACACAGCTCAAGGACACACTACCGCCTGATACGATTCTGTACGGGCAACCGGTGATGCTCACCATCCTTGTACATACTGAGAGAAAAGTAGTCGACTTATGATTATTAATGTGCCAAACGTGCGACTGTCATTGGCTAATTCCATAATACCAACGACACTTCTATTAGGTTGCAGCCAGCCATTTTGACATCACGTTCCTTCCGTACATATTTGTATACTTACGCGCAGTCGTGCCGATGATCGTCACAGCTTCACTCACGCCATTGCCATTTGCTGCATAAACCTCAACCTCGTACACGGAGTAAGGACGCAGTCCCATCAGAGTGAATGAAGTGACGCCATGGAGTCTGTCGCTGCGCGTGTTGGGATCGAAGTCGTCAGTCGTTGCAAGCTCTCTGTAATTGACATGGAACCAGATGTTTGGTGCAGCCTCGTTCCGAGGTGTCCATGACACTGTGATGGTCGTGGCCGTGTTCATAGCTTCTTCGATGGAGACGTTCATCGGTGCAGCTGGTAAAACTAATCCACCCAAAGGAGAATAATGTGAATTATGAACCTTGCCTTGTAAACAAACAGGATAAGGGAATTATAGTAGAACAGGTTACAGAGCAGAAAATTCTTATAGTCAAGCGATTCACAAATTCGCTGGGTTGCTCTTAATGCATATGGTGTTCCCAAATAGCCGTATTTAGCTCTAACAAAAAGCCCATACGGTGGCACTTCCAGACTCTCCTCTGCAGTCAGTCAGCAGTTCATCAGCCAGTGAGATACAAGGAGGACTGGCTCTCCCAAGGAACTGCAGTAATGTTAGATTAAACATGGTTTTATAAGGGCATACAATACTCACCTCTCGAAGTCAGCTGAATGGACAACGCGTCCACCCTCCCAACGCCATTTCCACAGGTACAGACGTAAAAGCCGTAGTCTCCAATACCGGTCACGTTTTTGATGTGCAAAGTGCTTGTCACCGTGTATCCATAGACAACATCCCCGCCGCTAATGGTATCGACCTGGGTTATCCTACCTGGCTCAGTATGATTAGTCATCCTAGTGCGGGTTGGACTCAACCATCTGATTAAAGGATGGGGGTTACCTTTGACCGTACAGGTCAGAATAGCGGCCTCACCGTCATCGGCTTCGACGCAGTTATCAGCTTGGCTTGTTATGGCGGCTTCATCTTCAAAAATAAATTTCAAGCACCAAACACGATAATTACAAAGATACATTTTGTGTGAAATTCCACTTCAAAGAAGCAAACTGTTAATGACGGAGTCTTTACACTTGAGATGTTTTTACAATATACGCAAACTTAGAATGTACAGTGAATTAAGAGGTGATCTACATGATGGAAATGGATGATTTTGCGTTAATAGTAAAGCTGTAACAACCCTATGCTATACGATATGACACTTTATTACATGGAGGTATTTACATATTAAAGTTTATGCAACCACTGATGACCATACAGCATTTGATAAAATGCTTAAAGTTAATTAGATACCAACCGGCTGGAAGTGATTTTCAATAAATGTTTGTGATTTGGAAAGACGAAATTAAGACTTACAGAGAACGATGACATCAATGGATCTTGAAAAGATAACAGGTGGTACACCATTATTTCCCCGGCACCTGTACGGCCCAGCCTGCTTCCTGTTGACGCTGCTTAGTGTCAGGTTGCTGGTTCCATCGCTGTAGACGGAGGGGAGGGAGTCAGGCGACCCGACCTTCTCCCACGTGATGAAGTCAGTGGGCATGGGATTGGCGTCGGCGCTGCAGGACAGTGTGATGTCATCTCCTTCATCCACGGGATTCGTCGTAAGTGACGTTGGGTCGGTAAATACAGGACAATCTGAAAATAAGAGTACATTACAGTTTATTAAAGAGATATGTGTCAACTTGTTAAAGTGTTCGAGAGCGGAGTTTAGATTTCTTTAATTCTTTCTTTCATAAATCTGATAAGAGTAAACATCAAACTCCTGGATGAAATTGTACCTTGCTAGTGCTTTACGTCTGGGGAAAAGCCTTTCCTGGCTTTCTTTTGCAAGGAAGAAGAGGAGTTTTACACCAAAAGGAAGACGTTCGTGCAATCAGGCATATACAAGTGCACCCTCATGATGCACCTCATTGACGAGGCTCGTATTTATTTGATTGCGTAGTAGTTTAGGTGTTTGCCTAATAGTATCACAAATTCGGTTTCACTGTCGACAAGTTTCTGAGTCCTTGTCAATAAACGTCATTGAAAACTCACGCAATGTCTTGACAACTGTCTTAACGGCCTCGCTTCTTCCATGGGCATTCTCAGCGTATACCTCAACCTCGTACATTGCGTAAGGACGCAAGCCCTCCACCGTGTACTCGTTGGATCCCTGTAGTCTCTGGCTTCTTGTGCTGGGGTCGAAGTCCGTTGCTTTTCCAAGCTCCCGGTAGTTGACGTAGAACCATTGAGGCGTCCCAACCTCGGCCCCAGGGCGCCACGTAATAGTGACCGAATCGGCGGTGATTCGTTCCTCGTCTATCGACACATCGTAGGGCGACGATGGCACCACTTGACAAATAAAAGAACCCACTTTTTAATTATAAACACTCGCAAAATGACACGAAATTTCTGTCTATCTTTCACTCTGATAGGGACACTGTCCTTGGATATTGTGTATGTCTTGACGTTGCATTTGAGACATATTTCACTTCTTTTAGACTTTGAAAACCATACCTTTAATGTTCAAATGGATATGCAACATGTCTACGCGTCCTACACCGTTTCCGCTGTAGCATGTGTAGTAACCATAGTCTCCTTCCGCAGTCACTCTTTTGATTTCCAGGATGCTCGTAACAGAGTAGCCATATATGTCATCTCCTCCATTGCTTGTGACGGCTTGAATGATTCTTCCTGCGTCTGTGTCATTGTTGATCTCTTCGTTAGTTGGGTCTAACCAGACGGTTAAAGGCAGTGGATTGCCCTTTGCTGTGCAAAGAAGAACGGCCCCCTCACCGTCCGCAGCCCCAACATAGGTGTCTGCCTTATTTGTGATGTTTACCTCATCTTTTGGAGGAAAAAGGCAAATAGTGAAGTTTTTAATAACAAAATGGTATCATTGTTTGTTCACGCTTCCATGAATAGTAGTGACTATCATTCATAATGTTAGCATCCATTGATTTATTACGTATTCAATTCGTGGCAGTCTGCTTTGGAGGTAACATGAAGATTACTGGGACACAAAAGGGTCTAGAAACGTTGTTCAAGGCCCTTTTCACATCAAGACATAATTTATATCATAGATCAAAACAAAACCACGATGATAATGAGAACAGATTAGTAATGGAAAGTTTGTAGTGTAGTGCCTCTTATATTAAACGAGAAGGCCGATTTCAAAAGAATTTACTCATTGACTCGGTCAGCTTAAGAACAAATTCGTTGAATATTGTCACCTTTTCGAAAGGGTTACTCAAATCGAAAATCGAAGAATTAAATTACAAATGGTGATTTACAGTAAACGGCAATGTCGATTGGATTCGAGAACACTACGGGTGGTACACCATTGTCTCCGCGGCATCTGTACGGCCCAGCCTGCTCCCTGCTGATGCTGCTTAGTGTCAGGTTGCTGGTACCATCGCTGTAGACGGAGGGGAGGGAGTCGGGAGACCCGACCTTCTCCCACGTGATGAAGCCAGGGGGCATGGGATTCGCGTCTGCGCCGCAGGACAGGATGACGTCACCGCCCTCTCTCACAGGACTGGGCGTGGTTGCCTTCGGCTCGGAAAAGTATGGTCGATCTGCAAAATATTACATTAATGTGAAGCAGACAAATACTTACTGTGCCGCCCTTTACCGGGCCAGGACAGTAATGCTTCATTGGAAAACTATACAATATAGAAAAATATAGTTGGGGTGCTTATGAGTTAAAGTTTCAGCCTAGGTGTATGTTACAGGACGGCAGAAGTTGGACAGAATGCATAATATATGTAGTGGAAATTAGAAAAAGGCATTATTATTGAGCGGTCAGATAAATATGACTTATTACTTACATTCAACATTGAGTGAACAGCTGTCGCACACGTCGGCGGGGCAGGCTGTCGTTTTAGCCGTGCAGCAAGTGAACAATGCCCCATTGTCCTCTTTGGTCAGCACAGCTGTTGTAAAGTCCTCCGTGGTCACGTGACCGCCATAGTCTCCTTTCGGGAGTGCTGGCGGAGCAGGGTTTGTTTTGCGCCGGCCGTTTCTCAACCAGGTCAGGTTTGTTATTGGGTTGCTGCTCTCGGACACGCACCTGAATGATACCATGCTGTCTGGTATGGCTTTGAGTGGACAGTTGGTGATGCTTACCCATCGCGGACAAACTAAATGGTAAAATTATTTCAACGATTTCAGATATTTGCTTTTCTTTCAAATATAAAAGAACAGCTGATTTAAAACATAAAACGTGTTTAGTATAACACTTCAACAGTTTTAATAATTGATTATCTAGTTTTGGTTGCAGAATTAAGATCCATGTTCAAGGACGGATTATTTCAATTGAACACATTCCATGTCGGAACACATTTCAACCTGTGGTTTGACTTTGGATAAGTTTCTAACTGACCGCCATGTTATCCAGGCGTGGAACAAGAAGGGGGCTTGGGGTTAGAACCCCCCTCCCCGCTCTGACACCAAACACCGACAATAAGTGCATCAGTAAGAATGTGCCGCATTACCTAATGCCTGCCTGTCCACAACAATCAGGCAAAACTGGAACAAATCTTACGGGCCTGAACCCTCTCCCCTGCGAAAATTCTGGTTCCGCCCATGTTATTCTTTAAGTGTTTTACTCCCTATATATTCCGCTATGTAAAATATTGAATTCTCCATCATGATACCTACAGTGTACATTGATAGGACCATACGTTGTGGTAGGATGAACTGTCCAAGAATCCTTCCGTGCAGTGCAGGTGATTGTCTTCCCGTTGTCATCTCTCGTTGGTGTGACGTTGAGGGCGCTAGTGAACATAAAGCGATCATCCGAAGCTGACGGTACAGTTGTGAGGTTGGCTATGTCGTACACGTCGCCGAATGACCAGTACAACAGCCAGTCGTCAGGAAAACCCATGTCGGCATAACACGTCAGAGTAGTTGTAACGCCTTCTGTCATTGTCGTGTTACCAATGATCCAAGGAAGATCGGGTGGACCTACAAAAACACAAACAACGTGGGTTTACTATTCATTCACTGCGAAGGACCATTACATTTTTTCCTATGTGATCATCTTTCATTGTCGTATTAGCAGCTATCCATAAACATTCTGTTTGACCTAGAAAAATACAGACAAGTGTGGTTTTACTATACATGTACTACCGCTAACCTATAGATTCCCTTCTTGACCTGTCGTCGTCGTGTTGCCAATGATCCAAGGAAAATACGGTAAACCTACAAAAACACAGTCGTTACGGTTTAAATATACATTTACCAACGAGCACCTGTGCATTTCCTTTCTTGACCTTTTGTCATTGTCGTATTACCGACGATCCAAAGGTCGATCTGATTGACCAAGAAAAACATGACACAAAACAACCGAGGACGTGTTCGGATCATTGGGATTATTTTCACATGTTTAAGTGATAACCTTAGGTCATTCATCGGCATCATTACTGCACGACGTCAATACTCACCATTGACCTCTAGGTTAAGTGCCTTGGATGGCAACGGTTCCTGTGACTCGGCGGTGCTAGCCACGCACCTCACCTCCTGGCCGTGATTGGCTCTGCTGGGCGTGAATGACCACGTGTCTGAGGTATTGACCAATCCAATGTCCTTCCCGAAATGTGGATCAGCTGTTCTTTGCAGGTTGCCATTCAAGAACCACCCAATGGCAACAGCTGGTCTGGTACCCTGTACTTCACATCGAAGACTGCTAGGCGATCCCTGGTCAACAACAAAAGTATTCACCAGACTGGTCCCACTGGCATCGTATAACGAGATAGAAGAAGATCGAGGTGGTACTGTGGAAAAGAAATAAAACATAGATAAAGGTTCTGAAGTCATTAAAGAAAAACAATTGAGTCAGTGTACTGATTTATACATGATTCATTATAAAGCTTCACCTCTCCTTTTTCCTGTTTAAATAAAGTTTGCAATTGAGGCCGTTTGTTTGGAATGCGACTTTGATAGGAGAGAGTGTAACATGATCAGGTAAGGTTTTCAATAGGCCTTTTTCATACCCTTTATGTCCAGCACCACGCCAGTGCTGATGCCCACATGACCTTCCCTGTTAGTGGCACGGCAAAGCAATTCCTGTCCATGGTCAGCCCATGAGGGCGCCATTCTGACGTGGCTGGCACTGGTGAGGAAACCGCTGTTGCTCGTGACTTCACTGCTGTTACTAAACTCTTGATTGGCCACAGTCCATGTGAACGATGCTCTTGGGTTGATGTCAGGCACCACGCAAGTGAACCGATGATCCACTCCTTCGATCAAGTACGCAGTGTCATTAGACGAGTAGGTTCCTCTTGAGTCAAACAAGAAAATCTCTTTTGGGAGAACTGAATTTAAAAAAGGAGAAGAAAATATCTCACTGACCTTCACTTTCAATTATAAGCTGTAACCCGACTAAAATAATCCATGTTAGTATCGAGGGCTTTCTTTAACTGCGCATGTGCATTGATCCATGGAATACGCTAGTTTCGGGGTCAAAAAGAATAATACAAGCACTATTATACCGAAAATATCTTTCAACCGTATCACAGATATTCAAACATCTTCTCATATCGCAAAGAACTGTTAACAGATACGAGGTATTTTTACCCGACGACAAAGAGGGAGAATGCTTGAACTAGCGAATGTTTAGTTCATGTCGACAACTATGCTGTTCCTGTCTTACCTTTAACATTGAGGGAAACGGTCACAAACGGGAATGGGCGAGATGCCTCTGCTGTACTAGCCGCACACATCACAACTTGCCGGTGGTGCTTTGTTTCCGGAGTCAACGTCCAGGTCCCAGTAGTGTTGACAAGGCCGTTGCTTCGGCCTTCTGCAGGGCTGACTGTACTCTCGAGGACCCCGTTCAGGAACCACTCAATAGTCGCTGCTGGTCTAGTGTCCTGTACCACGCACGTGAAAGTTTCTGGGCTGCCTTCATCGACATCCACTGAGGTTCCTAGTAGGAATCCATCAAGGTCCAGGAGAAAAACAGACGATTCTTGTGGAGGCACTATAAGAAGTAACACGATACGGAAAGTGATTAAAAAGGACAAAGGTGCAGTTTTTGGCAAATAAATAAGAGCCGGAACCAAACTGAAGCAAAAACAAATGGTTCTTGAAACATCTTCTAATAATAAACGAAGGTGAGGATTAAGCCTGAACTCCGATGCCAGATGAAGACACGGCGTAATAAACATCTGTGGGTGTAATGCGTTCTATGACCAACCTTTGACATCAAGGGTCACGCTGACGTTCAAACCAGGGTAGCCAGGCTTGTTGAAAGCATGACATTGCAGTATCTCTCCCTGGTTGTTCCAAGTAGGAGACACCGTGACGGTGCTGCTGCTGTTGGTCAGTCCGTCAGATCCCACGATGTCTTTGGTGACATTTGATGTGATGCCCTGACTCCCCAAGGTCCATGTCATAGATGCTGCTGGGTCGATGCCCGGAACCTCACATGTGAATTCATGCTCCACTCCAGCGATCAGATACGAGGTCCCGTTGACGAAGGAGGTGTTCCCAGCCCAGTCGTACAGAGATATAACCGTTGGTAGAACTAAGTATTCGATAACGAAAAGCTTTGGTAATCAACAATACTGTATGATTAACCGAGAATGCATTCAGTGAAAGAAGTTTCCCAGATCACGGTTTTTGACTAAGAGGATGGAGGACTAGGGTGATCGGACGAGTCCGTCTCAGCCTTGGCCGAGCCACTGAAATTGTGCAAACTGTCAACTTTAGTTCCTCGAAAAAGAGAGTGGATAGCAACAAATAAAGCAAGATGACCAGCTAGTTTGATTTCTTGTCATGTGACTGGTATCGAATGCTTTTATTGAAGTGTAATTTACTACCTGTTATTACGGACACTTGAGTGAATGTGAACCCCGTTCTCCCATGTTACTCTCTGTCAAAAAAATACCAAAGTCGATCGAGACATTTGAAACAAGATATACGCCTGAGGGGAACCCCAAACTCTCAGGGATTCTTTGCACGTTTCTCGGGAAATGAGTGAGGTGCAAATAGTCTAGAGTGTGTGTAGCGTGTAGGGACGCTAGGTTTTTCATCAAGTAACTGTTGACAGCAAGTTCTGGCTCAGGAAGCTTTGACTGGAGAGTTTCATGTACCGTATGCGTTAAGGCAGAGTTAGAGGGCAATCGCCAACTATCTCAACGCTTAGGAAGACTTAAGTAACTTACTCTGCATTCATTGGCGCTTAAATAAAATAACAAAACCCAGAATATGCAATACCTCCAACACAAACTTTTTTCCCCGAGATTCAAGAAGGACCGAGGTTCTCACATCTCTTTTAAGGCCAGGCCAAACCGGCCTTTTTTCCCCCATCCCTTAAATTACATACCGTTGACATTGAGTGCAGTGGTCACAAATGGCAGTGGCTCCTGCGACTCGGGTGTCCCTGCCATGCACCTCAACTGCTGACCGTGTATTGATCTGTTAGGAGCGAATGTCCAACTGTCTGAAGTATCCACTAAATCATCGCCTATACCGGAGGGAGGAATGAAGGTCCTTTGCAAAGCGTCACCAATGAACCACATGGTGGTTGCGGCCGGTCTGGTTCCCTGCACCTCGCAGGTGAAGTTATATGGTTTGCCTTGGTCAACAGCTGCGGTTTGGCCGAGTCTGGTTCCCTCGGGATCGTAGATTGACAGGGACGATTGCGTTGGCAGGACTTCAAAAAACATGATCATTAAAAATATATTTAAATGACACTCGCTTTTCTCTCATCAGCACAACACATATAAACCCTCATGTTTTTCTAACGTTTTTAAGGCATAACAGGGAATAATGTATATATTCTTTCGACAAGCATTGCACAGTTTGAGCAAGGCCGATTTCTGAAGAGTATTATAGTAGCATTAAGTTTCCAGAGAATTAAAGCCACATCTACAGAAGTCCATAACAAAGTCAATAACAAGTCAACCACAAGTCAATCATAAGTCAGCCACAGTTAGTCCAGACCAAGTCCAATTAAATTCCATTTCAGTGATCGATCATTCCTTTGTTATTTGTTACATCCTTTTACTTGCTGCCTGCTTGTGATATAATTATATTACGTTTTTGTTCAATCGTCTACATCGTCTTGTGTTTGGCTTCGCATCAGCGTCCAGAATCACAGAGAAGCCTATCCAACATAACATGGCAACATACAGCAACATTTGGCCACATCTTATACATTTTAAAGTGCATTGGAGGAGAGCATGTACCGTTAAGGGCAAGCAAAATGGGCATGAGTCCCTAAGGGCATGAATATCTCATAAGGTGGAGACTAAAGCGAAGTTTCTAAAACCTCCGTAATTTGTTTTGCATAGAAGCTGCTTCTACGTACCTTTTACATCTATGGTCGAGCTAACGCTAACACCGGGGAAACTTTCGTAGTTTGAGGCCAAGCACCGCAGGTTTTTCCCCTGGTAGGCCCAAGAAGGGGTAAGGGTAATAACACTGATGCTTGTAATGAGCCCGTCACCATCGGAAGTATCGTTGCTGCTGTCCTCTGTGAGATCCATGCCGCCAAGGGTCCAGTTGAAGTCTGCGCCTGGCTTGATGCCGGGAACCACGCAAGTGAACTGATGCTCTACTCCGGCCACCAAGTAATATGTTGTATTGTTGGTAGTTGAGTTCTCATTCGCATCCCACAGCTCAATGGTGCTTGGTAGTACTTGGTAAAACAAAAAAGAAGAAAATAAATAATTTTTACAGTTAACATTTGCAACTATGATTAAGCAGAGACCTCAACCCACATCCGTCGAGTTCATCCCCGAAAATTAATTGCAAAATTTGTTTTTTGAAACTTCCAATTGAAAGTCATTCCATTGATTCCATAAAGTTCTCCAATTTGAAATTTTCGCAAGAGATACTTATCATTACACCGTGAAGGCACGTGCCAATGCGATTTGGTTGTACAAAAGACGCAATGTGTTCTCTATGCGCACAAGCCAATGCATTTCTAAAATCTCTTTTTCTCCTCCCTAATGGGGCATTTTGTACACAGTCAATACCTTGCACAGAAAATGCATTTAGTTGAGAAAATGACGTACCATCGACGTCAAGCGTGGTCCTCACGTATGGATATGGTTCCTGTGACACCGTGTTGCTGGCAACGCACTTCACCTCTTGACCCTGATTGGCTCGGCTGGGTGTGAGTGTCCAAGTGTCACTGGTGTCCACCAAGCTGTACTCCCCTCTGCTGGGTGCGTAAGCAGTTTCACTCAGGGCGCCATCAAGGTACCAGCGGATTTTTGCCGCAGGACTGGTGTCCTGGACGTCACACGTGAACGTGAAGGGCGCCCCCTCCAGTACGGTGACCACACCCAACAGTCTGGTTCCACTTGAATCTCGCAGGGAAAGAGACGACGTCACTGGGGGTGCTAGACAACAATAGTTTTAAGATCATACAAGATATATGGAAATAATTGAAATCTATATCAAGGCAGCCACGGCAGTTCATACTCCCTCAATACTTAAAACAGTCATTTCTAATTACGAAAGACATCAAAACCAATGTTAAGCAAAACCTGGAATAAATGATTAACTTTTTAATATATTTGGTATCGCCTTCACTAACGATTGTGCGCTAATGAATTTTGACAGTCGATACAACTAGGTATCATTATTAACTCAAGGCAACTCAGCTGGGTGTGTTTTGAAAAGGAATGATTAAATGCAGAAAAAAACATATTTATATTTAATTTTTGTGTAAGAGAAAATTGTAACAGGTGACCAAGTGAAAAAACAAAGTCTCAAACGCTTACATTGTTTTAAAATCCACGAGAAACCCTGTAATTTGGTTCGTTTGAAAAATGGACGATGAAACAAATTGGTTGATTTCGTTTCTGTTTTCATCAGGTTGGAGTTGAGCACCGAGTGTACGTTCACTGATTCATGGCGTTAAGAATCCTCTTGTGCATTTTCCACAATGATCCGTCCATTGATCTGAGTGTAAGTAGAGTGAGACATGTGATTTTCATACTTGGTTTTGGGATGCTGCTAGCCCAGAGACTAAACCCTCTCTCTGTCACGCTGCCATCTGAGCTGAAGGATAGTTGAAGGTTGCTTCCTGTAGACACCACATCGCCTGGACGAGAAGACCCGCTGAAACTCCACTCTTGACTAGTTGAGGTGTCGACAATCCGCAGATGGTCGCAGCACGACTCGGTGTCGAAACTTGAGAAGCTGATGCGAATCCGCCGGCTGCTGGCCGTTGTAACAGTCCAGGTGCGGTACTCATTGTCCCCGTAGTGCCACAAGTAAACGTGTGTTCTCCCACCAGCGCCGATGTATGTACCGGTAGACACTGCATGGACATGGGAAACTTGAGTTACTCAGAACACAGCATCACTATTTCAGACTTGACCATTAAACATATCCGACTATTTGGGCCGATTTTATTCCTGCCTAACTTTATTAAGCATTTGGCTGTTCAGACTGACATAAAACATTTTAAATTCTGGATTCGTGTTTGGCTTTGGCAGGCTTTAGAAGTGCTAGAAGGAGTATAGTTAGGGTTAGGAGTTTAGAAAAAGTAGGAGGAGGAGTAGAAGCAGGAGATAGAAGTAGCAGCAGGAGATAGGAGGAGTAGCAGTAGGAGATAAGAGGAGTAGCAGCAGGAAATAGGAGGAGTAGCAGCAGGAGACAAGAGGAGTAGCAGCAGGAGACAGGAGTAGCAGCAGGAGATAGGAGTAGCAGCAGGAGACAGGATGAGTAGCAGCAGGAGATAGGAGTAGCAGTAGGAGATAGGAAGAGTATTAACAGCAGGAGACAGGAGGAGTAGCAGCAGAAGATATGAGGAGTTGCAGCAGGAGAAAGGAGGTGTTTCAGCAGGAGATAGGAGTAGCAGCAGCAGGAGATAGGAGGAGTAGCAGCAGAGGATTGGAGGAGTAGCAGCAGGAAATAGGAGTAGCAGCAGGAGATAGGAGGAGTAGTAGCAGGATATAGGAGCTGCAGCAAGAGATAGGAGGAGTAGCAGCAGGAGATATGAGGAGTTGCAGCAGGAGAAAGGAGGTGTTTCAGCAGGAGATAGGAGTAGCAGCAGCAGGAGATAGGAGGAGTAGCAGCAGAGGATTGGAGGAGTAGCAGCAGGAAATAGGAGGAGTAGCAGCAGGAGATAGGAGGAGTAGTAACAGGAGATAGGAGCTGCAGTAGGAGATAGGAGTAGCAGCAGGAGATAGGAGTATGGGTTGCTACACAAATTGGAATGGCAGCAGGAAGGTGTAATGGTTACAGCAGGAAGGGTGTAATGGTTACAGAAGGAAAAGCAGAAGCAGTTGGAGGAGTAGGAGTAATTGTTAGAGTGGAACAGAAAAAAACGGAAGATGTACAATGCTGTAGGAGTAGCAGCAGGAATGGGAAGTGTATCCGTTCGAAAATGTGCCGTAATGAACAGGGCCTCCTATTGTCCGAAAGTGACCATGATTGTCCGCTTTGAACAACGCCCCTAACTAGGAAGATGATGTTCGCCGACATTTTCAAGTTGATTTCGCTGAGGCCGGGTGACTGGGGAAAAATCCTCAAACCTTTTGGCATGAATGTTGTGTCGTCCAATTTGTTGGCAACACCCCCCCCCATTCAAAGTGGTCTAGCGACGCTACTGGTATCGGTAAGTCATACAGCTACTGGTCCTGCTACTTTCTACTTCCACTTCTGCAGCTGCTACTCCTTCCACTTAAAATCCTAATTCTACTTGTATTCGTGCTCCTTCACACCTACTCGTACGCGTTTTTATATTACTTTGTTACTCCAACTCCAACTTCAACTCCTACTGTATTACCATTTGTTCTCCTGGCCCTTCTCTTACTATCCCTATTCCTACACATCCTGCTTCACTACTTCTACATTTACCATTACGCCTTCTATACCCTACTACTCATATCACTTCTCTACTCCAATTACTAATATCACCCTGCGTCTTTACCCAGTCCTACTCGTACTTTAGTATAGTACTCCTCGTATTACTCCTTCTCTAACTTCTATCCCATCATTCTTTTACACCTACTTCTAATTCTACTCCTGTTTTTATTGCTATAATGTTTCTCATATTTCTATTATGCACGTCTTATACTTTTAAACTACTCATACTATAAGGCAAATGACAAGGGAGCAGTGTTCTAAAAGAATCGTACTATTATTGTTCAGTGTTTTTGTCAAGGTATTTGTTGCTGATTTATAAAAATACAAATATACGAAAAATCAAATTCATGTTATCTACACTCCGCCTAAGTTCTCTATCCGTTCAATGGACTGGTTTCATGTTTAAGATTAAAGGGAGGAAATTAAAAAATAGTGCTAGAGATACTTTGCGTTTGAAGCATAAGAAAAATACCACACGTTGGTTCGGCGATTGCAGTATACAGGGTGTATAAAACAAAGCAAAGCCAGATGTAAAAAATCTAGTAAGTATTTTCAAATAAGTTAAAGATCATGGGAAACACAAATGTGTCCTCATTCCAATCATACCTTCATTGTTTGTCTGTGGCCACGGATGACTTGGCATTCATTGTTACTCTGTCAAGGGTCAAAATCTTTACTGGGCCAAGTTTAAACTGGCTGAGACATCCTTTTCTTTAAAACAATTTATTCAATTTTTAAACAGTGATTTCAACCACTCTTTTTGTTGAAGTTAACCCCTCATGGCCCAGTACCTTCAACGTTGCCACCACCTCTTTCCACACAAAACTTTGCACGAAGTCTAGTCCATATCAACCTTTGCATAACAAACCAGCACGCAGATATTAGCCAGGTAAAACTTGGCCCAATACAGCTTCTGACCCCTGACAGAATAACAACGAATGTTCAGTCAGCCTTGGCCACAGATACACAGTCAAGGCATTATTGGAAAGAGGACACATTGGCGTTTCACATGATCTTTAACTTATTTTAAAATATTTATCACATTTTATAAATGTACATTTACATCTGGGTTTCCTATTTTTTGATACAACATAAGTGTACATGTATGTAGCGTAATAAAATATTACTATTGCTAAAACATACAAAAAATAACAGACGCCCAAAACAAAAAACAAACAAACAAACACCCCAACAAACAAAAACCTAACAAACAAACAACCCGATAAATACAAATCCCAAAACAAGCAAAAACTCAACAAAATCACAAAAGAAAGAATCAAACTCGTGCATCTTGTTTACGTGCAGTAGCAATGAATGCCAAAGAACTAGTACTCAAGCACATACCGTGATAGCACGTACGGCAACACATATTTTGCTGCACTGCAAACATTTTAAGTTCTGCTTTAGTTGTGGACAGTACATGGATCAACATTACAAAAACACATGTCACAGTTTATCTGTTCCCCTACAAACATATTATCAAGACTTGACTTGGGACCGTATGTAATTCATTACAATATGAAACGATGATTAAATTCTTACCTTCAGTCATACAAAGTAGCCACGCCACAATGCAGCAAAACTGACAGGCCGACCCCATGTTGTTATTTACCGTAGTCTGTAGAATATATGCTCAGTATGTTTTTTATATCAATATTTTCTTCCGGAACAGAAGCAGTAGTATATTTCCTTGGTAGGAAATGCCTGATCATTAAAGCACATGACCCTTACTGTAGTAGCTTACACTATACATTACCAACAATAGAGCATTGAACTTGACCTGATAAACCTTTTTTTGAATTCAGACCAGTAAGGAAGTGGAGAAAGATTGAAGTAAGTGAAGTCAAACGGAAGAGGAAAGTTTGTGGTTAGAAGTATCAGCTGAATGACAATTACGCTGAATGGAAATCAAGTCGAGAGTTAAATCTCAGAATCGGGAAAAACCGTCGGTATATTGAGAATGATGTTTTTCGATTTTGTAAAAACTAATACATTTTTTTGTAAAATACAGTTACTCTTTTCTGTACGAGGAATCAAAATATTTTAGCTTTCAATGTAATGTTTTGTTAAACATTCAGACAATAATACAATGCAGGCTTTGGTAATCAAGTGGGGTATGTGGCTGATTAGGAGTGCAAATTAATGGAAACCTGGGTAGGTAAAAACAAAAACGAAATGGTGAAAGGAGATTATAACACACTTGCAAGTTTGTATACATTACAGGAGAGGAACACCATGATCCATTCACCTCCATTGGAATCTACTGGAAAATACACAGTCTGATCTTTGGGTATCCATATATCTGTAGAAAAGGATGGGTATATTACGACACACTTCCTCGTCAGGGTTTTGGCCTTTACCCAGTTTCTGCTCATCTAGGCTGTTTGTTGCAAAACTTAACCTCGGCTGAAGTCCAGTCGATCAATTGTTAAATAGATGGACTGTCCGCGCTCATTCACCTACGCAATTTTTTATTTTGAATGTTTTGTTTCAAATGGAAAATTCGTTTTATTTTCTGTTTTGGGTTTCTGCAACCCTACAATAAAATAGTGTCTGTACCTCGAATGCACCCCCTAAAAGTAGACCTAAAGTTGTTCTTGGGCCATATTTATACCCTTAATTTAGAACTTGTTAAGTAAATAGCCCCAAAAATAAGTATAGGTGGCTACTTTTCGTATGGAATCTCAGTCAAATGTTTGCCAGAGCTCTAAAATAGCTTGGATTAATCTCCTACATCTTTGAAAGCCAACACAATTAGTCGGTGACTTGAAAATAGTGTGTGGTACCTAGACCCTCAGATAAACAATGCATGTAAATCACCGAGGCTTGCAGACTTGAATGCTGACCAACAAAGGACAGCTTCGATGCTATACAAAACCCCTAAACCTCCTCGTGGTATGCTTATCAAGGTAACACACGCAAAATATGTTCAGAAGTCGGTTCACCAGGAAGGAAAACAAGATCGGGGATTCTGATGAGGAAATAAGCTGTAAACTTGTATGCCATATCCTCATGACCCTTTCAAAAGAACGTGAAATTCAACAACAACAAAACCCACAAACAAGATAAATGGGTTGGCTTGACAATCTATCTGGCGGTAATTTATTCGCAGATACTTCTTTGTAGTTGGAATGAAGCTGATTTCAATCTGCAGTATAACAAGAAAATAGCGACTATATATCCATTTAGTTCCAGGGAACCACGAAACTGGTGTTTGAGCCTTTAGTCTTCTTTTTACCTGACTGACTGACTCACTCATTGTATGACTGTTGGTTTAAATGATAGGATTAAATAGGATTACCCCATAACGCCAATGAGGGGGTTAAACCGTCCCGTTGTATCAGCCACATCCTTCCACTGAATAGCCATTCTGAATCGATTAAGCAGCTTATGTGTGCTCTGGGACCGGAATTACTAGATCTCCCTTGACTTTTTGAACTCGTATTTTGAAAGAGCCTACTTTGACACACACAAAAAGCAGGTGGCATTTCTTTTTCTTATCTAAAACTTAAGCAGTGTACTGTTTGAAAAGATAATTAAACTCAAGAATCACAGCAGGAAGGGAATATGCAACACGAAACTTGACAACGGATATTCTGGATAAATGTGACACAGCGACGTGATAAAAATGATTCAATACAGGCATGCGAATTCAAGCCTGCTGACAAAATCCGGCTTTTACACTTTATGAAGCAAACAGCCTCAAAACAATGGCTAATTGGACGAGTTACAATATTTGCAAAATAAAAACACGTCGTGAATTCTCCGTCCAAGATAGCGAAACCGATCATAAGTTTGTTGCACAACTGTGCAACAAATTTGTTGCAAAAATCCTATGCATGACGTAATCTACACCCTGTTTCATAAAATCGGCCGATGCTCTTATTCCTACCTCTACTCACACTCCTCTACCTACTCCTCTTCTTACTTATTTTTCTACTCCCAATCCAACTCCTATTAAAAATTTGGTGTTTATATCACGCCTTAAACCTAGGGTTTCAAAGCGTTCACGTTATCCCCGTTCATCAGGAAAGAGACCATTTTTCTGTAGTAGCTCCAGATCAGCGCAATTTGGTCTCTACCTTCATATTTACCCATTTTTACTACTGGGTAGAGGGAGGTAATCCAGTGGCGCACCCGGAGGGGGGGGGGGGGAGCCTCGTGGGGCTTGAGCCCCCCACCCAGAGGTTGTAATTTTTTTTTTGGGGGGGGGGGGTAATTTTTTATTAATCCCACGATTTTACTTTAATGTCATGTATGTGGCCTATTTTCGAGTAGTATAATAAGGGTGTACAGTGGCACCACCGACGTCAAAATAGTCCGCCCCCCCAAAAAAATGAGCCCCCCCCAAAAAAAAAACCAAATCCTGTGTGCGCCACTGAGGCAATCGAGGTAAAGTGTCTTGCCCACGAATACAAGCACCATGTTCTTCGCCAGGGTTCGAACCCATGTACCACGGCACATGAATCCAACACCGTAACCAGTGAACGACAGGGCTCCACAATTCCTGTTCATATTCCTAATCATGCACCAGTATGTTCTTATTCTTACTCATATTCCTACTCCTATTCCTAATGTGTATACTCCTATTTCTAATGTGTATCATTTTTTATGTAATGCCCCCTCGAAGAGGCTGGTCCTGGAGAGAGCTCAATATAAACTTAATACATTTTTATTATTATTCCTACTCCTACCCCCACACCCATTTTCTTATTCTTACTTCTATTCATACCCCAACATAATCCTTCTCCTCTTCTCACTTATCAGCAATCATTTTAATTAGCACACCCTAGGGTTACTAACTTGTAATTTATGAAGATTAAATTTTTATTTAAAAATAGCTTGTGACCTTGGAAAAAAATAATGTGAAGTGTTTAGAAATACTAAAAAAATTTGTACACTCTTACCTTGAAGGAAACAAAGTAGCCATATCACAAAGCAGCACAACCGGGAGTCTGAGTCCATCCTGTTTCGCATACCGTAGGCTGCACGACTGCCCCTCGTGTTACCCAATATGCTTTTTATATATTTTATTTTCCTTCTGAACCAGAAACAGTTTATAGTGTATTGCCTCAGCAGGAAACACCCCACCATTAAAGCACGTGATCTAGTATTCTTTCCTTCATTTCCACAGGATAACATTGAACCTGACCTAATAAACTTTCTAAAGTCTCTAAAGAACAATAACATGCATGAAAACAGTCAAACGGAAAAAAAAAACAGTGACTGAAAAAAGTGACCGAAATAAATGTATGGTGTATGAGAATTTAGTCGGTCTGTGTAAAATCCTACATGTTGTGAAAAAGGTTTGCGGTTGGGATTGGAATCATTTGCCTGGCTATCAGTCATCATGGTAAGTCCTCAGTTGCATGACCAATGGCGAATTACAAACCACACCAGTCTTTTTTTTCACAACAGGCAACATTTTACACAGCTTACATAACACAACAATGAAATTGGTTAACTTGGTCACAGTGTACAAAACTATTTTTGTGATCAATTGACCATTGTGCAGTGATGCATGACTGAAATATAATGAAACTGAACATTTTCAAAGTTGACTTAATGGTTTTGTAGTTGTTTCTTAAATAGTCAGCTGGACACTTTTTCGGGTCATACTGTACAATTCAATTTTGCACTCGCCTAGGGAGTTAGAGCTGGTCCCAGAGGGGCCAGCCTTTAGTCCTCTTTGTACATGACTGACTCAATCACTCACTGTACGATTGTTGGTTAAGATGATATGATGAAACAGGAAATTACCCCATAACGTCAACGAATGAGTTAAACCGTCCCGTTGTATCAGCCACATCCTTCCACTGAATAGCCATTCTGAATCGATTGAGCAGCTTATGTGTGCTCTGAGACCGGAATTACTAGATCTCCCATGACTGTTTGAACACTTATTTTTGGAAGAGCCTACTCTGACACACACAAAAAGCAGGTGGCATTTCTTTTTCTTATCTAAAACTTAAGCAGTGTACTGTTTGAAAAGATAAACTAAACTCAAGAATCACAGCAGGAAGGGAATATGCAACACGAAACTTGGCAACGGATATTCTGGATAAATACGACACAGCGACGTGATAAAAATGATTCAATACAGGCATACGATTTCAAGATTGACTTACAAGATCCGGCTATTACACTTTATGAAGCAAACAGCCTCAAAACAATGGCTAATTGGACGAGTTACAATATTTGCAAAATAAAAACATGTAGTAAAAAAAAGATTTCTTCGTTGCGACATAAATACATGTGGTAAAAACCCCCAGATTTCTTCGTTGCTTGCATGTATAGCCCACACGGCAACACAAATCAATTTAAAACTGCATTACAGAGGAAAATTAATGTTCTAAAGGTTTTTTATGTTTTCAAAAATAAAAACTGTAAAAACAATTAGTGTTTACCGGAGATACAAGCCTGACAAGAAGTATTACCCGCTGGAGTAAGTTCCACAACAAACATCTGATTATGTCATTTCGGACCAAAATCTTCATTCTAACAGCTTTGTCTGCAAAATATAATGCTTGCTCGCATTAAAAAATCTACACTTTGCAGCACACAAGAAGATTCTATTGATGCGCTATGTTTATTAATCTACAATGACTAATACATAATCGCTAGATGAGCATTCATTAACATGATTGTTGGCGAATTGGGCCATGCAAGATACACAAAAATATCATTATATGATAACAGGGGGACATTCCAATAGACCTTTTCATATGCAAAACCTTCCAGTAACCTCAACTGTAAATGCCCCCCTCACCAAACCCTTTACTAATATTACTCTTTACATAAGGAATCGTTTTAAGCCACTTGATGAGACACTAGAACATTCTGGAAATAGTACGTAAGAATTTGTGAGAAATGTTGCAATAATCACGAGTATCTCCTTCATGTAAAATACTGTACTCAAAATGTTTCATTTGTTTGATAATTCTGGACTCTGAAAAATAATGGACGCTGACACAAGAGTCATATTCTTTGAAAGACAACTAATAGCCCTAACAGTCCTGAATCCTCCAATTTCAATACGATTTTGCACACCCCCTAGGGAGTTAGGGTCAACACAACAGGTGTCAGACAACAAGGTATTTTAAAGTCAGGAAGCCCGAATAGGGTTATTATGTAGTTTTTGAAGGCATGCTCAGGCACAGAGTGCATATATTAAGTAAATTTAGCATACATTCCGAGTGTAGTTTGATATTGCTATTTGGCGGTCAATTTCCATGACTGAAAATATTTGCAGAATCATGATGATTATTCAATACTAATCTCTACGCATTTTCCCACTAGCTTGGAAAAATATCAGCCTCTGATGAAAACAAATACATAGTGATAAAGGGGAATCTACAACATTTGCTGTTGCTGTAATTTCCAGAAATGGATGGATTTGGGGGCTTAGCAAATGATGAAAGACTGACCTGTTTATAGTTATGCGTTCATAAACGCTTGCAAAACCAAGAAAAAGAAGTGTCGTACTTGTCCTCTGCCTAAATTGGGAGACACTATTAACCAAAAAGTCAGTTTTTCCCAACGATGGTCAGCCGACCATCGTTGGAAATTGATACAAAACATTCACTTTTCTTGAAAATGACAGCGTACCAGGTGCCATGATTTCGCAGGCTGCTTAAGACTGTTAACTAACAACGTAGTAAGGTATTTCATAATAATGTGTTACTTTTGTTTTTTAATATTTGAAAATGTTGTATATTGCCTTTAAATGTTGCCAATACACTTATCACTATATTAATCATTCAGAGTAATTACTCATTAATTCTTTTAACATGCATTCCGAGTACATACTTTTTACTTTAATTATCAAATTAGTGTCTTGACTATCTCTTTCTATTACTAAAGTACTTGTAGAATTTAAATGATAGTTCAATACTAAGCACTACAGATTAGGAAAAAGGGATTACAAGTTGATATAGTGTATTCACATCGCCTCGTTTTGCCGGCTAAACCTCTCAATTTAATTTGTCCATATCTGCTCGTAATGTCTCCAGCAGCTTGGAAAATTCATCCATCTCTGTCAAACATACACAGTGTTATATGTTGCCATTTTTGCGCGAATAGACCCTGCAGTGAAATTTATACTCAAAAGATATTTCTTATTTGCGAACATTAATAACTCTAGATTTTTTAATGTATCCTTAGAGTGATTACTGAGTAATTCCATCATGCAGTGTGAGTATATAGTTAAAATCTTATCAGATGAAATACAATTTATTTAATATTTCTACGATTAATACTAAATGTTAAATCAATATAATAAACAGGTGAGGAAAACAATTATTGAAAGTGGTAAGTAAAAATCTATTGTCAAGTACTTTCTGCTGAACTTTTGTTTCAAATTATAATTATATGCTCATTATATCTCCACTAGCTTGAAATGTTATCAACTTCTATAAAGCATACATAGTAAATGTTACCATTTTGGTTTTGGCGAAAGAGGCCATATGCAGCAATTTCATACAAAAACATATTCTTAGACAGTAATTTCAGCATGCACTCCGAATATAATTATGCTTTTTAATTAAATCATCAAATTGGTGTCTTAACTATCATTTTCTGTTATCACATTTTTTTAAAGTATAAAATGTAGGATATCTATTGTGACGATCTGTCGACTTTTTCCAATGAATTTGTTGTTAGTTTGTTTGCTCATTAGTTCTCCAGTTGTTAAATTACCCTGGCCCTTTTGTCTATTTGTAAGTCTGTGCTCATGCAGCTAATAGGTGTATTGTTTCAATTACTGGTAGATCCGTGTTCACGAGTTGCCTCTCCGGAGTCGGAAGTCAGAACCTGTAGCGGAATGTCTGCAACAAAAGTGGAATATGCGCGTGATCTTGCACATAAAAACTGAGGTCAAAGGCCACTGATGAGTGAAATTTCCAACAATATGTATTTTTTTTAATTCATCGGTAGAGCGTGCAATAATATTCACCTACAGCTTACCTAGGTTTTCTGCCTTTTCCATCACGACGTCACTTTCTTCATCGTACTTGATGGAAGCGCGTGTGCTGTTAAAAAAAATAAGTATTTCATCACATATTAAAAGTATACAAGTATTTGAACTTAATTTTAATCGAGAAATTATCAATTAGCCTGTAGTTATTTCTTGACAGTGATTATTTCAGTGAATGCATTACTTACAGCTTCGTCTTGTGGCCGGCAATTTCTGAAATAAAAAAAAACAAATAATGATTAAAACTGTCTGTCTTACAACTGCAGGTTTTGGAGTTTGATAACATGAATACTCGTGATGAAATGATATCGAGAGATAATAAGAGTCTGATTTTAATGACGTTTGCATCGAAAGAATTTAAGAAATAATTCTGCCGAACTTATTGCACTGAATATACCACTGTGCAAATTTAACACCAATGAATCTATAAAGTACAAGTGGAGACAGGCGGATTCAAAGGATAATTAAACCAGCGGTCCTACATTTTCCCCGGTGTTATATTTACACTGTAGTTTTTGTAGTGTGATGACGAATGTTTGGTAGTACCTGATCTCGAGATTCGGTACGATCGTTAAAACTGTTTTCAGCTCTAACATTTTAAAGTCAATTGTAATCTCAAGAAAATCTCAGTACACAGTTGTTCCCCATTAGAACTGCTTGACTGAATGACAGCCACTTGTGATGATTAGATTGTAGACTGGTTAAGAGGGCCGGGCAGTGTTATCGTATATGATTACCCCGTAACGTCGATGAATCCGACCCTATTTGCAGACTAGGTGCATGCACGAGTTCAATCTGCTATGGACTAGCTAAGAAAAATCTTTGCCTTGTTTCGAGTTTTCTGAATTGAAACTATTTGTCCTGTAGGCTTACCTAGGCTGTTGGCGGTAGATCGTCGGTGATACACAAATCCAGCTACGATAACCACAATGCAGATAAATGCAACAATCGACACGACAATTATGCCTGCAACTAGCAGAGAATATCCTTTTTCAACAACTAGGGGAAACAAATATTGAAATGTGTTTGTTTAATTAACATCAGTTTACCTCTGAAGTAAATCAGGCGGAATATGTGTCAAAACGATTCACAATTTCGGTCCAATTAATAAGGTCTATTGTAAGACCCGATATTATTTTAATGTCCATGCAAAGGGACACACGGACGTGTAACATAAACAAATAAATTAATTAATGTCAGTAAATAAAAATAAACGAATGCAAGAATGCAAGTAGACCCCAATACGGCTTCTGTTGCGTTAGCGTAATTGTCATTTATTGAGATAACTTTAAAATGATTATACCTTGTAAAAAAGAAACCTCTGTTTAGATAATAATTCACAAATCAGTGTCATGTTAAGGAGAAAACGTACATGCTTCCCTTATCAGAAACAATGAATTGTCTTTCTTATCCAACTTTCAATATAATAATCGTTTAAAATTTAAAATAGTATTCAAACGTACATACCCACATAAGCCCGCCTCTCAGCTTCGTGCTGGCCTTTCCATAAAAGAGAGAAACAAAGTAAACTAAGTAGGGCCTTTTTCATCCCTTATTTTATTTGTAAACCGGATAACCGAAAATGAACTACAGCTTTGTCTATATTTAAGCGAACACACGGTACAATAATAAGATTTCTTTGGTACTAATGATAGTTATAAAAATTGTTTGCTATTGATTTAAAAATACCCTTTCCGTTCATTGCGTAATGAATACTGATCCACTTCTAAAGCCTTCGCGAAGTGGATTAAATCACTAAACGAAGGCTTCTTAACAAACACATGGCGGGTTGCTTTGCTGACTGGCCTCTTAACTCTTGACAAAATAATTGTTGACCGCCATATTTGGGGCGACTGCTTATTATTCACAAACTTAGATTTATATTTCTTTCTTGCGTTCACTGAATTTTTCGTGATTCTTATGTGCAAAGGGACTTTCTGCGTGCATGTGTTCCTTCTCATAGAATGTTGTATTTTCACAGTACACGTGTCCTACCAAGGGCCAGAGGGAAGCCTTTCTTGTGACGACTGAGCGATTCTTCGAACGTTGGACTGATACTGAGGTGAGACTTTAGTTAGATAAATACTCAGATCAACTCGTTGATATGCTAAGGATCCAATTGTAAAAGGAATATTGGCTTCTTTCTTAATTTTGTTACATCATGTACATGATGCGGTCTCGCCAAAATCCCCACAAGACAACAGTTACATAAAATCTGAATTGGAAATGTTCGCGAGGTTTACCTACTAAAATCGGAAGTGACGGAATCTGTGCTCACGTGAATTCTAAGTACTTACCTTGAGACTTGCTCATGACGTCATTGTCGGCTGGGGTTTCATCGTTCGGCTCCGGCGTTGTATTGTCAACTTCAGCTGATGATAAACAACAATCTTTAAAATCCTGAAGTTTTAATTAAGAGTAGGTAGACGCATAATTTGGGAAACTTGTGGGTGTTCCTCTTAAAAGATCAGTGTGAAGTTAGATGCTGATTAAAGAAACTTACGTAGTGTCGTACTAGTTTCCTTGATGACGTCGCTAGTGGCACTTGTGATTTCAATCAAGGGTTGTGGAGTTGCGTTACCGAGCACAGCTTAAAAAATGGAACAATAATCTATTTTTATTAAAAAGTAACTGAGTGATGTTTAGTGTCAAAAAGTACTGACTGGATTGTGAAATACCTGTAAAACAAAACAATTAGAAAAAAAACATAACCAGGTTTTTTTGTTTTCAGCTTAGTACTGTTGTAGATTTAGGTGCAGAAACTTTTCAGAAAGGAAAAAAAATAACCAATAAGCAATGTCGATACAACAATAATAAAAATTCACACAAATACATAAGGTAAATATGAGGATAAGATTAATTTTAGGGACAAAACGAAATAACAGATGCAAAACAGACTGTTTGGATTGTTTTACCATAATTAGTGAGTTCCTCTATCTTTAATTAAACAGGTAAAATAGGTTTTTCTATTTCAGTGTTTTTTGTATTACATCATGTACATGATGCGGTCTAGCCGGGCTTATTGTAAAGTTCATCAAGAATAAAGGATCAGGAGAATCAAACTGCACTCTTTGACTATCAGCCTCCCCCTTTAACTAGGGACGGACCCCCGCTCCGAGAATTCATGGGGTAGACCACCACATTATATGAAGACAGTCGTTTCGAGGGTGCTTACGGAAACGAAGTTTCAGTGTCTCTTATCAAAGATAGATAATGTTGAATTTAGCAAAACGTTTTTAATTTTGTGCAAAACTTTGCACCAGACAACAGTAACATTAAGACTCGAGTGCAAATGTTTGTGATTTGTACCTACTCAAATCGGAACGCACGGATTCCTCTGCCTCTGCTCTTTTGAATTATTGGTACGTGAACTTACCTTGAGACTTGCTCGTTCTCATGACGTCATAAGCGGCTGAGGTTTCAGCGTTCAGCTCCGGCGTTGTGTTGTCAACTTCAGCTGAAGAGAATAAAATAATCAAAACCCCGAAGAGTTCCAATTCAGAGTAGTTTTTGAGTTATTGGAACGTGAACTTACCTTGAGACTTGCTCGTTCTTATGACGTCATAAGCGGCTGAGGTTTCAGCGTTCAGCTCCGGCGTTGTGTTGTCAACTTCAGCAGAAGATAATTCAAATAATCAAAACCCCAAAGTTTCAATTAAGAGTAGGTAGACTAATAATTTGGCAACCTTGTATGTGTTCCTACACGAAAAATAAATGACATCAGTGTGAAGTAAGATGCTAATTATTTTGGGAAACTTACCCAGTGCCGTACTTGTTTCCTTTGTGGCGTCACCAGTGCCACGTGTGATTCCAATCAAGGGTTCTGGGGTTGCATTACCGACTTCAGCTTAAAAAAAAACATTTAACAAGAATTTATTTCTACTCAAATGAACTTCACTGAGTGATGTTTAGTGTCAGAAAGAACTGACTCGATTGTGAAATACATTTCAAAATTGATTTCAAATTAGTAGAGTAATTGTTGTAGAATTAGGGCAGAACACTTTATTTTGTTTGGAATTAAAATAAACATCAGCAATGTCGTCACCTCCAAAACAAATCTTACACAAACTCATTAGGTAAATCTAAGGATAAAACTTATTGTTGGGAAAAACTGCCAGAAAATATGCAAAACAGACTGTTTGGATTTTCTACCACATAATTATGATATGCACATTCCTTTACACAAATCCTGATTATAACCTTTTCACTTGTTTTGTTACCGATTTGAAACTATTTTTATTTGTGGGAAACGTTGAAAAATAAATGAATAGCAGCCGGTTGAATGACAATTTAAAATTACTTACGCAGAGTCTTTCCGATTATTGTCACGACATCACTCGCACCGTTGACGTTCTCAGCGTAAACCTCGACCTCGTACTCCGTGTCGGCCCGCAGACCGACCACTGTAAACTCGCTGACATCGTAGAGTCTGCCGCTGCGCGTGCTGGGGCTGAAGTTCGTGGTGGTTTCCAGCTCTCGGTAATTCACGAGAATCCATTGTTCTGGACCTACAACCTTCGTCCCAGGGATCCAGTTTACTGTTAGCGAGTAAGCAGTGATTCGACCCTGGTCGATTGAGATATTTGTAGGGGGGACAGGTTCAACTTTCAACAAAAGAGAAACAAAAGAAAACAAAACATCGTAAGATGATGTAACACGTTATATTGTTGTGTCTGAAGCAATAAGCAACTCAGTGTTTAGATATATGTGTTTGCATAATGTTGAGTAATCTATGAGAGGACCACATTGCTACTTTGTGTAAACTTGACCTCATCATTTAAGTACACTCATCGATTTCAGTTGAACGACACAAGTTGTAAGTAACTCAGTGTTTAGAAATATATGTTTGCATAATGCTGAATACCGCAAATCAGGCAGAATATGTGTCAAAACGATTCACAATTTCGGTCCAATTAAGGCCTATTGTAAGACCCGATATTATTTTAATGTCCACGCAAAGGGACACACGGACATGTAACATAAACAACTTAATTAATTAATGTAAATAAATAAATAAAAATAAACCAATGCAAGAATGCAAGTAGACCCCGATACGGCTTCTGTGGCATTAGCGTAATTGTCATTTATTGAGATAATTTTAAAATGATTATACCTTGTAAAAAAGAAACGTCTGTTTAGATAATAATTCACAAATCAGTGTCATGTTAAGGAGAAAACCTACATGCTTCCCTTTTCAGAAACAATGAATTGTATTTCTTATCCAACTTTCAATATAATAATCGGTTGAAATTTAAAATAGTATTCAAACGTACATACCCACATAAGCCCCTCTCTCAGCATCGTGCTCGCCTTTCCATAAAAGAGAGAAACAAAGTAAACTAAGTAGGGCCTATTTCATCCCTTATTTTATTTGTAAACCAGATAACTGAAAATGACTTACAGCTTTGTCTATATTTAAGCGAACACGCGGTACAATAATAAGATTTCTTTGGTACTAATGATAGTTATACAAATTGTTTGCTATTGATTTAAAAATACCTTTAAAAAGTTTTAAACAATGCTTGGTTTATTGCGTAATGAATACTGATCCACTTCTAAAACCTTCGCGAAGTGGATTAAATCACTAAACGAAGGCTTCTTAACAAACACATGGCGGGTTGCTTTGCTGACTGGCCTCTTAACTCTCGACAAAATAATTGTTGATCGCCATATTTGGGGTGACTGCTTATTATTCACAAACTTAGATTTATATTTCTTGCTTGCGTTCACTGAATTTTTCGTGATTCTTATGTGCAAAGGGACTTTCTGCGTGCATGTGTTCCTTTTCATAGAATGTTGTATTTTCACAGTACACGTGTCCTACCAAGGGGCCAGAGGGAAGCCTTTCATTTGACGACAGAGCGATTCTTTGGAAGTTGGACTGATACTGAGGTGAGAGTTTAGTTGGATAAATACTCAGATCAACTCGTGGATATGCTAAGGATCCAATTATAAAGGGAATATTGGCTTCTTCTTTTTAAATTTTGTTACATCATATACATGATGCGGTCTCGCCAAAATCCCCACAAGACAACAGTTCCATAAAATCGGAATTGGAAATGTTCGCGAGGTTTACCTACTAAAATCGGAAGTGACGGAATCTGTGCTCTCGTGAATTCAAAGTACTTACTTTGAGACTTGCTCATGACGTCATTGTCGGCGGGGGTTTCAGCGTTCGGCTCCGGCGTTGTGTTGTCAACTTCAGCTGAAGATAAACAAACATCTTTAAAATCCTGAAGTTTTAATTAAGAGTAGGTAGACGCATAATTTGGGAAACGTGTGGGTGTTCCTCTTGAAAAAAATCAGTGTGAAGTTAGATGCTGATTAGAGAAACTTACGTAGTGTCGTACTAGTTTCATTGATGACGTCGCTAGTGGCACTTGTGATTTCAATCAAGGGTTGTGGAGTTGCGTTACCGAGCACAGCTTAAAAAAATGGAACAATAATCTATTTTTATTCAAAAGTAACTGACTGGATTGTGAAATACCTGTAAAACAAAACAATTAGAAAAAAAAACATAACCAGGTTTTCTTGTTTTCAGCTTAGTACTGTTGTAGATTTAGGTGCAGAAACTTTTCAGAAAGGAAAAAAAATAACCAATAAGCAATGTCGATACAACTAAATAAAAAATCACACAAATACATAAGGTAAATATGAGGATAAGATTAATTTTAGGGACAAAACGAAATAACAGATGCAAAACAGACTGTTTGGATTGTTTTACCATAATTAGTGAGTTCCTCTATCTTTAATTAAACAGGTAAAATAGGTTGTTATATTTCAGTGTTTTTTTGTATTACATCATGTACATGATGCGGTCTAGCCGGGCTTATTGTAAAGTTCATCAAGAATAAAGGATCAGGAGAATCAAACTGCACTCTTTGACTATCAGCCTCCCCTTTAACTAGGGACGGACCCCCGCTCCGAGAATTCATGGGGTAGACCACCACATTATATGAAGACAGTCGTTTCGAGGGTGCTTACGGAAACGAAGTTTCAGTGTCTCTTATCAAAGATAGATAATGTTGAATTTAGCAAAACGTTTTTAATTTTGTGCAAAACTTTGCACCAGACAACAGTAACATTAAGACTCGAGTGCAAATGTTCGTGATTTGTACCTACTCAAATCGGAACGCACGGATTCCTCTGCCTCTGCTCTTTTGAATTATTGGTACGTGAACTTACCTTGAGACTTGCTCGTTCTCATGACGTCATAAGCGGCTGAGGTTTCAGCGTTCAGCTCCGGCGTTGTGTTGTCAACTTCAGCTGAAGAGAAATAAAATAATCAAAACCCCGAAGAGTTCCAATTAAGAGTAGGTTTTGAGTTATTGGAACGTGAACTTACCTTGAGACTTGCTCGTTATCATGACGACATAGGCGACTGAGGTTTCAGCGTTCAGCTCCGGCGTTGTGTTGTCAACTTCAGCTGAAGAGAAATAAAATAATCAAAACCCCGAAGAGTTCTAATTCAGAATAGTTTTTGAGTTATTGGAACGTGAACTTACCTTGAGACTTGCTCGTTCTCATGACGTCATAAGCGGCTGAGGTTTCAGCGTTCAGCTCCGGCGTTGTGTTGTCAACTTCAGCTGAAGAGAAATAAAATAATCAAAACCCCGAAGAGTTCCAATTAAGAGTAGGTTTTGAGTTATTGGAACGTGAACTTACCTTGAGACTTGCTCGTTCTCATGACGTCATAGGCGACTGAGGTTTCAGCGTTCAGCTCCGGCGTTGTGTTGTCAACTTCAGCTGAAGAGAAATAAAATAATCAAAACCCCGAAGAGTTCCAATTAAGAGTAGTTTTTGAGTTATTGGAACATGAACTTACCTTGAGACTTGCTCGTTCTCATGACGTCATAAGCGGCTGATGTTTCAGCGTTCAGCTCCGGCGTTGTGTTGTCAACTTCAGCTGAAGAGAAATAAAATAATCAAAACCCCGAAGAGTTCCAATTAAGAGTAGTTTTTGAGTTATTGGAACATGAACTTACCTTGAGACTTGCTCGTTCTCATGACGTCATAAGCGGCTGAGGTTTCAGCGTTCAGCTCCGGCGTTGTGTTGTCAACTTCAGCTGAAGAGAAATAAAATAATCAAAACCCCGAAGAGTTCCAATTAAGAGTAGTTTTTGAGTTATTGGAACGTGAACTTACCTTGAGACTTGCTCGTTCTCATGACGTCATAGGCGACTGAGGTTTCAGCGTTCAGCTCCGGCGTTGTGTTGTCAACTTCAGCTGAAGAGAAATAACAATAATCAAAACCCCGAAGAGTTCCAATTAAGAGTAGTTTTTGAGTTATTGGAACATGAACTTACCTTGAGACTTGCTCGTTCTCATGACGTCATAAGCGGCTGAGGTTTCAGCGTTCAGCTCCGGCGTTGTGTTGTCAACTTCAGCTGAAGAGAAATAAAATAATCAAAACCCCGAAGAGTTCCAATTCAGAGTAGTTTTTGAGTTATTGGAACGTGAACTTACCTTGAGACTTGCTCGTTCTCATGACGTCATAGGCGACTGAGGTTTCAGCGTTCAGCTCCGGCGTTGTGTTGTCAACTTCAGCTGAAGAGAAATAAAATAATCAAAACCCCAAAGAGTTCTAATTCAGAGTAGTTTTTGAGTTATTGGAACGTGAACTCACCTTGAGACTTGCTCGTTCTCATGACGTCATAAGCGGCTGAGGTTTCAGCGTTCAGCTCCGGCGTTGTGTTGTCAACTTCAGCTGAAGAGAAATAAAATAATCAAAACCCCGAAGAGTTCCAATTAAGAGTAGGATTTGAGTTATTGGAACGTGAACTTACCTTGAGACTTGCTCGTTATCATGACGTCATAGGCGACTGAGGTTTCAGCGTTCAGCTCCGGCGTTGTGTTGTCAACTTCAGCTGAAGAGAAATAAAATAATCAAAACCCCGAAGAGTTCTAATTCAGAGTAGTTTTTGAGTTATTGGAACGTGAACTTACCTTGAGACTTGCTCGTTCTCATGACGTCATAAGCGGCTGAGGTTTCAGCGTTCAGCTCCGGCGTTGTGTTGTCAACTTCAGCTGAAGAGAAATAAAATAATCAAAACCCCGAAGAGTTCCAATTAAGAGTAGGTTTTGAGTTATTGGAACGTGAACTTACCTTGAGACTTGCTCGTTATCATGACGCCATAGGCGACTGAGGTTTCAGCGTTCAGCTCCGGCGTTGTGTTGTCAACTTCAGCTGAAGAGAAATAAAATAATCAAAACCCCGAAGAGTTCCAATTCAGAGTAGTTTTTGAGTTATTGGAACGTGAACTTATGTCACAAGTTGTAAGTAACTCAGTGTTTAGAAATATATGTTTGCATAATGCTGAATACCTAAGGTTGCCACCAAAATGTAATCGGTTTAAGAGTTTAAGGTTCACCTCTGCTATTCAGCAAAATTGTCAGGGTGTCCACCATTCCGATGCCGTTACCACAGTCACACACGTAATAGCCGTAGTCTTCTGCTCCAGACACTGTATTGATTTGCAAGGTGTTCGTCACTGTGTACCCCTCTACGCCACCTCTGCCGTGAATGGTCTCCACCAGTGTGATCCTTCCAGGATGGCTCTGGTTGGTTATTCTGGTGCCAGTCGGACCCAACCATGTCGTCATTGGGTAGGGGTTGCCTTCGGCCGTGCATACTAGAGTGGCTCTCTCCCCAACGTTGGCTTCGGCGTAGTTGTTTTCTGGGTTTGTTATGGTAACTCCAACTTTGAGAGATACACAAGTGGGAAACGGAAGACTTGAATTCATTAACAGTGTTCTAAACATTACGGGAACGCTTTGCATTGTCAATTGATGTTAAGGAGATGGCTTTACGAATATTCGGCAAAGTTAGTTACAAACACGTTTAAAATGAAACTATCCGGTTAAAAACAGGTCAATGCTGTACTTTGAAATCCTTTAAATAAATGTTAACACAATCAATCGATGGGCATGAAACTTACAATGCACGATGATGTCGACTGGCGTTGAAAATACAACGGGTGGTATACCGTTGTTTCCACGACACCTGTATGACCCAGTCTGCTCCTTTGTGATGCTCCTTAGTGTCAGAGTGCTTGTACCATCGCTGTAAACAGAGGTAAGGGAGTCAGGAGATCCGACCTTCTCCCACGTGATGAAATCAGCGGGCATGGGATTGGCGTCTGCGCTGCAGGACAGGATGACGTCATCTCCCTCCTCGACTGGACCGGGTGTGAGAACCATCGGCTCCGAAAAGAAGGGACGATCTTGAGGTTTGAAAAGTAAATTGGGGAAAGGAAACGATCTGCATGTTACATCTACGCACATTATTAGCGACGGTAAAGTGATTTCAGTTGTAGCTTTGTCTTCTTAAACAGTTCAACCTTTCAGGGAAAGAAGTGACATGAACTTTAACGGAAGGTGCAGTAATTACAGCTGTGTGCTACATTATCTGAAAGCTTCAACAAGGAACTCACAACAGATCGCGTTCCATGAAGAACCACTTAAGTTTAAGGAGGGTTTGTCAACACATTTGTTATTTTCCCCTTAATATATTTACAACGCCTATTGTAAAATAATGTTTATTTGCTCTCATGACAACATGTTTGGAATAAAACTTACACTCAACATTCAGTGAACACGTGTCACACACGTCTGCGGTGCAGACCGATGGTCTGGCGGCGCAGCACTTGTATTCACCCCCGTTGTCTGTTCTGGTGAGTGCGCCTGTCGTGAAGCCCAGTGTCGTCATTCGGCCACCGTAGTCGCCATCAGTAATCATTAGCCCTGGATGACCAGTTTGCTCAACATTGTCTCTCAGCCAAGTCAGATTGGTGGCCGGGTTCGTGCTCTCGGATACACAGCTCAAGGACACACTACCGCCTGATACGATTCTGTACGGGCAACCGGTGATGCTCACCATCCTTGTACATACTGAGAGAAAAGTAGTCGACTTATGATTATTAATGTGCCAAACGTGCGACTGTCATTGGCTAATTCCATAATACCAACGACACTTCTATTAGGTTGCAGCCAGCCATTTTGACATCACGTTCCTTCCGTACATATTTGTATACTTACGCGCAGTCGTGCCGATGATCGTCACAGCTTCACTCACGCCATTGCCATTTGCTGCATAAACCTCAACCTCGTACACGGAGTAAGGACGCAGTCCCATCAGAGTGAATGAAGTGACGCCATGGAGTCTGTCGCTGCGCGTGTTGGGATCGAAGTCGTCAGTCGTTGCAAGCTCTCTGTAATTGACATGGAACCAGATGTTTGGTGCAGCCTCGTTCCGAGGTGTCCATGACACTGTGATGGTCGTGGCCGTGTTCATAGCTTCTTCGATGGAGACGTTCATCGGTGCAGCTGGTAAAACTAATCCACCCAAAGGAGAATAATGTGAATTATGTACCTTGCCTTGTAAACAAACAGGATAAGGGAATTATAGTAGAACAGGTTACAGAGCAGAAAATTCTTATAGTCAAGCGATTCACAAATTCGCTGGGTTGCTCTTAATGCATATGGTGTTCCCAAATAGCCGTATTTAGCTCTAACAAAAAGCCCGCGGTGGCACTTCCAGACTCTCCTCTGCAGTCAGTCAGCAGTTCATCAGCCAGTGAGATACAAGGAGGACTGGCTCTCCCAAGGAACTGCAGTAATGTTAGATTAAACATGGTTTTATAAAGGCATACAATACTCACCTCTCGAAGTCAGCTGAATGGACAACGCGTCCACCCTCCCAACGCCATTTCCACAGGTACAGACGTAAAAGCCGTAGTCTCCAATACCGGTCACGTTTTTGATGTGCAAAGTGCTTGTCACCGTGTATCCATAGACAACATCCCCGCCGCTAATGGTATCGACCTGGGTTATCCTACCTGGCTCAGTATGATTAGTCATCCTAGTGCGGGTTGGACTCAACCATCTGATTAAAGGATGGGGGTTACCTTTGACCGTACAGGTCAGAATAGCGGCCTCACCGTCATCGGCTTCGACGCAGTTATCAGCTTGGCTTGTTATGGCGGCTTCATCTTCAAAAATAAATTTCAAGCACCAAACACGATAATTACAAAGATACATTTTGTGTGAAATTCCACTTCAAAGAAGCAAACTGTTAACGACGGAGTCTTTACACTTGAGATGTTTTTACAATATACGCAAACTTAGAATGTACAGTGAATTAAGAGGTGATCTACATGATGGAAATGGATGATTTTGCGTTAATAGTAAAGCTGTAACAACCCTATGCTATACGATATGACACTTTATTACATGGAGGTATTTACATATTAAAGTTTATGCAACCACTGATGACCATACAGCATTTGATAAAATGCTTAAAGTTAATTAGATACCAACCGGCTGGAAGTGATTTTCAATAAATGTTTGTGATTTGGAAAGACGAAATTAAGACTTACAGAGAACGATGACATCAATGGATCTTGAAAAGATAACAGGTGGTACACCATTATTTCCCCGGCACCTGTACGAACCAGCCTGCTTCCTGTTGACGCTGCTTAGTGTCAGGTTGCTGGTTCCATCGCTGTAGACGGAGGGGAGGGAGTCAGGGGACCCGACCTTCTCCCACGTGATGAAGTCAGTGGGCATGGGATTGGCGTCGGCGCTGCAGGACAGTGTGATGTCATCTCCTTCATCCACGGGATTCGTCGTAAGTGACGTTGGGTCGGTAAATACAGGACAATCTGAAAATAAGAGTACATTACAGTTTATTAAAGAGATATGTGTCAACTTGTTAAAGTGTTCGAGAGCGGAGTTTAGATTTCTTTAATTCTTTCTTTCATAAATCTGATAAGAGTAAACATCAAACTCCTGGATGAAATTGTACCTTGCTAGTGCTTTACGTCTGGGGAAAAGCCTTTCCTGGCTTTCTTTTGCAAGAAAGAAGAGGAGTTTTACACCAAAAGGAAGAAGTTCGTGCAATCAGGCATATACAAGTGCACCCTCATGATGCACCTCATTGACGAGGCTCGTATTTATTTGATTGCGTAGTAGTTTAGGTGTTTGCCTAATAGTATCACAAATTCGGTTTCACTGTCGACAAGTTTCTGAGTCCTTGTCAATAAACGTCATTGAAAACTCACGCAATGTCTTGACAACTGTCTTAACGGCCTCGCTTCTTCCATGGGCATTCTCAGCGTATACCTCAACCTCGTACATTGCGTAAGGACGCAAGCCCTCCACCGTGTACTCGTTGGATCCCTGTAGTCTCTGGCTTCTTGTGCTGGGGTCGAAGTCCGTTGCTTTTCCAAGCTCCCGGTAGTTGACGTAGAACCATTGAGGCGTCCCAACCTCGGCCCCAGGGCGCCACGTAATAGTGACCGAATCGGCGGTGATTCGTTCCTCGTCTATCGACACATCGTAGGGCGACGATGGCACCACTTGACAAATAAAAGAACCCACTTTTTAATTATAAACACTCGCAAAATGACACGAAATTTCTGTCTATCTTTCACTCTGATAGGGACACTGTCCTTGGATATTGTGTATGTCTTGACGTTGCATTTGAGACATATTTCACTTCTTTTAGACTTTGAAAACCATACCTTTAATGTTCAAATGGATATGCAACATGTCTACGCGTCCTACACCGTTTCCGCTGTAGCATGTGTAGTAACCATAGTCTCCTTCCGCAGTCACTCTTTTGATTTCCAGGATGCTCGTAACAGAGTAGCCATATATGTCATCTCCTCCATTGCTTGTGACGGCTTGAATGATTCTTCCTGCGTCTGTGTCATTGTTGATCTCTTCGTTAGTTGGGTCTAACCAGACGGTTAAAGGCAGTGGATTGCCCTTTGCTGTGCAAAGAAGAACGGCCCCCTCACCGTCCGCAGCCCCAACATAGGTGTCTGCCTTATTTGTGATGTTTACCTCATCTTTTGGAGGAAAAAGGCAAATAGTGAAGTTTTTAATAACAAAATGGTATCATTGTTTGTTCACACTTCCATGAATAGTAGTGACTATCATTCATAATGTTAGCATCCATTGATTTATTACGTATTCAATTCGTGGCAGTCTGCTTTGGAGGTAACATGAAGATTACTGGGACACAAAAGGGTCTAGAAACGTTGTTCAAGGCCCTTTTCACATCAAGACATAATTTATATCATAGATCAAAACAAAACCACGATGATAATGAGAACAGATTAGTAATGAAAAGTTTGTAGTGTAGTGCCTCTTATATTAAACGAGAAGGCCGATTTCAAAAGAATTTACTCATTGACTCGGTCAGCTTAAGAACAAATTCGTTGAATATTGTCACCTTTTCGAAAGGGTTACTCAAATCGAAAATCGAAGAATTAAATTACAAATGGTGATTTACAGTAAACGGCAATGTCGATTGGATTCGAGAACACTACGGGTGGTACACCATTGTCTCCGCGGCATCTGTACGGCCCAGCCTGCTCCCTGCTGATGCTGCTTAGTGTCAGGTTGCTGGTACCATCGCTGTAGACGGAGGGGAGGGAGTCGGGAGACCCGACCTTCTCCCACGTGATGAAGTCAGGGGGCATGGGATTCGCGTCTGCGCCGCAGGACAGGATGACGTCACCGCCCTCTCTCACAGGACTGGGCGTGGTTGCCTTCGGCTCGGAAAAGTATGGTCGATCTGCAAAATATTACATTAATGTGAAGCAGACAAATACTTACTCTGCCGCCCTTTACCGGGCCAGGACAGTAATGCTTCATTGGAAAACTATACAATATAGAAAAATATAGTTGGGGTGCTTATGAGTTAAAGTTTCAGCCTAGGTGTATGTTACAGGACGGCAGAAGTTGGACAGAATGCATAATATATGTAGTGGAAATTAGAAAAAGGCATTATTATTGAGCGGTCAGATAAATATGACTTATTACTTACATTCAACATTGAGTGAACAGCTGTCGCACACGTCGGCGGGGCAGGCTGTCGTTTTAGCCGTGCAGCAAGTGAACAATGCCCCATTGTCCTCTTTGGTCAGCACAGCTGTTGTAAAGTCCTCCGTGGTCACGTGACCGCCATAGTCTCCTTTCGGGAGTGCTGGCGGAGCAGGGTTGGTTTTGCGCCGGCCATTTCTCAACCAGGTCAGGTTTGTTATTGGGTTGCTGCTCTCGGACACGCACCTGAATGATACCATGCTGTCTGGTATGGCTTTGAGTGGACAGTTGGTGATGCTTACCCATCGCGGACAAACTAAATGGTAAAATTATTTCAACGATTTCAGATATTTGCTTTTCTTTCAAATATAAAAGAACAGCTGATTTAAAACATAAAACGTGTTTAGTATAACACTTCAACAGTTTTAATAATTGTTTATCTAGTTTTGGTTGCAGAATTAAGATCCATGTTCAAGGACGGATTATTTCAATTGAACACATTCCATGTCGGAACACATTTCAACCTGTGGTTTGACTTTGGATAAGTTTTTAACTGACCGCCATGTTATCCAGGCGTGGAACAAGAAGGGGGCTTGGGGTTAGAACCCCCCTCCCCGCTCTGACACCAAACACCGACAATAAGTGCATCAGTAAGAATGTGCCGCATTACCTAATGCCTGCCTGTCCACAACAATCAGGCAAAACTGGAACAAATCTAACGGGCCTGAACCCTCTCCCCTGCGAAAATTCTGGTTCCGCCCATGTTATTCTTTAAGTGTTTTACTCCCTATATATTCCGCTATGTAAAAGATTGAATTCTCCATCATGATACCTACAGTGTACATTGATAGGACCATACGTTGTGGTAGGATGAACTGTCCAAGAATCCTTCCGTGCAGTGCAGGTGATTGTCTTCCCGTTGTCATCTCTCGTTGGTGTGACGTTGAGGGCGCTAGTGAACATAAAGCGATCATCCGAAGCTGACGGTACAGTTGTGAGGTTGGCTATGTCGTACACGTCGCCGAATGACCAGTACAACAGCCAGTCGTCAGGAAAACCCATGTCGGCATAACACGTCAGAGTAGTTGTAACGCCTTCTGTCATTGTCGTGTTACCAATGATCCAAGGAAGATCGGGTGGACCTACAAAAACACAGACAACGTGGGTTTACTATTCATTCACTGCGAAGGACCATTACATTTTTTCCTATGTGATCATCTTTCATTGTCGTATTAGCAGCTATCCATAAACATTCTGTTTGACCTAGAAAAATACAGACAAGTGTGGTTTTACTATACATGTACTACCGCTAACCTATAGATTCCCTTCTTGACCTGTCGTCGTCGTGTTGCCAATGATCCAAGGAAAATACGGTAAACCTACAAAAACACAGTCGTTACGGTTTAAATATACATTTACCAACGAGCACCTGTGCATTTCCTTTCTTGACCTTTTGTCATTGTCGTATTACCGACGATCCAAAGGTCGATCTGATTGACCAAGAAAAACATGACACAAAACAACCGAGGACGTGTTCGGATCATTGGGATTATTTTCACATGTTTAAGTGATAACCTTAGGTCATTCATCGGCATCATTACTGCACGACGTCAATACTCACCATTGACCTCTAGGTTAAGTGCCTTGGATGGCAACGGTTCCTGTGACTCGGCGGTGCTAGCCACGCACCTCACCTCCTGGCCGTGATTGGCTCTGCTGGGCGTGAATGACCACGTGTCTGAGGTATTGACCAATCCAATGTCCTTCCCGAAATGTGGATCAGCTGTTCTTTGCAGGTTGCCATTCAAGAACCACCCAATGGCAACAGCTGGTCTGGTACCCTGTACTTCACATCGAAGACTGCTAGGCGATCCCTGGTCAACAACAAAAGTATTCACCAGACTGGTCCCACTGGCATCGTATAACGAGATAGAAGAAGATCGAGGTGGTACTGTGGAAAAGAAATAAAACATAGATAAAGGTTCTGAAGTCATTAAAGAAAAACAATTGAGTCAGTGTACTGATTTATACATGATTCATTATAAAGCTTCACCTCTCCTTTTTCCTGTTTAAATAAAGTTTGCAATTGAGGCCGTTTGTTTGGAATGCGACTTTGATAGGAGAGAGTGTAACATGATCAGGTAAGGTTTTCAATAGGCCTTTTTCATACCCTTTATGTCCAGCACCACGCCAGTGCTGATGCCCACATGACCTTCCCTGTTAGTGGCACGGCAAAGCAATTCCTGTCCATGGTCAGCCCATGAGGGCGCCATTCTGACGTGGCTGGCACTGGTGAGGAAACCGCTGTTGCTCGTGACTTCACTGCTGTTACTAAACTCTTGATTGGCCACAGTCCATGTGAACGATGCTCTCGGGTTGATGTCAGGCACCACGCAAGTGAACCGATGATCCACTCCTTCGATCAAGTACGCAGTGTCATTAGACGAGTAGGTTCCACTTGAGTCAAACAAGAAAATCTCTTTTGGGAGGACTGAATTTAAAAAAAGAGAAAAAATATGTCACTGACGTTCACTTCCAATTATAAGCTGTAACCTGATGACTAAAATAATCCATGGTAGTATCGAGGACTTTCTAACTGCGCATGTGCATTGACCCATGGAATACGCTAGGGGTCAAAAAGAATAACACAAGCACTAAATAGATACCGAAAATATCTTTCAACCGTATCACAGATATTCAAATATCTTCTTATATCGTCTTGGCGCAAAGAACTGTTTACAGATACGAGGTATTTTACCCGACTACAAAGAGGGAGAATGCTCGAACTAGCGATTGTTTAGTTCATGTCGACAATCGTGCTCATTCTGGCTTACCTTGAACATTGAGGGAAACAGTCACAAACGGGAATGGGCGAGATGCCTCTGCTGTACTAGCCGCACACATGACTACTTGCCGGTGGTGCTTTGTTTCCGGAGTCAACGTCCAGGTCCCAGAAGTGTTGACAAGGCCGTTGCTTCGGCCTTCTGCAGGGCTGACTGTACTCTCGAGGACCCCGTTCAGGAACCACTCAATAGTCGCTGCTGGTCTAGTGTCCTGTACCACGCACGTGAAAGTGCCTGGGCTGCCTTCATCGACATCCACTGAGGTTCCTAGTAGGAATCCATCAAGGTCCAGGAGAAAAACAGACGATTCTTTTGGAGGCACTATAAGAAGTAACACGATACGGAAAGTGATTAAAAAGGACAAAGGTGCAGTTTTTGGCACATATATAAGAGCCGGTACCAAACTGAAGCAAAAACAAACACTTGGTTCTTGAAACATCTTCTAATAAACGAAGGTGAGGATTAAGCCTGAACTCCGATGCCAGATGAAGACACGGCGTAATAAACATCTGTGGGTGTAATGCGTTCTATGACCAACCTTTGACATCAAGCGTCACGCTGACGTTCAAACCAGGGTAGCCAGGCTTGTTGAAAGCATGACATTGCAGTAACTCTCCCTGGTTGTTCCAAGTAGGAGACACCGTGACGGTGCTGCTGCTGTTGGTCAGTCCGTCAGATCCCACGATGTCTTTGGTGACATTTGATGTGATGCCCTGACTCCCCAAGGTCCATGTCATAGATGCTGCTGGGTCGATGCCCGGAACCTCACATGTGAATTCATGCTCCACTCCAGCGATCAGATACGACGTCCCGTTGACGAAGGAGGTGTTCCCAGCCCAGTCGTACAGAGATATAACCGTTGGTAGAACTAAGTATTCGATAACGAAAAGCTTTGGTAATCAACAATACTGTATGATTAACCGAGAATGCATTCAGTGAAAGAAGTTTCCCAGATCACGGTTTTTGACTAAGAGGATGGAGGACTAGGGTGATCGGACGAGTCCGTCTCAGCCTTGGCCGAGCCACTGAAATTGTGCAAACTGTCAACTTTAGTTCCTCGAAAAAGAGAGTGGATAGCAACAAATAAAGCAAGATGACCAGCTAGTTTGATTTCTTGTCATGTGACTGGTATTGAATGCTTTTATTGAAGTGTCATTTACTACCTGTTATTACGGACAATTGAGTGAGTGTGAACCCCGTTCTCCCATGTTACTCTCTGTCAAAAAAATACCAAAGTCGATCGAGACATTTGAAACAAGATATACGGCTGAGGGGAACCCCAAACTCTCAGGGATTCTTTGCACGTTTCTCGGGAAATGAGTGAGGTGCAAATAGTCTAGAGTGTGCGTAGCGTGTAGGGACGCTAGGTTTTTCATCAAGTAACTGTTGACAGCACGTTCTGGCTCAGGAAGCTTTGACTGGAGAGTTTCATGTACCGTATGCGTTAAGGCAGAGTTAGAGGGCAATCGCCAACTATCTCAACGCTTAGGAAGACTTAAGTAACTTACTCTGCATTCATTGGCGCTTAAATAAAATAACAAAACTCAGAATATGCAATACCTCCAACACAAACGTTTTTCTCCGAGATTCAAGAAGGCCCGAGGTTCTCACATTTCTTTATAGGCCAGGCCAAACTGGCATTTTCTTTCCCATCCCTTAAATTACATACCGTTGACATTGAGTGCAGTGGTCACAGATGGCAGTGGCTCCTGCGACTCGGGTGTCCCTGCCATGCACCTCAACTGCTGACCGTGTATTGATCTGTTAGGAGCGAATGTCCAACTGTCTGAAGTATCCACTAAATCATCGCCTATACCGGAGGGAGGAATGAAGGTCCTTTGCAAAGCGTCACCAATGAACCACATGATGGTTGCGGCCGGTCTGGTTCCCTGCACCTCGCAGGTGAAGTTATATGATGTGCCTTGGTCAACAGCTGCGGTTTGGCCGAGTCTGGTTCCCTCGGGATCGTAGATTGACAGGGACGATTGCGTTGGCGGGACTTCAAAAAACATGATCATTAAAAATATATTTAAATGACACTCGCTTTTCTCTCATCAGCACAACACATATAAACCCTCATGTTTTTCTAACGTTTTTAAGGCATAACAGGGAATAATGTATATATTCTTTCGACAAGCATTGCACAGTTTGAGCAAGGCCGATTTCTGAAGAGTATTATAGTAGCATTAAGTTTCCAGAGAATTAAAGCCACATCTACAGAAGTCCATAACAAAGTCAATAACAAGTCAACCACAAGTCAATCATAAGTCAGCCACAGTTAGTCCAGACCAAGTCCAATTAAATTCCATTTCAGTGATCGATCATTCCTTTGTTATTTGTTACATCCTTTTACTTGCTGCCTGCTTGTGATATAATTATATTACGTTTTTGTTCAATCGTCTACATCGTCTTGTGTTTGGCTTCGCATCAGCGTCCAGAATCACAGAGAAGCCTATCCAACATAACATGGCAACATACAGCAACATTTGGCCACATCTTATACATTTTAAAGTGCATTGGAGGAGAGCATGTACCGTTAAGGGCAAGCAAAATGGGCATGAGTCCCTAAGGGCATGAATATCTCATAAGGTGGAGACTAAAGCGAAGTTTCTAAAACCTCCGTAATTTGTTTTGCATAGAAGCTGCTTCTACGTACCTTTTACATCTATGGTCGAGCTAACGCTAACACCGGGGAAACTTTCGTAGTTTGAGGCCAAGCACCGCAGGTTTTTCCCCTGGTAGGCCCAAGAAGGGGTAAGGGTAATAACACTGATGCTTGTAATGAGCCCGTCACCATCGGAAGTATCGTTGCTGCTGTCCTCTGTGAGATCCATGCCGCCAAGGGTCCAGTTGAAGTCTGCGCCTGGCTTGATGCCGGGAACCACGCAAGTGAACTGATGCTCTACTCCGGCCACCAAGTAATATGTTGTATTGTTGGTAGTTGAGTTCTCATTCGCATCCCACAGCTCAATGGTGCTTGGTAGTACTTGGTAAAACAAAAAAAGAAGAAAATAAATAATTTTTACAGTTAACATTTGCAACTATGATTAAGCAGAGACCTCAACCCACATCCGTCGAGTTCATCCCCGAAAATTAATTGCAAAATTTGTTTTTTGAAACTTCCAATTGAAAGTCATTCCATTGATTCCATAAAGTTCTCCAATTTGAAATTTTCGCAAGAGATACTTATCATTACACCGTGAAGGCACGTGCCAATGCGATTTGGTTGTACAAAAGACGCAATGTGTTCTCTATGCGCACAAGCCAATGCATTTCTAAAATCTCTTTTTCTCCTCCCTAATGGGGCATTTTGTACACAGTCAATACCTTGCACAGAAAATGCATTTAGTTGAGAAAATGACGTACCATCGACGTCAAGCGTGGTCCTCACGTATGGATATGGTTCCTGTGACACCGTGTTGCTGGCAACGCACTTCACCTCTTGACCCTGATTGGCTCGGCTGGGTGTGAGTGTCCAAGTGTCACTGGTGTCCACCAAGCTGTACTCCCCTCTGCTGGGTGCGTAAGCAGTTTCACTCAGGGCGCCATCAAGGTACCAGCGGATTTTTGCCGCAGGACTGGTGTCCTGGACGTCACACGTGAACGTGAAGGGCGCCCCCTCCAGTACGGTGACCACACCCAACAGTCTGGTTCCACTTGAATCTCGCAGGGAAAGAGACGACGTCACTGGGGGTGCTAGACAACAATAGTTTTAAGATCATACAAGATATATGGAAATAATTGAAATCTATATCAAGGCAGCCACGGCAGTTCATACTCCCTCAATACTTAAAACAGTCATTTCTAATTACGAAAGACATCAAAACCAATGTTAAGCAAAACCTGGAATAAATGATTAACTTTTTAATATATTTGGTATCGCCTTCACTAACGATTGTGCGCTAATGAATTTTGACAGTCGATACAACTAGGTATCATTATTAACTCAAGGCAACTCAGCTGGGTGTGTTTTGAAAAGGAATGATTAAATGCAGAAAAAAACATATTTATATTTAATTTTTGTGTAAGAGAAAATTGTAACAGGTGACCAAGTGAAAAAACAAAGTCTCAAACGCTTACATTGTTTTAAAATCCACGAGAAACCCTGTAATTTGGTTCGTTTGAAAAATGGACGATGAAACAAATTGGTTGATTTCGTTTCTGTTTTCATCAGGTTGGAGTTGAGCACCGAGTGTACGTTCACTGATTCATGGCGTTAAGAATCCTCTTGTGCATTTTCCACAATGATCCGTCCATTGATCTGAGTGTAAGTAGAGTGAGACATGTGATTTTCATACTTGGTTTTGGGATGCTGCTAGCCCAGAGACTAAACCCTCTCTCTGTCACGCTGCCATCTGAGCTGAAGGATAGTTGAAGGTTGCTTCCTGTAGACACCACATCGCCTGGACGAGAAGACCCGCTGAAACTCCACTCTTGACTAGTTGAGGTGTCGACAATCCGCAGATGGTCGCAGCACGACTCGGTGTCGAAACTTGAGAAGCTGATGCGAATCCGCCGGCTGCTGGCCGTTGTAACAGTCCAGGTGCGGTACTCATTGTCCCCGTAGTGCCACAAGTAAACGTGTGTTCTCCCACCAGCGCCGATGTATGTACCGGTAGACACTGCATGGACATGGGAAACTTGAGTTACTCAGAACACAGCATCACTATTTCAGACTTGACCATTAAACATATCCGACTATTTGGGCCGATTTTATTCCTGCCTAACTTTATTAAGCATTTGGCTGTTCAGACTGACATAAAACATTTTAAATTCTGGATTCGTGTTTGGCTTTGGCAGGCTTTAGAAGTGCTAGAAGGAGTATAGTTAGGGTTAGGAGTTTAGAAAAAGTAGGAGGAGGAGTAGAAGCAGGAGATAGAAGTAGCAGCAGGAGATAGGAGGAGTAGCAGTAGGAGATAAGAGGAGTAGCAGCAGGAAATAGGAGGAGTAGCAGCAGGAGACAAGAGGAGTAGCAGCAGGAGACAGGAGTAGCAGCAGGAGATAGGAGTAGCAGCAGGAGACAGGATGAGTAGCAGCAGGAGATAGGAGTAGCAGTAGGAGATAGGAAGAGTATTAACAGCAGGAGACAGGAGGAGTAGCAGCAGAAGATATGAGGAGTTGCAGCAGGAGAAAGGAGGTGTTTCAGCAGGAGATAGGAGTAGCAGCAGCAGGAGATAGGAGGAGTAGCAGCAGAGGATTGGAGGAGTAGCAGCAGGAAATAGGAGTAGCAGCAGGAGATAGGAGGAGTAGTAGCAGGATATAGGAGCTGCAGCAAGAGATAGGAGGAGTAGCAGCAGGAGATATGAGGAGTTGCAGCAGGAGAAAGGAGGTGTTTCAGCAGGAGATAGGAGTAGCAGCAGCAGGAGATAGGAGGAGTAGCAGCAGAGGATTGGAGGAGTAGCAGCAGGAAATAGGAGGAGTAGCAGCAGGAGATAGGAGGAGTAGTAACAGGAGATAGGAGCTGCAGTAGGAGATAGGAGGAGTAGCAGCAGGAGATAGGAGTATGGGTTGCTACACAAATTGGAATGGCAGCAGGAAGGTGTAATGGTTACAGCAGGAAGGGTGTAATGGTTACAGAAGGAAAAGCAGAAGCAGTTGGAGGAGTAGGAGTAATTGTTAGAGTGGAACAGAAAAAAACGGAAGATGTACAATGCTGTAGGAGTAGCAGCAGGAATGGGAAGTGTATCCGTTCGAAAATGTGCCGTAATGAACAGGGCCTCCTATTGTCCGAAAGTGACCATGATTGTCCGCTTTGAACAACGCCCCTAACTAGGAAGATGATGTTCGCCGACATTTTCAAGTTGATTTCGCTGAGGCCGGGTGACTGGGGAAAAATCCTCAAACCTTTTGGCATGAATGTTGTGTCGTCCAATTTGTTGGCAACACCCCCCCCCCCCATTCAAAGTGGTCTAGCGACGCTACTGGTATCGGTAAGTCATACAGCTACTGGTCCTGCTACTTTCTACTTCCACTTCTGCAGCTGCTACTCCTTCCACTTAAAATCCTAATTCTACTTGTATTCGTGCTCCTTCACACCTACTCGTACGCGTTTTTATATTACTTTGTTACTCCAACTCCAACTTCAACTCCTACTGTATTACCATTTGTTCTCCTGGCCCTTCTCTTACTATCCCTATTCCTACACATCCTGCTTCACTACTTCTACATTTACCATTACGCCTTCTATACCCTACTACTCATATCACTTCTCTACTCCAATTACTAATATCACCCTGCGTCTTTACCCAGTCCTACTCGTACTTTAGTATAGTACTCCTCGTATTACTCCTTCTCTAACTTCTATCCCATCATTCTTTTACACCTACTTCTAATTCTACTCCTGTTTTTATTGCTATAATGTTTCTCATATTTCTATTATGCACGTCTTATACTTTTAAACTACTCATACTATAAGGCAAATGACAAGGGAGCAGTGTTCTAAAAGAATCGTACTATTATTGTTCAGTGTTTTTGTCAAGGTATTTGTTGCTGATTTATAAAAATACAAATATACGAAAAATCAAATTCATGTTATCTACACTCCGCCTAAGTTCTCTATCCGTTCAATGGACTGGTTTCATGTTTAAGATTAAAGGGAGGAAATTAAAAAATAGTGCTAGAGATACTTTGCGTTTGAAGCATAAGAAAAATACCACACGTTGGTTCGGCGATTGCAGTATACAGGGTGTATAAAACAAAGCAAAGCCAGATGTAAAAAATCTAGTAAGTATTTTCAAATAAGTTAAAGATCATGGGAAACACAAATGTGTCCTCATTCCAATCATACCTTCATTGTTTGTCTGTGGCCACGGATGACTTGGCATTCATTGTTACTCTGTCAAGGGTCAAAATCTTTACTGGGCCAAGTTTAAACTGGCTGAGACATCCTTTTCTTTAAAACAATTTATTCAATTTTTAAACAGTGATTTCAACCACTCTTTTTGTTGAAGTTAACCCCTCATGGCCCAGTACCTTCAACGTTGCCACCACCTCTTTCCACACAAAACTTTGCACGAAGTCTAGTCCATATCAACCTTTGCATAACAAACCAGCACGCAGATATTAGCCAGGTAAAACCTGGCCCAATACAGCTTCTGACCCCTGACAGAATAACAACGAATGTTCAGTCAGCCTTGGCCACAGATACACAGTCAAGGCATTATTGGAAAGAGGACACATTGGCGTTTCACATGATCTTTAACTTATTTTAAAATATTTATCACATTTTATAAATGTACATTTACATCTGGGTTTCCTATTTTTTGATACAACATAAGTGTACATGTATGTAGCGTAATAAAATATTACTATTGCTAAAACATACAAAAAATAACAGACGCCCAAAACAAAAAACAAACAAACAAACACCCCAACAAACAAAAACCTAACAAACAAACAACCCGATAAATACAAATCCCAAAACAAGCAAAAACTCAACAAAATCACAAAAGAAAGAATCAAACTCGTGCATCTTGTTTACGTGCAGTAGCAATGAATGCCAAAGAACTAGTACTCAAGCACATACCGTGATAGCACGTACGGCAACACATATTTTGCTGCACTGCAAACATTTTAAGTTCTGCTTTAGTTGTGGACAGTACATGGATCAACATTACAAAAACACATGTCACAGTTTATCTGTTCCCCTACAAACATATTATCAAGACTTGACTTGGGACCGTATGTAATTCATTACAATATGAAACGATGATTAAATTCTTACCTTCAGTCATACAAAGTAGCCACGCCACAATGCAGCAAAACTGACAGGCCGACCCCATGTTGTTATTTACCGTAGTCTGTAGAATATATGCTCAGTATGTTTTTTATATCAATATTTTCTTCCGGAACAGAAGCAGTAGTATATTTCCTTGGTAGGAAATGCCTGATCATTAAAGCACATGACCCTTACTGTAGTAGCTTACACTATACATTACCAACAATAGAGCATTGAACTTGACCTGATAAACCTTTTTTTGAATTCAGACCAGTAAGGAAGTGGAGAAAGATTGAAGTAAGTGAAGTCCAACGGAAGAGGAAAGTTTGTGGTTAGAAGTATCAGCTGAATGACAATTACGCTGAATGGAAATCAAGTCGAGAGTTAAATCTCAGAATCGGGAAAAACCGTCGGTATATTGAGAATGATGTTTTTCGATTTTGTAAAAACTAATACATTTTTTTGTAAAATACAGTTACTCTTTTCTGTACGAGGAATCAAAATATTTTAGCTTTCAATGTAATGTTTTGTTAAACATTCAGACAATAATACAATGCAGGCTTTGGTAATCAAGTGGGGTATGTGGCTGATTAGGAGTGCAAATTAATGGAAACCTGGGTAGGTAAAAACAAAAACGAAATGGTGAAAGGAGATTATAACACACTTGCAAGTTTGTATACATTACAGGAGAGGAACACCATGATCCATTCACCTCCATTGGAATCTACTGGAAAATACACAGTCTGATCTTTGGGTATCCATATATCTGTAGAAAAGGATGGGTATATTACGACACACTTCCTCGTCAGGGTTTTGGCCTTTACCCAGTTTCTGCTCATCTAGGCTGTTTGTTGCAAAACTTAACCTCGGCTGAAGTCCAGTCGATCAATTGTTAAATAGATGGACTGTCCGCGCTCATTCACCTACGCAATTTTTTATTTTGAATGTTTTGTTTCAAATGGAAAATTCGTTTTATTTTCTGTTTTGGGTTTCTGCAACCCTACAATAAAATAGTGTCTGTACCTCGAATGCACCCCCTAAAAGTAGACCTAAAGTTGTTCTTGGGCCATATTTATACCCTTAATTTAGAACTTGTTAAGTAAATAGCCCCAAAAATAAGTATAGGTGGCTACTTTTCGTATGGAATCTCAGTCAAATGTTTGCCAGAGCTCTAAAATAGCTTGGATTAATCTCCTACATCTTTGAAAGCCAACACAATTAGTCGGTGACTTGAAAATAGTGTGTGGTACCTAGACCCTCAGATAAACAATGCATGTAAATCACCGAGGCTTGCAGACTTGAATGCTGACCAACAAAGGACAGCTTCGATGCTATACAAAACCCCTAAACCTCCTCGTGGTATGCTTATCAAGGTAACACCCGCAAAATATGTTCAGAAGTCGGTTCACCAGGAAGGAAAACAAGATCGGGGATTCTGATGAGGAAATAAGCTGTAAACTTGTATGCCATATCCTCATGACCCTTTCAAAAGAACGTGAAATTCAACAACAACAAAACCCACAAACAAGATAAATGGGTTGGCTTGACAATCTATCTGGCGGTAATTTATTCGCAGATACTTCTTTGTAGTTGGAATGAAGCTGATTTCAATCTGCAGTATAACAAGAAAATAGCGACTATATATCCATTTAGTTCCAGGGAACCACGAAACTGGTGTTTGAGCCTTTAGTCTTCTTTTTACCTGACTGACTGACTCACTCATTGTATGACTGTTGGTTTAAATGATAGGATTAAATAGGATTACCCCATAACGCCAATGAGGGGGTTAAACCGTCCCGTTGTATCAGCCACATCCTTCCACTGAATAGCCATTCTGAATCGATTAAGCAGCTTATGTGTGCTCTGGGACCGGAATTACTAGATCTCCCTTGACTTTTTGAACTCGTATTTTGAAAGAGCCTACTTTGACACACACAAAAAGCAGGTGGCATTTCTTTTTCTTATCTAAAACTTAAGCAGTGTACTGTTTGAAAAGATAATTAAACTCAAGAATCACAGCAGGAAGGGAATATGCAACACGAAACTTGACAACGGATATTCTGGATAAATGTGACACAGCGACGTGATAAAAATGATTCAATACAGGCATGCGAATTCAAGCCTGCTGACAAAATCCGGCTTTTACACTTTATGAAGCAAACAGCCTCAAAACAGTGGCTAATTGGACGAGTTACAATATTTGCAAAATAAAAACACGTCGTGAATTCTCCGTCCAAGATAGCGAAACCGATCATAAGTTTGTTGCACAACTGTGCAACAAATTTGTTGCAAAAATCCTATGCATGACGTAATCTACACCCTGTTTCATAAAATCGGCCGATGCTCTTATTCCTACCTCTACTCACACTCCTCTACCTACTCCTCTTCTTACTTATTTTTCTACTCCCAATCCAACTCCTATTACAAATTTGGTGTTTATATCACGCCTTAAACCTAGGGTTTCAAAGCGTTCACGTTATCCCCGTTCATCAGGAAAGAGACCATTTTTCTGTAGTAGCTCCAGATCAGCGCAATTTGGTCTCTACCTTCATATTTACCCATTTTTACTACTGGGTAGAGGGAGGTAATCCAGTGGCGCACCCGGAGGGGGGGGGGGAGCCTCGTGGGGCTTGAGCCCCCCACCCAGAGGTTGTAATTTTTTTTTTTTTTGGGGGGGGTAATTTTTTATTAATCCCACGATTTTACTTTAATGTCATGTATGTGGCCTATTTTCGAGTAGTATAATAAGGGTGTACAGTGGCACCACCGACGTCAAAATAGTCCGCCCCCCCCAAAAAAATGAGCCCCCCCCAAAAAAAAAACCAAATCCTGTGTGCGCCACTGAGGCAATCGAGGTAAAGTGTCTTGCCCACGAATACAAGCACCATGTTCTTCGCCAGGGTTCGAACCCATGTACCACGGCACATGAATCCAACACCGTAACCAGTGAACGACAGGGCTCCACAATTCCTGTTCATATTCCTAATCATGCACCAGTATGTTCTTATTCTTACTCATATTCCTACTCCTATTCCTAATGTGTATACTCCTATTTCTAATGTGTATCATTTTTTATGTAATGCCCCCTCGAAGAGGCTGGTCCTGGAGAGAGCTCAATATAAACTTAATACATTTTTATTATTATTCCTACTCCTACCCCCACACCCATTTTCTTATTCTTACTTCTATTCATACCCCAACATAATCCTTCTCCTCTTCTCACTTATCAGCAATCATTTTAATTAGCACACCCTAGGGTTACTAACTTGTAATTTATGAAGATTAAATTTTTATTTAAAAATAGCTTGTGACCTTGGAAAAAAATAATGTGAAGTGTTTAGAAATACTAAAAAAATGTGTACACTCTTACCTTGAAGGAAACAAAGTAGCCATATCACAAAGCAGCACAACCGGGAGTCTGAGTCCATCCTGTTTCGCATACCGTAGGCTGCACGACTGCCCCTCGTGTTACCCAATATGCTTTTTATATATTTTATTTTCCTTCTGAACCAGAAACAGTTTATAGTGTATTGCCTCAGCAGGAAACACCCCACCATTAAAGCACGTGATCTAGTATTCTTTCCTTCATTTCCACAGGATAACATTGAACCTGACCTAATAAACTTTCTAAAGTCTCTAAAGAACAATAACATGCATGAAAACAGTCAAACGGAAAAAAAAACAGTGACTGAAAAAAGTGACCGAAATAAATGTATGGTGTATGAGAATTTAGTCGGTCTGTGTAAAATCCTACATGTTGTGAAAAAGGTTTGCGGTTGGGATTGGAATCATTTGCCTGGCTATCAGTCATCATGGTAAGTCCTCAGTTGCATGACCAATGGCGAATTACAAACCACACCAGTCTTTTTTTTCACAACAGGCAACATTTTACACAGCTTACATAACACAACAATGAAATTGGTTAACTTGGTCACAGTGTACAAAACTATTTTTGTGATCAATTGACCATTGTGCAGTGATGCATGACTGAAATATAATGAAACTGAACATTTTCAAAGTTGACTTAATGGTTTTGTAGTTGTTTCTTAAATAGTCAGCTGGACACTTTTTCGGGTCATACTGTACAATTCAATTTTGCACTCGCCTAGGGAGTTAGAGCTGGTCCCAGAGGGGCCAGCCTTTAGTCCTCTTTGTACATGACTGACTCAATCACTCACTGTACGATTGTTGGTTAAGATGATATGATGAAACAGGAAATTACCCCATAACGTCAACGAATGAGTTAAACCGTCCCGTTGTATCAGCCACATCCTTCCACTGAATAGCCATTCTGAATCGATTGAGCAGCTTATGTGTGCTCTGAGACCGGAATTACTAGATCTCCCATGACTGTTTGAACACTTATTTTTGGAAGAGCCTACTCTGACACACACAAAAAGCAGGTGGCATTTCTTTTTCTTATCTAAAACTTAAGCAGTGTACTGTTTGAAAAGATAATTAAACTCAAGAATCACAGCAGGAAGCGAATATGCAACACGAAACTTGGCAACGGATATTCTGGATAAATATGACACAACCACATGAAAAAATGATTCAATACAGGCATGCAAATTCAAGCGTGCTGACAAAATCTGACCATGAAGCAAACAGCCTCAAAACAATGGCTAATTGGACGAGTTAAAATATTTGCAAAATAAAAACATGTAGTAAAAAAAAAAGATTTCTTCGTTGCGACATAAAAACATGTAGTTAAAACCCCCCAGATTTCTTCGTTGCTTGCATGTATAGCCCACACGGCAACACTATTCAATTTAAAACTGCATTACAGAAAGTAAATTAATGTTCTAAAGGTTTTTTATGTGTTTAAAAATAAAAACTTTAAAAACAATTTGTGTTTACCGGAGATACAAGCCTGACAAGAAGTATTACCCACTGGAGTAAGTTCCACAACAAACATCTGATTATGTCATTTCGGACCCAAATCTACATTCTAACAGCTTTGTCTGCAAAATATAATGCTGGCTCGCATTAAAAAATCTACACTTTGCAGCACACAAGAAGATTCTATTGATGCGCTATGTTTATTAATCTACAATGACTAATACATAATCGCTAGATGAGCATTCATTAACATGATTGTTGGCGAATTGGGCCATGCAAGATACACAAAAATATCATTATATGATAACAGGGGGACATTCCAATAGACCTTTTCATATGCAAAACCTTCCAGTAACCTCATCTGTAAATGCCCCCCCTCACCAAACCCTTTACTAATATTACTCTTTACATAAGGAATCGTTTTAAGCCACTTGATGAGACACTAGAAAATTATGGAAATAGTACGTAAGAATTTGTGAGAAATGTTGCAATAATCACGAGTATCTCCTTCATGTAAAATACGGTACTCAAAATGTATCATTTGTTTTATAAGTCTGGACTCTGAAGAATAATATGACGCTGACACAAGAGTCATATTCTCTGAAAGACAACTATTAACACAACAGGTGTCAGACAACAAGCTACTTTAAAGTCATGAGTCCCGAATTGGGTTAGGATGTAGGTTTTTGAAGAAAAATATCGACTGAAGGCCCATAGTACACATTAAGTAATTTTAGTGTACACCCCGAGTGTAGTTTGACATCTCTATTTGGCTGTCAATTTCCATTATTTAAAACACCTGTAGCATTACAATGATAATTCAATACTTATTAATACGCATTGTCCCCACTAGCTTGAAAAACCATCAACCTCCGATGAAAACATACATAGTGATAAAGGGGATCTACAACATTTTCTTTTGCTGTAATTTCCAGAAATGGATAGAATTGGGGGTTAAGCAAATGTTGATACACTGACCTGTTTACAGTTATGTGCTTATAAATGCTGGGAAAACCAAGAAAAAAAGTGTTGTTCTTGTCGTCTGCCTCCTTGACCCTACCTCAGACGAAATAGAGCAGTTTATAGGTTGTCAGGTCAGGGAACAAGACTAGAAGGCTAGCACCTATTCACGCATGTGTAACCGATTTCAAGCAAAATGTGAACTAACAAAATTAAATTGGGAGACAGTATTAACCAAAAAGTCAGTGTTTCCCAACGATGGTCAGCCGACCATCGTTGGAAATTGATACAAAACATTCACTTTTCTTGAAAATGAATGCGTACCAGGTGCCATGATTTCGCAGGATGCTTAAGACTATTATGATTATGAACTAACAGTGTAGTAAGGTATTTGATAATAATGTGTTACTTTTGCTTTTTTTGATGTTAGCAAATGTTGTATATTGCCTATAAATGTTGCCAATACACTTATCACTATATTAATCATTCAGAGTAATTACTCATTAATTCTTTTACCATGCATTCCGAGTACATACATTTTACTTAAATTATCAAAATAGTGTCTTGACTATCTATTTCTATGACTAAAGTACTTGTAGAATTAAAATAATAGTTCAATACTAAGCACTATAGATTAGGAAAAAGGGATTACAAGTTGATATAGAATATTCACGTTGCTTCGTTCTACCGGCTAAACCTCCCAATTTAATGAGTTCATATCTGCTCATAATGTCTCCAGCAGCTTGGAAAATTCATCCATCTCTGTCAAACATACACAGTGTTATATGTTGCCATTTTTGCGCGAATAGACCCTGCAGTGAAATTTATACTCAAAAGATATTTCTTATATGCGAACATTAATAACTCTTGATTTTTTAATGTATCGTTATAGTGATTACTGAGTAATTCCTTCATGCAGTGTGAGGATATAGTTTTACTTAAAATCTTATCAGATAAAATACGATTTATTTAATATTTCTAAGATTAATACTAAATGTTAAATCAATATAAATCACAACAGGTGAGGGAAAAAAATTATTGAAAGTTGTAAGTAAAAATCTATTGTCAAGTACTTTCTGCAGAAATTTTGTTTCAAATTATTATTATATGCTCATTATATCTCCAGTATTCTTAGACACTGTACCCTATACGAACATTAATAACTCTAAATATTATATATGCGTACAGTAATTTCAGCGTGCATTTCGAATATAATTATGCTTTTTAATTAAATCCTCAAATTGGTGTCTTAACTATCATTTTCTATTACCACAATTTTTTTTTAGTATAACGTGTACATATATTGTAACGTTCTGTCGGCTCGACCCTTTTCCCAATGAATTTGTTTTTAGTTTGTTCTCCAGCTGTTAAAAGATTTTGTTTAAAATCGTTTACAGATTATAAATCTATATCAATTGTTTTATTACCCTGGTCCTTTTGTCTATTTGTAAGTCTGTGCTCACACGGCCAAGAAATTTGTTGTTTCAGTTACTGGTAGATCCGTGTTCACGAGTTGCCTCTCCGGAGTCAGAGGTCAGAACCTGTAGCGGAATGTCTGCAAAAACAGTAGAATATGTGCGTGATCTTGAACCTAAAAACTGAGGTCAAAGGCCACTGATGAGTGAAATGATAGCAAATCTTAAACTACAAAAGAAGATGTACTCTTCGTCCAATTCGTTTCGCTTGAAGCAACACAATTGTTCAAATTTTGAAAGTGTTGGAACTTGTTGAAGTTTAGCTCATTGTCAACTACACATTTTGAGAAAACAAAACATATTCACCACTCTTATATGATTGTTTTCTTTTGTTCGAAACCATTTCTCACGGAGTACTATGACCGGAATTTTGGGACCAGTGCTTTCTTTACATTGATTAACTATTTTTTTTCTCATTGACTCGGTAGGTTTGTTTCATAGTAACTTCATTGTTGATACGTACATTTAATTAATTTTAGGCATATGCCATTTGTTGTTACTTGTGTAATAACTTACAAATCCACTGATGGCTGCAATGCTAAAGGGCATAAGCTTGTATGGAAAACATTTTATTATTTCATTGGTAAAATCCAACAATTTCCTTTTTTGATTTACATTTATTTGCCATGATTTTTACCGACAGCTTACCTAGGTTTTCTGCCTTTTCCATTACCACGTCACTTTCCTCATCGTACTTGATGGAAGCGCGTGTGCTGTTAAAAAAAAAGTATTTCATTTAATACATATTAAAAGTATACAAGTATTTAAACTTAATTCGAATCGTGAAATAATCAATTAGCCTGTGAATTTGGAAAGTTATTTATTGGCGGTGATTCATATTTTTAACCGAATGCTTTACTTACAGCTTCGTCTTGCGGGCGGTAATTTCTGAAAAAAAAAAAAGTATATTTTTGTTATAGTAATCTTGTTTGTGTCTTACCGCTAGCTGCAGATTTGTGGGTATCCAAACACAAATGGTTCTTAAGTGATGACCAGCGGTTTCCAACAATAATTACACCATGGGTCCGACATATAGATACCACAGCGTTAAATTTAAACTGTAGATTTTGTAGTGTGCTGGTGTATGCTTGGTACCGGATCTCGAGATCCGGTACGACAGTTAAACATGTTTTTCAGCTTTAATACATGTATTTTAAAGTCAATTGTAATCGGAAGAAAATCACTGAAAAAACTGCTTGACTGACGGACTGAATGACAGTCACTTGTGATGTGATTAGATTGTAGACTGGTTAAGAGGGCCGGGCAGTGTTATCGTATATGATTACCCCGTAACCTCTATCCATGCTGAATCATTTGAGTAGAACTTTGTTTTTTGCTCTGAGACTAGCTTAGAATATATTTCTTTGTCTTGTTTTGAGTTTTCTGAATTGAAACTATTTGTCCTGTAGGCTTACCTAGGTTGTTGGTGGTAGATCTTCGGTGATACACAAACACAGCTACAGCAACCATAATACTGATGAATGCAACAATGGACACGACGATTATGCCTGCAACTAGCAGAGAATATCCTTGTTCAACAACTAGGGGAAACAAATATTGAAATGTGTTTGTTTAATTAACATCAGTTTACCTCTGAAGCAAATCAGGCGGAATATGTGTCAAAACGATTCACAATTTCGGTCCAATTAAGGCCTATTGTAAGACCCGATATTATTTTAATTTCCACGCAAAGGGACACACGGACATGTAACATAAACAAATTAATTAATGTAAGTAAATAAAAATAAACGAATGCAAGTAGACCCCAATACGGCTTCTGTTGCGTTAGCGTAATTGTCATTTATTGAGATAATTTTAAAATGATTATACCTTGTAAAAAAGAAACCCCTGTTTAGATAATAATTCACAAATCAGTATCATGTTAAGGAGAAAACGTACATGCTTCCCTCATCAGAAACAATGAATTGTATTTCCATTATTATTATAACTTTCCATATAATAATCGTTTGAAATTTAAAATAGTATTAAAACGTACATACCCACATAAGCCCGTCTCTCAGCTTCGTGCTGGCCTTTCCATAAAAGAGAGAAACAAAGTAAACAAAGTAGGGCCTATTTCATCCCTTATTTTATTTGTAAACCAGATAACCGAAAATGAACTACAGCTTTGTCTATATTTAAGCGAACACACGGTACAATAATAAGATTTCTTTGGTAGTAATGATAGTTATAAAAATTGTTTGCTATTGATTTAAAAATACCTTTTCCGTTCATTGCGTAATGAATATTGATCCACTTCTAGAACCTTTGCGAAGTGGAATACATGACTAAACGAAGGCTTCTTAACAAACACATGGTGGGTTGTTTTGCTAGCTGGCCTCTTAACTCTCGACAAAATAATTGCTGACCGCCATATTTGGGGTGACTGCTTATTATTCACAAACTTAGATTTCTATTTTTTGCTTGCGTTCACTGAATTTTTCCTGATTCTTATGTGCAAAGGGACTTTCTGTGTGCATGTGTTCCTTCTCATAGAATATTGTATTTTCACAGTACACGTGTCCTACCGCGGGCCAGAGGGAAGCCTTTCTTGTGACGACTGAGCGATTCTTCGAACGTTGGACTGATACTGAGGTGAGACTTTAGTTAGATAAATACTCAGATCAACTCGTTGATATGCTAAGGATCCAATTGTAAAAGGAATATGGGCTTCTTTTTTTAATTTTGTTACATCATGTACATGATGCGGTCTCGCCAAAATCCCCACAGGACAACAGTTCAATAAAATCGGAATTGGAAATGTTCGCGAGGTTTACCTAGTGAAATCGGAAGTGACGGAATCTGTGCTCTCGTGTATACTAAGTACTTACCTTGAGACTTGCTCATGACGTCATAGTCGGCTGGGGTTTCATCGTTCGGCTCCGGCGTTGTGTTGTCAACTTCAGCTGAAGATAAACAAAAATCTTTAAAATCCTCAATTTATTATTAAGAGTAAGTAGACGCATAATTTGGGAAACTTGTGGGTGTTCCTCTTAAAAGATCAGTGTGAAGTTAGATGCTGATTAAAGAAACTTACGTAGTGTCGTACTAGTTTCCTTGATGACGTCGCTAGTGGCACTTGTGATTTCAATCAAGGGTTGTGGAGTTGCGTTACCGAGCACAGCTTAAAAAATGGAACAATAATCTATTTTTATTCAAAAGTAACTGAGTGATGTTTAGTGTCAAAAAGTACTGACTGGATTGTGAAATACCTGTAAAACAAAACAATTAGAAAAAAAAAACATAACCAGTTTTTTTGTTTTCAGCTTAGTACTGTTGTAGATTTAGGTGCAGAAACTTTTCAGAAAGGAAAAAAAATAACCAATAAGCAATGTCGATACAACTATAATAAAAAATCACACAAATACATAAGGTAAATATGAGAATAAGATTAATTTTAGGGACAAAACGAAATAACAGATGCAAAACAGACTGTTTGGATTGTTTTACCATAATTAGTGAGTTCCTCTATCTTTAATTAAACAGGTAAAATAGGTTTTTCTATTTCAGTGTTTTTTTGTATTACATCATGTACATGATGCGGTCCAGCCGGGCTTATTGTAACTACAATCATCATGAGTTAAGGATCAGGAGAATCAAACTGCACTCTTTGACTTCCAGCCTCCCCCTTTAACTAGGGACGGACCCCCGCTCCGAGAATTCATGGGGTAGACCACCACATTATATGAAGACAGTCGTTTCGAGGGTGCTTACGGAAACGAAGTTTCAGTGTCTCTTATCAAAGATAGATAATGTTGAATTTAGCAAAACGTTTTTAATTTTGTGCAAAACTTTGCACCAGACAACAGTAACATTAAGACTCGAGTGCAAATGTTCGTGATTTGTACCTACTCAAATCGGAACGCACGGATTCCTCTGCCTCTGCTCTTTTGAATTATTGGTACGTGAACTTACCTTGAGACTTGCTCGTTCTCATGACGTCATAAGCGGCTGAGGTTTCAGCGTTCAGCTCCGGCGTTGTGTTGTCAACTTCAGCTGAAGAGAAATAAAATAATCAAAACCCCGAAGAGTTCCAATTAAGAGTAGGTTTTGAGTTATTGGAACGTGAACTTACCTTGAGACTTGCTCGTTATCATGACGTCATAGGCGACTGAGGTTTCAGCGTTCAGCTCCGGCGTTGTGTTGTCAACTTCGGCTGAAGAGAAATAAAATAATCAAAACCCCGAAGAGTTCCAATTCAGAGTAGTTTTTGAGTTATTGGAACGTGAACTTACCTTGAGACTTGCTCGTTCTCATGACGTCATAAGCGGCTGAGGTTTCAGCGTTCAGCTCCGGCGTTGTGTTGTCAACTTCAGCTGAAGAGAAATAAAATAATCAAAACCCCGAAGAGTTCCAATTCAGAGTAGTTTTTAAGTTATTGGAACGTGAACTTACCTTGAGACTTGCTCGTTCTCATGACGTCATAAGCGGCTGAGGTTTCAGCGTTCAGCTCCGGCGTTGTGTTGTCAACTTCAGCTGAAGAGAAATAAAATAATCAAAACCCCGAAGAGTTCCAATTCAGAGTAGGTTTTGAGTTATTAGAACGTGAACTTACCTTGAGACTTGCTCGTTATCATGACGTCATAGGCGACTGAGGTTTCAGCGTTCAGCTCCGGCGTTGTGTTGTCAACTTCAGCTGAAGAGAAATAAAATAATCAAAACCCCGAAGAGTTCCAATTAAGAGTAGGTTTTGAGTTATTGGAACGTGAACTTACCTTGAGACTTGCTCGTTATCATGACGTCATAGGCGACTGAGGTTTCAGCGTTCAGCTCCGGCGTTGTGTTGTCAACTTCAGCTGAAGAGAAATAAAATAATCAAAACCCCGAAGAGTTCCAATTCAGAGTAGTTTTTGAGTTATTGGAACGTGAACTTACCTTGAGACTTGCTCGTTCTCATGACGTCATAAGCGGCTGAGGTTTCAGCGTTCAGCTCCGGCGTTGTGTTGTCAACTTCAGCAGAAGATAATTCAAATAATCAAAACCCCAAAGTTTCAAGTAAGAGTAGGTAGACTTATAATTTGGCAACCTTGTATGTGTTCCCACACGAAAAATATATGACATCAGTGTGAAGTAAGAGGCTAATTATTTTAGGAAACTTACCCAGTGCCGTACTTGTTTCCTTTGTGGCGTCACCAGTGCCACGTGTGATTCCAATCAAGGGTTCAGGAGTTGCATTATCGAGCTCAGCTTAAAAAAAAAAAACATTTAACAAGAATTTATTTCTACTCAAATGAACTTCACTGAGTGATGTTTAGTGTCAAAAAGGACTGAGTCGATTGTGAAATACATTTCAAAATTGATTTCAAATTAGTAGAGTAATTGTTGTAGAATTAGGGCAGAACACTTTATTTTGTTTTGAATTAAAATAAACATCAGCAATGTTGTCACCTCCAAAACAAATCTTACACAAACTCATTAGGTAAATCTAAGGATAAAACTAATTGTTGGGAAAAACTGCAATAAAATATGCAACACAGACTGATTTGATTTTCTACCACATAATTATGATATGCACATTCCTTTACACATACATGTATACGGATTATAACCTTTTCATTTGATGTTTTGTTACCGTTTTGAAGCCATTTTTATTTGGGGGGGGGGGGACGTTGAAAAAGAAATGAAAAGCAGCCGGATGAAAGACAATTCAAAATTACTTACGCAGAGTCTTTCCGATTATTGTCACGACATCACTCGCACCATTGGCGTTCTCAGCGTAAACCTCGACCTCGTACTCCGTGTCGGCCCGCAGACCGACCACTGTGTACTCGCTGACATCGTAGAGTCTGCCACTGCGTGTGCTGGGGCTGAAGCTCGTGGTGGTTACCAGCTCTCGGTAATTCACGAGAATCCATTGTTCTGGACCTACAACCTTCGTCCCAGGGATCCAGTTTACTGTTAGCGAGTAAGCAGTGATTCGACCCTGGTCGATTGAGATATTTGTAGGGGGGACAGGTTCAACTTTCAACAAAAGAGAAACAAAAGAAAACAAAACATCGTAAGATGATGTAACACGTTATATTGTTGTGTCTGAAGCAATAAGCAACTCAGTGTTTAGATATATGTGTTTGCATAATGTTGAGTAATCTATGAGAGGACCACATTGCTACTTTGTGTAAACTTGACCTCATCATTTAAGTACACTCATCGATTTCAGTTGAACGACACAAATTGTAAGTAACTCAGTGTTAAGAAATATATGTTTGCATAATGCTGAATACCGCAAATCAGGCAGAATATGTGTCAAAACGATTCACAATTTCGGTCCAATTAAGGCCTATTGTAAGACCCGATATTATTTTAATGTCCACGCAAAGGGACACACGGACATGTAACATAAACAACTTAATTAATTAATGTAAATAAATAAATAAAAATAAACGAATGCAAGAATGCAAGTAGACCCCGATACGGCTTCTGTGGCATTAGCGTAATTGTCATTTATTGAGATAATTTTAAAATGATTATACCTTGTAAAAAAGAAACGTCTGTTTAGATAATAATTCACAAATCAGTGTCATGTTAAGGAGAAAACCTACATGCTTCCCTTTTCAGAAACAATGAATTGTATTTCTTATCCAACTTTCAATATAATAATCGGTTGAAATTTAAAATAGTATTCAAACGTACATACCCACATAAGCCCCTCTCTCAGCATCGTGCTCGCCTTTCCATAAAAGAGAGAAACAAAGTAAACTAAGTAGGGCCTATTTCATCCCTTATTTTATTTGTAAACCAGATAACTGAAAATGACTTACAGCTTTGTCTATATTTAAGCGAACACGCGGTACAATAATAAGATTTCTTTGGTACTAATGATAGTTATACAAATTGTTTGCTATTGATTTAAAAATACCTTTAAAAAGTTTTAAACAATGCTTGGTTTATTGCGTAATGAATACTGATCCACTTCTAAAACCTTCGCGAAGTGGATTAAATCACTAAACGAAGGCTTCTTAACAAACACATGGCGGGTTGCTTTGCTGACTGGCCTCTTAACTCTCGACAAAATAATTGTTGACCGCCATATTTGGGGAGACTGCTTATTATTCACAAACTTAGATTTATATTTCTTGCTTGCGTTCACTGAATTTTTCGTGATTCTTATGTGCAAAGGGACTTTCTGCGTGCATGTGTTCCTTCTCATAGAATGTTGTATTTTCACAGTACACGTGTGACGTGTCCTACCAAGGGGCTAGAGGGAAGCCTTTCATTTGACGACAGAGCGATTCTTTGGAAGTTGGACTGATACTGAGGTGAGAGTTTAGTTGGATAAATACTCAGATCAACTCGTGGATATGCTAAGGATCCAATTATAAAGGGAATATTGGCTTCTTCTTTTTAAATTTTGTTACATCATGTACATGATACGGTCTCGCCAAAATCCCCACAAGACAACAGTTCAATAAAATCTGAATTGGAAATGTTCGCGAGGTTTACCTACTAAAATCGGAAGTGACGGAATCTGTGCTCTCGTGAATTCTAAGTACTTACTTTGAGACTTGCTCATGACGTCATTGTCGGTTGGGGTTTCAGCGTTCGGCTCCGGCGTTGTGTTGTCAACTTCAGCTGATGATAAACAAAAATCTTTAAAATCCTGAAGTTTTAATTAAGAGGAGGTAGACGCATAATTTCGGAAACGTGTGGGTGTTCCTCTTGAAAAAAAATCAGTGTGAAGTTAGATGCTGATTAAAGAAACTTACGTAGTGTCATACTAGTTTCCTTGATGACGTCGCTAGTGGCACTTGTGATTTCAATCAAGGGTTGTGGAGTTGCGTTACCGAGCACAGCTAAAAAAATGGAACAATAATCTAATTTTATTCAAAAGTAACTGAGTGATGTTTAGTGTCAAAGGGTACTGACTGGATTGTGGAATACCTGTTAAAACAATTAGAATAAACATAACCAGATACTTTCGTTTTCAGCTAAGTACTGTTGTAGATTTAGGTGCAGAAACTTTTCAGAAAGGAAAAAAATAACCAATAAGCAGTGTCATTACAACTAAATAAAAAATCACACAAATACATAAGGTAAATATGAGGATAAGATTAATTTTAGGGACAAAACGAAATAACAGATGCAAAACAGACTGTTTGGATTGTTTTACCATAATTAGTGAGTTCCTCTATCTTTAATTAAACAGGTAAAATAGGTTGTTATATTTCAGTGTTTTATTGTATTACATCATGTACATGATGCGGTCTAGCCGGGCTTATTGTAACTACAAACATCAAGAGTAAAGGATCAGGAGAATCAAACTGCACTCTTTGACTTCCAGCCTCCCCTTTAACTAGGGACGGACCCCCGCTCAGAGAATTCACGGGGTAGACCACCACATTATATGAAGACAGTCGTTTCGAGGGTGCTTACGGAAACGAAGTTTCAGTGTCTCTTATCAAAGATAGATAATGTTGAATTTAGCAAAACGTTTTTAATTTTGTGCAAAACTTTGCACCAGACAACAGTAACATTAAGACTCGAGTGCAAATGTTCGTGATTTGTACCTACTCAAATCGGAACGCACGGATTCCTCTGCCTCTGCTCTTTTGAATTATTGGTACGTGAACTTACCTTGAGACTTGCTCGTTCTCATGACGTCATAAGCGGCTGAGGTTTCAGCGTTCAGCTCCGGCGTTGTGTTGTCAACTTCAGCTGAAGAGAAATAAAATAATCAAAACCCCGAAGAGTTCCAATTAAGAGTAGGTTTTGAGTTATTGGAACGTGAACTTACCTTGAGACTTGCTCGTTATCATGACGACATAGGCGACTGAGGTTTCAGCGTTCAGCTCCGGCGTTGTGTTGTCAACTTCAGCTGAAGAGAAATAAAATAATCAAAACCCCGAAGAGTTCTAATTCAGAATAGTTTTTGAGTTATTGGAACGTGAACTTACCTTGAGACTTGCTCGTTCTCATGACGTCATAAGCGGCTGAGGTTTCAGCGTTCAGCTCCGGCGTTGTGTTGTCAACTTCAGCTGAAGAGAAATAAAATAATCAAAACCCCGAAGAGTTCCAATTAAGAGTAGGTTTTGAGTTATTGGAACGTGAACTTACCTTGAGACTTGCTCGTTCTCATGACGTCATAGGCGACTGAGGTTTCAGCGTTCAGCTCCGGCGTTGTGTTGTCAACTTCAGCTGAAGAGAAATAAAATAATCAAAACCCCGAAGAGTTCCAATTAAGAGTAGGTTTTGAGTTATTGGAACGTGAACTTACCTTGAGACTTGCTCGTTCTCATGACGTCATAGGCGACTGAGGTTTCAGCGTTCAGCTCCGTTGTTGTGTTGTCAACTTCAGCTGAAGAGAAATAAAATAATCAAAACCCCGAAGAGTTCTAATTCAGAGTAGTTTTTGAGTTATTGGAACGTGAACTTACCTTGAGACTTGCTCGTTCTCATGACGTCATAAGCAGCTGAGGTTTCAGCGTTCAGCTCCGGCGTTGTGTTGTCAACTTCAGCTGAAGAGAAATAAAATAATCAAAACCCCGAAGAGTTCCAATTCAGAGTAGTTTTTGAGTTATTGGAACGTGAACTTACCTTGAGACTTGCTCGTTCTCATGACGTCATAGGCGACTGAGGTTTCAGCGTTCAGCTCCGTCGTTGTGTTGTCAACTTCAGCTGAAGAGAAATAAAATAATCAAAACCCCGAAGAGTTCTAATTCAGAGTAGTTTTTGAGTTATTGGAACGTGAACTTACCTTGAGACTTGCTCGTTCTCATGACGTCATAAGCGGCTGAGGTTTCAGCGTTCAGCTCCGGCGTTGTGTTGTCAACTTCAGCTGAAGAGAAATAAAATAATCAAAACCCCGAAGAGTTCCAATTCAGAGTAGTTTTTGAGTTATTGGAACGTGAACTTACCTTGAGACTTGCTCGTTCTCATGACGTCATAGGCGACTGAGGTTTCAGCGTTCAGCTCCGGCGTTGTGTTGTCAACTTCAGCTGAAGAGAAATAACAATAATCCAAACCCCGAAGAGTTCCAATTAAGAGCAGTTTTTGAGTTACCTTGAGACTTGCTCGTTATCATGACGTCATAGGCGACTGAGGTTTCAGCGTTCAGCTCCGGCGTTGTGTTGTCAACTTCAGCTGAAGAGAAATAAAATAATCAAAACCCCAAAGAGTTCTAATTCAGAGTAGTTTTTGAGTTATTGGAACGTGAACTTACCTTGAGACTTGCTCGTTCTCATGACGTCATAAGCGGCTGAGGTTTCAGCGTTCAGCTCCGGCGTTGTGTTGTCAACTTCAGCTGAAGAGAAATAAAATAATCAAAACCCCGAAGAGTTCCAATTAAGAGTAGGTTTTGAGTTATTGGAACGTGAACTTACCTTGAGACTTGCTCGTTCTCATGACGTCATAGGCGACTGAGGTTTCAGCGTTCAACTCCGGCGTTGTGTTGTCAACTTCAGCTGAAGAGAAATAAAATAATCAAAACCCCGAAGAGTTCCAATTAAGAGTAGGTTTTGAGTTATTGGAACGTGAACTTACCTTGAGACTTGCTCGTTATCATGACGTCATAGGCGACTGAGGTTTCAGCGTTCAGCTCCGGCGTTGTGTTGTCAACTTCAGCTGAAGAGAAATAAAATAATCAAAACCCCGAAGAGTTCCAATTCAGAGTAGTTTTTGAGTTATTGGAACGTGAACTTACCTTGAGACTTGCTCGTTCTCATGACGTCATAGGCGACTGAGGTTTCAGCGTTCAGCTCCGGCGTTGTGTTGTCAACTTCAGCTGAAGAGAAATAACAATAATCAAAACCCCGAAGAGTTCCAATTCAGAGTAGGTTTTGAGCTATTGGAACGTGAACTTACCTTGAGACTTGCTCGTTATCATGACGCCATAGGCGACTGAGGTTTCAGCGTTCAGCTCCGGCGTTGTGTTGTCAACTTCAGCTGAAGAGAAATAACAATAATCAAAACCCCGAAGAGTTCCAATTAAGAGTAGGTTTTGAGTTATTGGAACGTGAACTTACCTTGAGACTTGCTCGTTATCATGACGCCATAGGCGACTGAGGTTTCAGCGTTCAGCTCCGGCGTTGTGTTGTCAACTTCAGCTGAAGAGAAATAAAATAATCAAAACCCCGAAGAGTTCCAATTCAGAGTAGTTTTTGAGTTATTGGAACGTGAACTTATGTCACAAGTTGTAAGTAACTCAGTGTTTAGAAATATATGTTTGCATAATGCTAAATACCTAAGGTTGCCACCAAAATGTAATCGGTTTAAGAGTTTAAGGTTCACCTCTGCTATTCAGCAAAATTGTCAGGGTGTCCACCATTCCGATGCCGTTACCACAGTCACACACGTAATAGCCGTAGTCTTCTGCTCCAGACACTGTATTGATTTGCAAGGTGTTCGTCACTGTGTACCCCTCTACGCCACCTCTGCCGTGAATGGTCTCCACCAGTGTGATCCTTCCAGGATGGCTCTGGTTGGTTATTCTGGTGCCAGTCGGACCCAACCATGTCGTCATTGGGTAGGGGTTGCCTTCGGCCGTGCATACTAGAGTGGCTCTCTCCCCAACGTTGGCTTCGGCGTAGTTGTTTTCTGGGTTTGTTATGGTAACTCCAACTTTGAGAGATACACAAGTGGGAAACGGAAGACTTGAATTCATTAAACATTACGGGAACGCTTTGCATTGTCAATTGATGTTAAGGAGATGGCTTTACGAATATTCGGCAATGTTAGTTACAGACATGTTTAACATAAAACTATCCGGTTAAAAACAGGTCAATGCTGTACTTTGAAATCCTTTAAATAAATGTTAACACAATCAATCGAAGGGCATGAAACTTACAATGCACGATGATGTCGACTGGCGTTGAAAATACAACGGGTGGTATACCGTTGTTTCCACGACACCTGTATGACCCAGTCTGCTCCTTTGTGATGCTCCTTAGTGTCAGAGTGCTCGTACCATCGCTGTAAACAGAGGCAAGGGAGTCAGGAGATCCGACCTTCTCCCACGTGATGAAATCAGCGGGCATGGGATTGGCGTCTGCGCTGCAGGACAGGATGACGTCATCTCCCTCCTCGACTGGACCGGGTGTGAGAACCATCGGCTCCGAAAAGAAGGGACGATCTTGAGGTTTGAAAAGTAAATTGGGGAAAGGAAACGATCTGCATGTTACATCTACGCACATTATTAGCGACGGTAAAGTGATTTCAGTTGTAGCCTTGTCTTCTTAAACAGTGCAACCTTTCAGGGAAAGAAGTGACGTGAACTTTAACGGAAGGTGCAGTAATTACAGCTGTGTGCTACATTATCTGAAAGCTTCAACAAGGAACTCACAACAGATCGCGTTCCATGAAGAACCACTTAAGTTTAAGGAGGGTTTGTCAACACATTTGTTATTTTCCCCTTAATATATTTACAACGCCTATTGTAAAATAATGTTTATTTGCTCTCATGACAACATGTTTGGAATAAAACTTACACTCAACATTCAGTGAACACGTGTCACACACGTCTGCGGTGCAGACCGATGGTCTGGCGGCGCAGCACTTGTATTCACCCCCGTTGTCTGTTCTGGTGAGTGCGCCTGTCGTGAAGTCCAGTGTCGTCATTCGGCCACCGTAGTCGCCATCAGTAATCATTAGCCCTGGATGACCAGTTTGCTCAACATTGTCTCTCAGCCAAGTCAGATTGGTGGCCGGGTTCGTGCTCTCGGATACACAGCTCAAGGACACACTACCGCCTGATACGATTCTGTACGGGCAACCGGTGATGCTCACCATCCTTGTACATACTGAGAGAAAAGTAGTCGACTTATTATTATTAATGTGCCAAACGTGCGACTGTCATTGGCTAATTCCATAATACCAACGACACTTCTATTAGGTTGCAGCCAGCCATTTTGACATCACGTTCCTTCCGTACATATTTGTATACTTACGCGCAGTCGTGCCGATGATCGTCACAGCTTCACTCACGCCATTGCCATTTGCTGCATAAACCTCAACCTCGTACACGGAGTAAGGACGCAGTCCCATCAGAGTGAATGAAGTGACGCCATGGAGTCTGTCGCTGCGCGTGTTGGGATCGAAGTCGTCAGTCGTTGCAAGCTCTCTGTAATTGACATGGAACCAGATGTTTGGTGCAGCCTCGTTCCGAGGTGTCCATGACACTGTGATGGTCGTGGCCGTGTTCATAGCTTCTTCGATGGAGACGTTCATCGGTGCAGCTGGTAAAACTAATCCACCCAAAGGAGAATAATGTGAATTATGTACCTTGCCTTGTAAACAAACAGGATAAGGGAATTATAGTAGAACAGGTTACAGAGCAGAAAATTCTTATAGTCAAGCGATTCACAAATTCGCTGGGTTGCTCTTAATGCATATGGTGTTCCCAAATAGCCGTATTTAGCTCTAACAAAAAGCCCATACGGTGGCACTTCCAGACTCTCCTCTGCAGTCAGTCAGCAGTTCATCAGCCAGTGAGATACAAGGAGGACTGGCTCTCCCAAGGAACTGCAGTAATGTTAGATTAAACATGGTTTTATAAAGGCATACAATACTCACCTCTCGAAGTCAGCTGAATGGACAACGCGTCCACCCTCCCAACGCCATTTCCACAGGTACAGACGTAAAAGCCGTAGTCTCCAATACCGGTCACGTTTTTGATGTGCAAAGTGCTTGTCACCGTGTATCCATAGACAACATCCCCGCCGCTAATGGTATCGACCTGGGTTATCCTACCTGGCTCAGTATGATTAGTCATCCTAGTGCGGGTTGGACTCAACCATCTAATTAAAGGATGGGGGTTACCTTTGACCGTACAGGTCAGAATAGCGGCCTCACCGTCATCGGCTTCGACGCAGTTATCAGCTTGGCTTGTTATGGCGGCTTCATCTTCAAAAATAAATTTCAAGCACCAAACACGATAATTACAAAGATACATTTTGTGTGAAATTCCACTTCAAAGAAGCAAACTGTTAATGACGGAGTCTTTACACTTGAGATGTTTTTACAATATACGCAAACTTAGAATGTACAGTGAATTAAGAAGTGATCTACATGATGGAAATGGATGATTTTGCGTTAATAGTAAAGCTGTAACAACCCTATGCTATACGATATGACACTTTATTACATGGAGGTATTTACATATTAAAGTTTATGCAACCACTGATGACCATACAGCATTTGATAAAATGCTTAAAGTTAATTAGATACCAACCGGCTGGAAGTGATTTTCAATAAATGTTTGTGATTTGGAAAGACGAAATTAAGACTTACAGAGAACGATGACATCAATGGATCTTGAAAAGATAACAGGTGGTACACCATTATTTCCCCGGCACCTGTACGGCCCAGCCTGCTTCCTGTTGACGCTGCTTAGTGTCAGGTTGCTGGTTCCATCGCTGTAGACGGAGGGGAGGGAGTCAGGCGACCCGACCTTCTCCCACGTGATGAAGTCAGTGGGCATGGGATTGGCGTCGGCGCTGCAGGACAGTGTGATGTCATCTCCTTCATCCACGGGATTCGTCGTAAGTGACGTTGGGTCGGTAAATACAGGACAATCTGAAAATAAGAGTACATTACAGTTTATTAAAGAGATATGTGTCAACTTGTTAAAGTGTTCGAGAGCGGAGTTTAGATTTCTTTAATTCTTTCTTTCATAAATCTGATAAGAGTAAACATCAAACTCCTGGATGAAATTGTACCTTGCTAGTGCTTTACGTCTGGGGAAAAGCCTTTCCTGGCTTTCTTTTGCAAGGAAGAAGAGGAGTTTTACACCAAAAGGAAGAAGTTCGTGCAATCAGGCATATACAAGTGCACCCTCATGATGCACCTCATTGACGAGGCTTGTATTTATTTGATTGCGTAGTAGTTTAGGTGTTTGCCTAATAGTATCACAAATTCGGTTTCACTGTCGACAAGTTTCTGAGTCCTTGTCAATAAACGTCATTGAAAACTCACGCAATGTCTTGACAACTGTCTTAACGGCCTCGCTTCTTCCATGGGCATTCTCAGCGTATACCTCAACCTCGTACATTGCGTAAGGACGCAAGCCCTCCACCGTGTACTCGTTGGATCCCTGTAGTCTCTGGCTTCTTGTGCTGGGGTCGAAGTCCGTTGCTTTTCCAAGCTCCCGGTAGTTGACGTAGAACCATTGAGGCGTCCCAACCTCGGCCCCAGGGCGCCACGTAATAGTGACCGAATCGGCGGTGATTCGTTCCTCGTCTATCGACACATCGTAGGGCGACGATGGCACCACTTGACAAATAAAAGAACCCACTTTTTAATTATAAACACTCGCAAAATGACACGAAATTTCTGTCTATCTTTCACTCTGATAGGGACACTGTCCTTGGATATTGTGTATGTCTTGACGTTGCATTTGAGACATATTTCACTTCTTTTAGACTTTGAAAACCATACCTTTAATGTTCAAATGGATATGCAACATGTCTACGCGTCCTACACCGTTTCCGCTGTAGCATGTGTAGTAACCATAGTCTCCTTCCGCAGTCACTCTTTTGATTTCCAGGATGCTCGTAACAGAGTAGCCATATATGTCATCTCCTCCATTGCTTGTGACGGCTTGAATGATTCTTCCTGCGTCTGTGTCATTGTTGATCTCTTCGTTAGTTGGGTCTAACCAGACGGTTAAAGGCAGTGGATTGCCTTTTGCTGTGCAAAGAAGAACGGCCCCCTCACCGTCCGCAGCCCCAACATAGGTGTCTGCCTTATTTGTGATGTTTACCTCATCTTTTGGAGGAAAAAGGCAAATAGTGAAGTTTTTAATAACAAAATGGTATCATTGTTTGTTCACGCTTCCATGAATAGTAGTGACTATCATTCATAATGTTAGCATCCATTGATTTATTACGTATTCAATTCGTGGCAGTCTGCTTTGGAGGTAACATGAAGATTACTGGGACACAAAAGGGTCTAGAAACGTTGTTCAAGGCCCTTTTCACATCAAGACATAATTTATATCATAGATCAAAACAAAACCACGATGATAATGAGAACAGATTAGTAATGGAAAGTTTGTAGTGTAGTGCCTCTTATATTAAACGAGAAGGCCGATTTCAAAAGAATTTACTCATTGACTCGGTCAGCTTAAGAACAAATTCGTTGAATATTGTCACCTTTTCGAAAGGTTTACTCAAATCGAAAATCGAAGAATTAAATTACAAATGGTGATTTACAGTAAACGGCAATGTCGATTGGATTCGAGAACACTACGGGTGGTACACCATTGTCTCCGCGGCATCTGTACGGCCCAGCCTGCTCCCTGCTGATGCTGCTTAGTGTCAGGTTGCTGGTACCATCGCTGTAGACGGAGGGGAGGGAGTCGGGAGACCCGACCTTCTCCCACGTGATGAAGCCAGGGGGCATGGGATTCGCGTCTGCGCCGCAGGACAGGATGACGTCACCGCCCTCTCTCACAGGACTGGGCGTGGTTGCCTTCGGCTCGGAAAAGTATGGTCGATCTGCAAAATATTACATTAATGTGAAGCAGACAAATACTTACTGTGCCGCCCTTTACCGGGCCAGGACAGTAATGCTTCATTGGAAAACTATACAATATAGAAAAATATAGTGGGGGTGCTTATGAGTTAAAGTTTCAGCCTAGGTGTATGTTACAGGACGGCAGAAGTTGGACAGAATGCATAATGTATGTAGTGGAAATTAGAAAAAGGCATTATTATTGAGCGGTCAGATAAATATGACTTATTACTTACATTCAACATTGAGTGAACAGCTGTCGCACACGTCGGCGGGGCAGGCTGTCGTTTTAGCCGTGCAGCAAGTGAACAATGCCCCATTGTCCTCTTTGGTCAGCACAGCTGTTGTAAAGTCCTCCGTGGTCACGTGACCGCCATAGTCTCCTTTCGGGAGTGCTGGCGGAGCAGGGTTGGTTTTGCGCCGGCCGTTTCTCAACCAGGTCAGGTTTGTTATTGGGTTGCTGCTCTCGGACACGCACCTGAATGATACCATGCTGTCTGGTATGGCTTTGAGTGGACAGTTGGTGATGCTTACCCATCGCGGACAAACTAAATGGTAAAATTATTTCAACGATTTCAGATATTTGCTTTTCTTTCAAATATAAAAGAACAGCTGATTTAAAACATAAAACGTGTTTAGTATAACACTTCAACAGTTTTAATAATTGATTATCTAGTTTTGGTTGCAGAATTAAGATCCATGTTCAAGGACGGATTATTTCAATTGAACACATTCCATGTCGGAACACATTTCAACCTGTGGTTTGACTTTGGATAAGTTTTTAACTGACCGCCATGTTATCCAGGCGTGGAACAAGAAGGGGGCTTGGGGTTAGAACCCCCCTCCCCGCTCTGACACCAAACACCGACAATAAGTGCATCAGTAAGAATGTGCCGCATTACCTAATGCCTGCCTGTCCACAACAATCAGGCAAAACTGGAACAAATCTTACGGGCCTGAACCCTCTCCCCTGCGAAAATTCTGGTTCCGCCCATGTTATTCTTTAAGTGTTTTACTCCCTATATATTCCGCTATGTAAAAGATTGAATTCTCCATCATGATACCTACAGTGTACATTGATAGGACCATACGTTGTGGTAGGATGAACTGTCCAAGAATCCTTCCGTGCAGTGCAGGTGATTGTCTTCCCGTTGTCATCTCTCGTTGGTGTGACGTTGAGGGCGCTAGTGAACATAAAGCGATCATCCGAAGCTGACGGTACAGTTGTGAGGTTGGCTATATCGTACACGTCGCCGAATGACCAGTACAACAGCCAGTCATCAGGAAAACCCATGTCAGCATAACACGTCAGAGTAGTTGTAACGCCTTCTGTCATTGTCGTGTTACCAACGATCCAGGGAAGATCGGGTGGACCTAGAAGAACACAGACAACGTGGGCTTACTATTCATTCACTGCGAAGGACCATTACATTTTTTCCTATGTGATCATCTTTCATTGTCGTATTAGCAGCTATCCATAAACATTCTGTTTGACCTAGAAAAATACAGACAAGTGTGGTTTTACTATACATGTACTACCGCTAACCTATAGATTCCCTTCTTGACCTGTCGTCGTCGTGTTGCCAATGATCCAAGGAAAATATGGTAAACCTACAAAAACACAGTCGTTACGGTTTAAATATACATTTACCAACGAGCACCTGTGCATTTCCTTTCTTGACCTTTTGTCATTGTCGTATTACCGACGATCCAAAGGTCGATCTGATTGACCAAGAAAAACATGACACAAAACAACCGAGGACGTGTTCGGATCATTGGGATTATTTTCACATGTTAAAGGTAGAGTCCATCATTTGTAATTTGTGCATTTTGTTCGTTTGAAGCAACAAAAGAGTTCAAAATCTAATGAAAGATACTGAGCAACTAACCTGATGAAGTTTCAGCTAAGCTTCAGCTGTACATTCCGAGAAAAACAGCATTCTAAGATCTCAATTTCAAATCAAAAGTTGCTGAATCATGTTTTGAATTGTTTTGAATTGCAACTATACGCGACGTCGCGCACTGATCCGACGAATTATAACAACCGCGCGCGCGTGTGCGTCGTTCGAATACTTGTGCGCGCTGCGCTGAATAACAAAACGAACTACTAATTTAAATTTTCCTACGGTGCTTCTTAAGAATCACCGTTGGAAATGCCTTCTTTCGTTGATTACTTCAAAATGACAGCTTCCCAGAAAGAATAATTTCGCAGGGAGTTTAGTCTCCTTACTATCTTTCAACCAAGTTAGTTTTTTAACAATAATTACGCCAGTTACTTTTCGGATGGCTGCAAATGATGGACTCTACCTTTAAAGTGATAACCTTAGGTCATTCATCGGCATCATTACTGCACGACGTCAATACTCACCATTGACCTCTAGGTTAAGTGCCTTGGATGGCAACGGTTCCTGTGACTCAGCGGTGCTAGCCACGCACCTCACCTCCTGGCCGTGATTGGCTCTGCTGGGCGTGAATGACCACGTGTCTGAGGTATTGACCAATCCAATGTCCTCCCCGAAATGTGGATCAGCTGTTCTTTGCAGGTTGCCATTCAAGAACCACCCAATGGCAACAGCTGGTCTGGTACCCTGTATTTCACATCGAAGACTGCTAGGCGATCCCTGGTCAACAACAAAAGTATTCACCAGACTGGTCCCACTGGCGTCGTATAACGAGATAGAAGAAGATCGAGGTGGTACTGTGGAAAAGAAATAAAACACTGATAAAGGTTCTGAAGTCATTAAAGGAAAACAATTGAGTCAGTGTACTGATTTATACATGATTCATTATATAGCTTCACCTCTCTTTTTTCCTGTTTAAATGAAGTTTGCAATTGAGGCCGTTTGTTTGGAATGCGACTTTGATAGGAGAGAGTGTAACATGATCAGGTAAGGTTTTCAATAGGCCTATTTCATACCCTTTATGTCCAGCACCACGCCAGTGCTGATGCCCACATGACCTTCCCTGTTAGTGGCACGGCAAAGCAATTCCTGTCCATGGTCAGCCCATGAGGGCGCCATTCTGACGTGGCTGGCACTGGTGAGGAAACCGCTGTTGCTCGTGACTTCACTGCTGTTACTAAACTCTTGATTGGCCACAGTCCATGTGAACGATGCTCTTGGGTTGATGTCAGGCACCACGCAAGTGAACCGATGATCCACTCCTTCGATCAAGTACGCAGTGTCATTAGACGAGTAGGTTCCTCTTGAGTCAAACAAGAAAATCTCTTTTGGGAGAACTGAATTTAAAAAAGGAGAAGAAAATATCTCACTGACCTTCACTTTCAATTATAAGCTGTAACCCGACTAAAATAATCCATGTTAGTATCGAGGGCTTTCTTTAACTGCGCATGTGCATTGATCCATGGAATACGCTAGTTTCGGGGTCAAAAAGAATAATACAAATCTTTCAACCGTATCACAGATATTCAAACATCTTCTCATATCGCAAAGAACTGTTAACAGATACGAGGTATTTTTAACCGACGACAAAGAGGGAGAATGCTTGAACTAGCGAATGTTTAGTTCATGTCGACAACTATGCTGTTCCTGTCTTACCTTTAACATTAAGGGAAACGGTCACAAACGGGAATGGGCGAGATGCCTCTGCTGTACAAGCCGCACACATCACAACTTGCCGGTGGTGCTTTGTTTCCGGAGTCAACGTCCAGGTCCCAGTAGTGTTGACAAGGCCGTTGCTTTGGCCTTCTGCGGGGCTGACTGTACTCTCGAGGACCCCGTTCAGGAACCACTCAATAGTCGCTGCTGGTCTAGTGTCCTGTACCACGCACGTGAAAGTTTCTGGGCTGCCTTCATCGACATCCACTGAGGTTCCTAGTAGGAATCCATCAAGGTCCAGGAGAAAAACAGACGATTCTTGTGGAGGCACTATAAGAAGTAACACGATACGGAAAGTGATTAAAAAGGACAAAGGTGCAGTTTTTGGCACATAAATAAGAGCCGGAACCAAACTGAAGCAAAAACAAACACTTGGTTCTTGAAACATCTTCTAATAAACGAAGGTGAGGATTAAGCCTGAACTCCGATGCCAGATGAAGACACGGCGTAATAAACATCTGTGGGTGTAATGCGTTCTATGACCAACCTTTGACATCAAGGGTCACGCTGACGTTCAAACCAGGGTAGCCAGGCTTGTTGAAAGCATGACATTGCAGTAACTCTCCCTGGTTGTTCCAAGTAGGAGACACCGTGACGGTGCTGCTGCTGTTGGTCAGTCCGTCAGATCCCACGATGTCTTTGGTGATATTTGATGTGATGCCTTGACTCCCCAAGGTCCATGTCATGGATGCTGCTGGGTCGATGCCTGGAACCTCACATGTGAATTCATGCTCCACTCCAGCGATCAGATACGAGGTCCCGTTGACGAAGGAGGTGTTCCCAGCCCAGTCGTACAGAGATATAACCGTTGGAAGAACTAAGTATTCGATAACGAAAAGCTTTGGTAATCAACAATACTGTATGATTAACCGAGAATGCATTCAGTGAAAGAAGTTTCCCAGATCACGGGTTTTGACTATAAGGATGGAGGACTAGGGTGATCGGACGAGTCCGTCTCAGCCTTGGCCGAGCCACTGAAATTGTGCAAACTGTCAACTTTAGTTCCTCGAAAAAGAGAGTGGATAGCAACAAATAAAGCAAGATGACCAGCTAGTTTGATTTCTTGTCATGTGACTGGTATTGAATGCTTTTATTGAAGTGTCATTTACTACCTGTTATTACGGACAATTGAGTGAGTGTGAACCCCGTTCTCCCATGTTACTCTCTGTCAAAAAAATACCAAAGTCGATCGAGACATTTGAAACAAGATATACGGCTGAGGGGAACCCCAAACTCTCAGGGATTCTTTGCACGTTTCTCGGGAAATGAGTGAGGTGCAAATAGTCTAGAGTGTGTGTAGCGTGTAGGGACGCTAGGTTTTCCATCAAGTAACTGTTGACAGCAAGTTCTGGCTCAGGAAGCTTTGACTGGAGAGTTTCATGTACCGTATGCGTTAAGGCAGAGTTAGAGGGCAATCGCCAACTATCTCAACGCTTAGGAAGACTTAAGTAACTTACTCTGCATTCATTGGCGCTTAAATAAAATAACAAAACTCAGAATATGCAATACCTCCAACACAAACTTTTTTCCCCGAGATTCAAGAAGGACCGAGGTTCTCACATCTCTTTTAAGGCCAGGCCAAACCGGCCTTTTTTTCCCCCATCCCTTAAATTACATACCGTTGACATTGAGTGCAGTGGTCACAAATGGCAGTGGCTCCTGCGACTCGGGTGTCCCTGCCATGCACCTCAACTGCTGACCGTGTATTGATCTGTTAGGAGCGAATGTCCAACTGTCTGAAGTATCCACTAAATCATCACCTATACCGGAGGGAGGAATGAAGGTCCTTTGCAAAGCGTCACCAATGAACCACATGGTGGTTGCGGCCGGTCTGGTTCCCTGCACCTCGCAGGTGAAGTTATATGGTTTGCCTTGGTCAACAGCTGCGGTTTGGCCGAGTCTGGTTCCCTCGGGATCGTAGATTGACAGGGACGATTGCGTGGGCGGGACTTGAGAAAGAAATGTGATCATTAAAACTATATTTAAATTACACTCTCTTTTCTCTCATTAGCACAGCACAAAAACCCTTATGTTTTCTGACGATTTGAACTCAAATTACAAATTGAAAGTCACAATTTTGCGAATTGTTATCAGTTTTTTCTACACGCATAAGGGGAAAATACACATGTATTATTATTTCCACATACATTGCACATTTGAGCAAAGCCGATTTCTGAAGAGTATTATAACAGCATTTAGTTTCCAGAGATTTAGCAGAATCTGCAAAAGTCAATAACAAGTCAACTATATGTTAGCCACTTAATCGTCCCTTTGTCAGCATATAATTTTATTTACCTGTTTTTGATAGATCTTTCATTACGTTTTTCTTCAAACGTGGAAATCGTCTCTTGTTCGGCTAATTCACCCCAGCTTTCAGAATCACAGAGAAGCCATTAATCTTCTCCAAAATTACATAGATACATTCACCAGCATTTTGCCACATCTTACACAGTTTAAAGTGTCTTTGAGGAGAGCATTGACCGTTATGGGCAAGAGCATGTGCTAGGGTCCCCATGCCAAAGGACACGAACATCTCTTTAAGCTGAAGACAAACCGAATTTTCTCAAAACCCCATAATTTGTGTTGCCTAATTAATCGCCGAACACTTGCTGTGCAATTTATAGATATTCCTATCTTTTGAGCTCCTTCGTACCTTTCACATCGATGGTCAAGCTGATGTTAACAGTAGGGAAGCCGTCGTAGTTTGAGGCGGAGCATCGCAGGTTTTTCCCGTGGTAGGCCCAGAAAGGGTTAAGGGTAATAACACTGATGCTTGTAATGAGCCCGTCACCATCGGAAGTATCGTTGCTGCTGTCCTCTGTGAGCACCATGCTGCCAAGGGTCCAGTTGAAGTCTGCGCCTGGATTGATGCTGGGAACCACGCAAGAGAACTGGTGCTCTACTCCGGCCACCAAGTAAAATGTGTCGTTGTTGGTAGTTGAGTTTTCATAAGAATCCCACAGCTCAATAGTGCTTGGAGGTACTGGCGTAAAGAATAAAAGACTTAAAATTTATATTGGGTCGTATGTATAAAAAGTAGCATTTGCTTTTACTACATATTTTTGAGCATTTACTTGCAATTGTATGAATAGAAATGCAGCAAATGCTTTTACTGTACAGTAAAGCATTTGCGGAAAGTTTAAAGTGTTTACTTTTTTATTATTAGCTTTTGCTAGATTAGAAGTAAGACAAGATAAGTTTGCGGTAGCACCATGTGAATAACTCTGTTTTGTGAGTATGTGTGGTTCTGAAAAGAACCGGGGGGACTCAACGTTTCGAACAGTATGCTCTGCCGGTGAAGCTCGAAACTGGTGAAGCTGAGAAGGATGAAAGTTGACCGAGGGTTGCCGGATGATCACCTTTACCTTTAAATGTAGACCCTACTTGTACTTTTTAGGAAGACCTGTTTAGTACACGATTGTCAATTGTGGACCTTTGGGAATTGTGGACCCTATTGTCCTCTACTATTTAACGCCCCCTTTTGAATGCAGAAACAACCTCACACACAGTCGTGGATTTCTATAGGACCAATGACAATGCTTTGTGTTTCCCTTTGTCCCTTTACTAATGAATATAACGCTCTCCCAAAGACTAAGCACATAACCGTGCGATCGAGGACTGTGTTCAACAAAAGACCCAAACGCTCGAGGATTGAATGGATCATTTTTTCTCTCATTGTGTGTCTGTCCTCCATCGTAAAACCATAAAATGGGACACACGCACACACATCTACACATTTTTTCCTTATTGAACGGATGCTAAGTGTCCAGAGAAAACCCTGTCTTCATTTCAGCACGGATGTGCGAGAGTCCTTTTTACGAAACGTTCTTAAATTCTAACTTGCAGCGGGATACATTGTACGATTTATGCGCTGCCTGGGATTTGGAAGTAGAAAAGAAGCACTCCCACAATCTCTTTCTCTCATCCTAAAGTAAGGTATTTTTTACACACATTCGATACAGCGCATGGCAAAAATATTCATTTCAGGCAGTGACGTACCGTAGACGTCGAGCGTAACATTCACGTATGGGAACGGTTCCTGTGACACCGTGTTGCTGGCAACGCACTTCACCTCTTGGCTTTGATTGACTCGGCTGGGTGTGAGTATCCAAGCGTCACTGGTGTCCACTAAGCTGTACTCTCCTCTGCTGGGTGCGTAAGCAGTTTTCTTTAGGGCGCCGTCAAGGTACCAGCGAATGGTTGCAGCGGGACTGGTGTCCTGGACGTCACACGTGAAGATGTAAGGCGCCCCCTCGAGCACGGTGACCTCACCCAATAGTCTGGTTCCACTTGCATCTCGCAGGGAAAGAGACGACGTCACTGGGGGCGCTAGACAACAATAGTTTACATATTTCATATTCAGCCACGGCGGTTTATACTCCCTCAATATATAAAACAGTCATTTTTAACAAAAGAGTGACACCAAAACCAATGTTAAGCCGAGCCTACAGTAATTGATAAACATTTAAATATATTCCGTATTCCCGTCAACGATTTTGGAGTTCTCATACTGTGCTCCAAGACCCAGCTTTCAAATAAACGTTACACTCTATTTTAAAGTTGATTGTGGCATGTCAAATATGTGCTCTATTTGACAGTCAGTACAACTAGGTTTTATTTAAACTGGAGGGCCCTTAGTTTTTAGGCAAAACAGCTGGCGTATTTTGAAAAGGTATGATTAAATGCGGAAAAAAAGTACTTATATATTTACTTTTATTTTATGAGGGAAGATTGTAGCAGGTAGTCAATTAAAAAAAATAAACAAAATTCGCAAATGCATACATATCTTTAAAATCCGCGAGCAAAGCTGTAGTTTGTTTCGTTGAACTACAGACAAATCAACCAATTGGTTGATTTTTTTTCTGTTTTCATCAAAAGGTGTATTATAAGTTTCGAATTGTGCACTGAGTGTACGTCCATGGCATTTAGCACCATATTGTACAGTTTTCTGCAATGATTTGCCCATTGAGTGCTAGTCGCGTAATTGTGGTATGTCATTAACATACTTGGTTTTGGGATGCTGCTAGCCCAGAGAGAAAACCCACTACTTGTCACGCTATAATCTGAGGTGAAGGTTAGTTGAAGATTGCTTCCTGTAGACACCACATCGCCTGGAAGTGAAGACCCGCTGAAAGTCCACTCTTGACCAGTTGAGGTGTCGACAATCCTCAGAACGTCGAGGTATCCCTCGGTGTCGAAACTTGAGAAGCTGATGCGAATCCGCCGGTTGCTGGCCGTTGTAACAGTCCAGGTGCGGTACTCATTGTCCCCGTAGTAATACAAGTAAACGTGTGTTCTCCCACCAGCGCCGATGTATGTACCGGTAGACACTGCATGGACATGGGAAACTTGAGTTACTCAGAACACAGCATCACTATTTCAGACTTGACCATTAAACATATCTGACTATTTGGGCCGATTTTATTCCTGCCTAACTTTATTAAGCATTTGGCTGTTCAGACTGACATCAAACATTTTAAATTCTGGATTCGTGTTTGGCTTTGGCAGGCTTTAGAAGTGCTAGAAGGAGTATAGTTAGGGTCAGGAGTTTAGAAAAAGTAGGAGGAGGAGTAGGAGCAGGAGATAGAAGTAGCAGCAGGAGATAGGAGGAGTAGCAGCAGGAGATAAGAGGAATAGCAGCAGGAGATAGGAGGAGTAGCAGCAGGAAATAAGAGGAGTAGCAGCAGGAGACAAGAGCAGTAGCAGCAGGAGACAGGAGGAGTAGCAGCAGGAAATAGGAGGAGTAGCAGCAGGAGATAGGAGTAGCAGCAGGAGACAGGAGGAGTAGCAGCAGGAGATAGGAGTAGCAGCAGGAGATAGGAAGAGTATTAACAGCAGGAGACAGGAGGAGTAGCAGCAGAAGATAGGAGGAGTAGCAGCAGGAGACAGGAGGAGTAGCAGAAGGAGATAGGAGTAGCAGCAGGAGATAGGAGTAGCAGCAGGAGACAGGAGGAGTAGCAGCAGGAGATAGGAGTAGCAGCAGGAGATAGGAAGAGTATTAACAGCAGGAGACAGGAGGAGTAGCAGCAGAAGATATGAGGAGTTGCAGCAGGAGAAAGGAGGTGTTTCAGCAGGATATAGGAGTAGCAGCAGCAGGAGATAGGAGGAGTAGCAGCAGGAGATAGGAGTATGGGTTGCTACACGAATTGGAATGGCAGCAGGAAGGTGTAATGGTTACAGAAGGAAAATCAGAAGCAGTTGGAGGAGTAGGAGTAATTGTTAGAGTGGAACAGAAAAAAACGGAAGATGTACAATGCTGTAGGAGTAGCAGCAGGAATGGGAAGTGTATCCGTTCGAAAATGTGCCGTAATGAACAGGGCCTCCTATTGTCCGAAAGTGACCATGATTGTCCGCTTTGAACAACGCCCCTAACTAGGAAGATGATGTTCGCCGACATTTTCAAGTTGATTTCGCTGAGGCCGGGTGACTGGGGAAAAATCCTCAAACCTTTTGGCATGAATGTTGTGTCGTCCAATTTGTTGGCACCCCCCCCCCATTCAAAGTGGTCTAGCGACGCCACTGGTATCGGTAAGTCATACAGCTACTGGTCCTGCTACTTTCTACTTCCACTTCTGCAGCTGCTACTCCTTCCACTTAAAATCCTAATTCTACGGGTATTCGTGCTCCTTCACACCTACTCGTACTCGTTTTTATATTACTTTGCTACTCCAACTCCAACTTCAACTCCTACTGTATTACCATTTGTTCTCCTGGCCCTTCTCTTACTATCCCTATTCCTACACATCCTGCTTCACTACTTCTACATTTACCATTACGCCTTCTATACCCTACTACTCATATCACTTCTCTACTCCAATTACTAATATCATCCTGCGTCTTTACCCAGTCCTACTCGTACTTTAGTATAGTACTCCTCGTATTACTACTACTCTAACTTCTATCCCACCATTCTTTTACACCTACTTCTAATTCTACTCCTGTTTTTATTGCTATAATGTTACTCATATTTCTATTATGCACGTCTTATACTTTTAAACTACTCATACTATAAGGCAAATGACAAGGGAGCAGTGTTCTAAAAGAATCGTACTATTATTGTTCAGTGTTTTTGTCAAGGTATTTGTTGCTGATTTATAAAAATACAAATATACGAAAAATCAAATTCATGTTATCTACACTCCGCCTAAGTTCTCTATCCGTTCAATGGACTGGTTTCATGTTTAAGATTAAAGGGAGGAAATTAAAAAATAGTGCTAGAGATACTTTGCGTTTGAAGCATAAGAAAAATACCACACGTTGGTTCGGCGATTGCAGTATACAGGGTGTATAAAACAAAGCAAGGCCAGATGTAAAAAAATCTAGTAAGTATTTTCAAATAAGTTAAAGATCATGGGAAACACAAATGTGTCCTCATTCCAATCATACCTTCATTGTTTGTCTGTGGCCACGGATGACTTGGCATTCATTGTTACTCTGTCAAGGGTCAAAATCTTTACTGGGCCAAGTTTAAACTGGCTGAGACATCCTTTTCTTTAAAACAATTTATTCAATTTTTAAACAGTGATTTCAACCACTCTTTTTGTTGACGTTAACCCCTCATGGCCCAGTACCTTCAACGTTGCCACCACCTCTTTCCACACAAAACTTTGCACGAAGTCTAGTCCATATCAACCTTTGCATAACAAACCAGCAAGCAGATATTAGCCAGGTAAAACTTTGCCCAATACAGGTTCTGACCCTTGACAGAATAACAACGAATGTTCAGTCAGCCTTGGCCACAGATACACAGTCAAGGCATTATTGGAAAAAGAACACATTGGCGTTTCACATGATCTTTAACTTATTTTAAAATATTTATCACATTTTATAAATGTACATTTACATCTGGGTTTCCTATTTTTGATACAACATAAGTGTACACTTGTATGTAGCGTAATAAAATATTGTTATTGCTAAAACACACAAAAAATAACAGCCGCCCGAAACAAAAAACCAAACAAACAAACAAACAAAAACCTAACAAACAAACGACCCGACAAATACAAATCCCAAAACAAGTACAAACTCAACAAAATCACAAAAGAAAGAATCGAACTCGTGCATCTTGTTTTAATACGTGCAGCAGCAATGAATGCCAAAGAACTAGTACTCAAGCACATAACGTGAGAGCACGTACGGCAACACATATTTTGCTGCACTGCAAACAATTTAAGTTCTGCTTTAGTTGTGAACAGTACAGGAATCAACATTACAAAAACACATGTCACAGTTTATCTGTCCCCCTACAAACATATTATCAAGACTTGACTTGGGACCGTATGTAATTCATTACAATATGAAACGATGATTAAATTCTTACCTTCAATCAAACAAAGTAGCCACGTCACAATTAAGCAAAACTGACAGACCGACTCCATGTTGTTATTTACCGTGGTCTGCAGAATATATGCTCAATATGTTTTTTATATTAATATTTCTTCCAGAACGGAAGCAGTAGTATATTTCCTTGGCAGGAAATGCCCGATCATTAAAGCACATGACCCTTACTGTAGTAGCTTACACTATACATTACCAAAAATAGAACATTGAACTTGACCTGATAAACCTTTTGTTGAATTCAGACAAGTAAGAAAGTGAAGAAAGATTAGAAAGATACAGTCAAAATGGAAGAGGAAATTTGAGGGTAGAAGTATTAACTGAAAGACAGTTATGCTAATTGAAAATCAAGTCAATGTCACATTTGGGAAAAACCGTCAGTATATTGAGAAATGATGTTTTACGATTTTTGTAAAAACTAATACATTTTTTTTTGTAAAATAAAGTTACTCTTTTCTGTACGAGGAATCAAAATATTTTAGCTTTCAATGTAATGTTTTGTTAAACATTCAGACAATGATACAATGCAGGCTTTGGTAATCAAGTGGGATATGTGGCTGATGAGGAGTGCAAATTAATGGAAACATGGGTAGGTAAAAACAAAAACGAAATGGTGAAAGGAGATTATAACACAATTGCAAGTTTGTATGCATTACAAGAGAGGAACACCATGACCCATTCGCCTCCATTGGAATCTACTGCAAAATACACAGTCTGATCTTTTGGTTTCCATATATCTGTAGAAAAGGATGGGTATATTACGACACACTTCCGCGTCAGGGTTTTGGCCTTCATCCAGTTTCTGCTCATCTAGGCTGTTTGTTGCAAAACTTAAAGAGGTTGTGGAATGCTCGAAGACGTTTCCGTCATTTTTCGGGTATATGTAGCCTAAGGTGTGATGAAATAAAAACGACTATTGTTTCTGTCATAAAATGAGTATAAAAGGTACTTTTGAGAGCTGTATTTCAAGTCCTGTCATGCCTGTTTCGACCCGAACGTGCAATTTGTGTAAAAGTCGTCGTTGCGGGCAGCAAACAAAACACAGTAAATCGTGACGTAATAAACAGGACTCCCGATGCAGAGTAGCATAAACGAGTCCTGTTTATTACGTCACGATTTACTGTGTTTTGTTTGCTGCCCGCAACGACGACTTTTACACAAATTGCACGTTCGGGTCGAAACAGGACCTGAAAAATAGCTCTCAAAAGTACCCTTTGTACACATTTCATGACAGAAACAAAAGTCGGTTTTATTTCATCACGCCTAAGGTTACATATACCCAAAAAATGACGGAAATGGCTTCGAGCATTCCACAACCTCTTTAACCTCGGCTGAAGTCCAGTCGATCAATGTTTTATATTTTGTATGTTTTGTTTCAAATGGAAAATTCGTTTTATTTTCTGTTTTGGGTTTCTGCAACCCTATAATAAAATAGTGTATGGGTGGATACTTTTCGTATCGAGTTTCACTCAAATGTTTGCCAGATCACGAAAAAAAGCTCGGATTGATCTCCTACATCTTTAAAGGCCAACACAATTAGTCGGTGACTTGAATATAGTGTGTGGTACCTAGACCCTCAGATAAACAATGCATGTAAATCACCGAGGCTTGCAGACTTGAGTGCTGACAAAAAAAGGACAGCTTCGATGCTATACAAAACCCCTAAACTTCCTTGTGATATGCTTATCGAGGTAACGCACTCAAAACATGTTCAGAAGTCGGTTCACCAGGAAGGAAAACGAGATCGGGGATTCTGATGAGGAATAAGCTGTAAACTTGTATGCCATATCCTCATGACCCTTTCAGAAGAGAGTGAAATTCAACAACAAATAAACCCACAAACAAGATAAATGGGTTGGCAGTTCAGAAGTCGGTTCACCAGGAAGGAAAACGAGATCGGGGATTCTGATGAGGAAATAAGCTGTAAACTTGTATGCCATATCCTCATGACCCTTTCAGAAGAGAGTGAAATTCAACGACAAATAAACCCACAAACAAGATAAATGGGTTGGCTTGCCAATCTATCTGGCGGTAATTTATTCGCAGATACTTCTTTGTAGTTGGAATGAAACTGATTTTGAAATTGCAGTATAAAAAGGAAATAGCGAATAGATATCCATTTAGTTCCAGGGAACCACGAAACTGGTGTTTTGAGCCTTTAGTCTTCTTTTTACCTGACTGACTGACTCACTCACTGTATATGTGACTGTTGTTTAAAATGATAGGATGAAACAGGATTACCCCGTAACGCCAATAAATGAGTTAAACCGTCTTGTTGTATGAGCCCCATCCTTCCACTGAATAGCCATTCTGAATCGATTGAGCAGCTTATGTGTGCTCTGAGACCGGAATTACTAGATCTCCCATGACTTTTTGAACTCTTATTTTGAAAGAGCCTACTCTGACACACACACACACAAGGCAGTTGGCAACTCCTTTTCTTAGCTAAAACCTAAGCAGTGTAGTGTTTGAAAAGATACCTAAACTAAAGATTCACAGTTGTAAGCGAATATGCAACACGAAACTTGGCGACGGATATTCAGGATAAATATGACACAACCACATGATAAAAATGATTAAATACAGGCATACGATTTCAAGCTTGACTTACAAGATCCGGCTATTACACTGTATGAAGCAAACAGTCTCAAACAATGGCTAATTGAGTTACAATTAGCAATATAAATCATAGTTGAAAGAAACAGAGTTTTATCGTTGCATTTATACATAGACCACACGGCAAAACAAATCAGTTTAAAATGCATTACAGAAAGTTATTTTTTTTTAAAAAGGTTATTTATGTGTTTAAAAAGCAAAACTGCAAACATTAGTAGTGTTTACCGGAGATACAAGCTTGATTAGAAGTATTACCCACTAGAGTGAATTCCACAGCAAATTGGAGTAAATTCCAAATTACGTTATTAACAATACAAAAGTACACTCTGTAATCTTTCTCTGAAAAATATAACTCAGGCTCGCTTTCCTGAAACACTATAAGTATCTCAAAGTATTACTATAAGTATCCAAAAGTATTACTATAAGTATCTCAAAGTATTACTATAAGTATCTAAAAGTATTACTATAAGTATCTAAAAGTATGATATACCGCAATTTATTTATGGCATACATGTAAATCATCGTTTCGTTTATTTCTGTGTATAAGGCTTGGCTTCAACAAGTCGGGGTCTATGGTGCACGCAGCACCCGTATACTGATATGTATTACTGATACGGATATAATTGTTAAGCGCCTAATTTGCATTTGCTAATACATGCTGAAAACAACGAGTCATGCCCTTAACCAGCTACAATTAAAACAAAACATAGCATTACAATTAAGAAATCACATACATTATAGTATCGTTTAGATTAAACAACCACGCGCGAATCTTTTAAGTGAGTTCTGTTCTCACATAATAAGTGCACATGAGACTGATGCCTCCTGAGTTACTACACAGAGGAATGAAGCGACACTTTGTATTACTAATTTCATTTATGAATCTCCAATACCATCCACTTGTTTTCCTTCACGAACTGATGTGTATAAATGTATGAACATCCCTTTATTGAATAAATATAGACCACTTAATGCAAACATATTATTTTCCAAAAAGCTAAAATTGTACCGTAATCGCGACACCAGAAGGATGAGGATGAATATTATATTATCTATACCATATAAGTATATAAAAAAGTTATTGAAACAAAATCATGCCTCCCGTGTTTGTTTACAATTGGACTCTTGCCACATAATCTTGAACTCGGCTTTGATTTCAGTTCCTCGATCCCAGAAGAAACAATTTGTTTGATGCCTAGAAAATGCCTACTTACTGTGATATATACATTTATATTTTTGCTAAGTTTGTAATCTGGTTTCTGAGTTACCTCGGATAGGCATGCAGGTAAATTAATAATTACATTTGTTAGATAGAAATGAGGAAACAGGAAAAATTATTACTAGTTGTATGCCTTTTTTTTCAAATTGTTTTTTTCATGCTCATGTGTAATTGGATTAATGGTGATCTGGTACACGGTACCCTGTGGAGACATGTGAGTAGTAGGGAACAAGAGATTGTATACGTCTCCATACTTGGGCAATATGTATAGGTGAATACGCCTCCACAAGGTTATCACGAAATAGATACATGGATTTTACTCACAAACTAGGCATTTCCAAGGTGTGTTGATTGGTTGCAAATTAAAGTCTTTTAAGTAAGGGATATTTAGTCCGAATTTCAGCTCAGGAAATTAATTCTGGTTTAAATAGGAGCATTTTTTGAACTACACTTTCAAACTCTAAAATGTTAGTACGAGAGAAAATAGAAATGACTCTACAAGGATACACATTGTGTTTCCCTGCATTTTCATGTAACAGCACGGCACAATCAATGTCATAATGATGCTCTTTATGGACTGTATTGAGCAATTTTTTCACGTCGCTGTCATGACTTAATCTTCTTTGCAAACATAAGGATATGTCGCTACTTTTTATTTGGTACTCATACGTCTCAGCAAAAAATACAATGACTAAATCTAATATCCCAAATTATCGTGATTTGTGAAATGGTCGAGAACTGATTGTGCTCATTGATTCACTCCAATGACTCTTCGCTTAGATCTTTTCAAAGTCTGATCCACCTGAGACCGACATTTTGTAGATGTTCTCCTGGCAGCTTTCCAACAATATGCATTCCTAAAATCAAAAAAAGAGAAGAGAACGCAATGTAGAGATTTAAAACTTCATCCACCAATTCCATGTTGTCTGATGGGTATGACTAATATTCTCCGTAAACATGTATAAACCTCTCTGCCATGAAATTGTAAAACGACGCTTGGAATTGACACTTTGCTGGCTTGAAATAACTCTCAATGTAAGTAGCCAATAAAAACCAACGAATTCAAACCTCACGTGGGTCACGCTCAAGATACCCAATTCTAAATATATCATTGATGGGTAAAGTCGAAGCAAAGAACAGACGGTAACAAATAATTGATATGAACAAAAATACTAAATCTGCGAATTCAAACCTGACGCTAGTCAACTTCACGTCACCCGTTCCTTAATTTATCCTTGATGATATCCAAACCTGGGCTATCTGGAAATAATATTGTTTTATATATTAGGCCTACTCACGTTAGCTTTTCCCAACAATCCTCCAAGTTTATCGGTGATCGTTGCAAATGTCGGTCGGACTGCCGGGTTCTTAGACCAGCAAGCACGCACTACCTGGTACCTAAGAAAACAAGTATGAAGAGTTCAGTGTTTAAGGACAATAAACTATGCCCTGGATAAAAAAAACTGGCATTCATGGATTAGTATTTTGCCCAATTTTGATCAACAAACCATCTCATTATTGGACAAAATCTTACTCAATATTTGTTCAACATTTACCCAAATTAACCAACAATGTCTTACCATGATTGGAAAAAACACAGAACAGCAGTGTTTCACCCATTTATTTTCACGGTGTAAACATGGAGAGATAAGGTCTGACACTCATATTTTCAATTTCCTTTTCATCCTGTCCGACAAACCGCCAAGATTTTCTCTTTTTTTTCGCTTTTGGTTTATTTTGTGCCATCAAATGTAAAGGTCGTATCCTTTGATTAGTTCCGCTCAGTTCCAGTCACAACATAAATTACATAATGGACATGATAAAGCATCAAGAAATAGCTACCGGTAATTTCGCTGTTTCCTTTGACCCTTTAAAAGGGTGATTAATATTAGAAAATCATTTTCAAAATAATTGGTGCAACCAATTATTGCGAGTTAAGGACATTATAACCAAAAGTGTTTCTGCTTGTTTTAAACTGATATCGTATTTGTTTTCTTAAGCAATGAAACTCACAATTGCAATCGACAGTGGTCGGGACGGGGCATCCGGTACCCTGACTTCACTTTGGAAACCACTTTCTTGGCACTCATGGTCGGGTAGGGGTGGCCACCTGTGAGGAAAATTGGAGTTGAAAAACGAGCTTTGTAATCCAGTCAATTCCAAGTCAATCCCACGTCAGATCACAAGGCAAGTCACAAGTCAAATAACAAGTCATATCACAAGCCAAATCACAAGTCAGATCATAAATTAAATCACAAGTCAAATCACACGCCAATCACAAGTCAAATCACAAGTCAATTACAAGTCAATCACAAGTCAAATCACACGCCAATCACAAGTCAATTACAAATCAATTACAAGTCAATCACAAGTCAAATCAAAAGTCAAATCACAAGTCAGAACACAAGTCGAATCACAAACCAGAAAACAAGTCTGATCACAAGAAAAATCACACGCCAAATCATAAGTCAGATCACATATCAAATCATAAGTTTGCCTCGAACAACCAAACATGATCTGTGACAAAGGCACTGTTTCAGTGTACCATGTTACATTTCTTTACAAATTGGATGTTGTGGTCACGGGAGGCCAACTTTCAGCAATGGTTCTCTTCTGCGCTGCATGTGTATCTCTTGAAATGTGATTGATGTAAACGTGGTGACAAACGTGGTGACAAACGTGGGTCAAAAAAAAAATGCAAAAGATGCTTAAGTGTTTGGGTTGCCTGTCATGTCCTATGGTATAACGTCACAGGGCAACATACTCTATAGCTTATGATTTGACTGGAATTGAAAGTGGTTGACGTGTGAGTGACTATTAACTCAGTCAATTGCAACTCTGTATACAATGTATAAGAAAATCAAATTACGATTTCGATCATTTTATTTGAATACCTTCTTTGCAAGACGAGGGAAGTTTAGTTTAAGATATTTAAAACAGGTTGATTCAAACGTGGATTGATACCATGCCCAGAACCATCTTCATATTAGCCTAAAGTACACGAGCGGCGCCCAGTGGTCAAAGACCTTTCCAGAGTTTTAAACATGGATATCATAGGTCTTACCCAGAGTAACTATTTCCCACAGCAGAACCCCAAAAGACCACACGTCACTCTCTGTTGTGTACACGTCATCAACAACGGACTCCAGTGCCATCCATCGCAGAGGGGAAAATCCCTGAACGTCAAAAGAAAAGAAAATGTTACCGATAAAACTGCGTAACAAACATCCTGATAGAATGCACGTTGAAGAACATTAAACGAAAAACACTAATCTCAATTGCATGATGTATTATCACTTTGGAAATAAACCCTGATTGTTAATTTGTGTTAAAATTATTGTCGTTGCTGTTTTTGATTATGTATCTTGTAGTTGTAATTGGAGAGCCTCTCGCTATTTTTTTATGTCAAATATTGTTTGTTTCTGAATGAGTAAAGATCTTTACCGTGCGTTTGCGTTGGTATGTTCTCATTTCGGCGACGTCACTGGCGAATCCAAAATCGGATATCTTGCTCACCATATCCTCGCTAACGAGGACGTTGCGGGCGGCAAGGTCTTGATGAAGACACTGGTGCAAATAAAACGAAAGGGGCAAACCTACTAAAGCTGACCTCGCAGTGCACACATTTCTATCCAATTCATCCAGAATGGCCATTAACTTAACCATATTTTTAATTACGTGTATACACAATCGGTCGGATTTATCCCATTCATTGGGGTTAATGAGTAATCATACACGATAGCACTGCCCGGCTCACAAGTGACATTCTGTTCTTCAGTCAGCCAGTCAGTGAGACAGAAATTGAGGCACAAAGTAGTCTTGTGACCCCTTGATGGCATCGACTAGATTTCCATGTGTTTCTGACCACAATCTTCTCCCAACTATAAGGACTTCCCAAACTATAGTTAGCGCCATTGCAATAGTCGGAGCATTACAGACTCACCCCTTGTGAAGCCAAGTAAGCCATGCCTTCGGCCACGCCCCTGGCCAGACTTAGCAGAGTCTTGGGTGTGAGGGATGCACACACAGCCCCTCGTAGGTTGTCATACACGTGTTCGGATCGGCTATCAGTAAGAATATCCTTCAGGTTCCCATTCGCCATGTGCTCCATGATGACATAGATCGGGTCTGTGCATACGATTGCCAAAGTATCAACAGTTGAACAATTGCCCAATAAGCAATTGCCCAATTCTATCTTTCCGTACGCGCATCATTATTACTTTAAGGTTTTTAAGGCAATTATTTGAAAATAATGTCTGAAAAAATGTGCCAACATAATTGAAAACAACTTTTGGACTTAATGAAAAAATAATATATAAATGCAGATTGGAGATTCGATTCCCATACTGCCAGAGATCTTGTGTACATTTTAGCTGGTGTGTTTATCACCAAATTAAAAATCGTCAAATCAATTAGTGCGCAAGCAGTGGGAAAACCGCACAGTGGCTTACTGATTGATGATTTCAAGACGTTTGCTTTAAAAAGGGCTATTTTTTTTGGGAAAGGACTTTACTAATAAATGTAGTTTCTGATTTAAGGCCAACAGTTGATAATCAACTTTCCCACGATTAAGCCGAATTATCACGCCCGTATAGTGTTACCTTCGTTGATGCAGTATCCAAGGAGCTTAACGATATTCGCGTGACCACTGAGAGGTTTCATCGAATTCAACTCTCGAATCAGGTTCTCTTTCTCCTTCGGGTCGCTTTCATCTGCATGATATGTAAATTTTAGCAAGAACATTAGGGACTTCTTTTCTCAATACTTCTAGGGTGATGAAATGTATACAAGCTCTTTGCATGAACAGTACACGGCACTTTGTAACTACTCACATGGACAGAGATCGCGCGCGAACGGGTGAAGAATACACAGCCATTATTATTAGGAGACTCAAATAGGCACCAACCGATGCATACGAGCGTAGCAACACATGCGCCTCTAGCTAGCGTCTGTCACTTATGGGTAAATAATGTGTATTTATAAAGCGCAAATATCCATCAGTATCTGTGCTACAACATAATATCGATGCTGATTTTTGCCAATGGAACATTCAAAATACAATCTCGGCCCCCTGGGGAGTAAACAGCTCGATGCTGCCAGCTCGGCGCAAGGCAGCTAAAATCAATCACATCTCTGCCCCCACATGTGCCCGATTTACTCCTGGGTGAGGAGAAGCAATGAATGACAAAGTGCCTTGCCCAAGGGCATACGCACCATATCCCCAGGCTCGACTCGCTCGGCACTCCACTAACGCACGGATTCCTAACAGAGTATTGACGGGCCTCTCACCTTTTACAGTTTTGACAGCCACGCGGGTGACGAGACCTGGCTGCTTGATGTCTAAGGCTCTCGCAAGTAGCACCTTCCCAAAGGTGCCCTGAGTGAGTTCTTGCAGGAAGGTCAGCTGATCTCGCGAGATCGCTGCGCGGCAGTCCGGGATGTCAGCATAGGTGGACTCAACCGGCTTACTTTCAACTGCTCGAATGGTCTGCATAGGGATCCCTGCAAAGAAGCATTCATACGACACGCTTTCTTCAGAAGCACTCCTAGAAATATATCCAAATAAATAAGTCAGATTCGTTCTGAAATTTCTTTCATGTGACTTGCATTTGACACGCAACGCCAGTACATCGCGAGTACTTTGTCGAGTGTGTAAGTAATTTATCGAGGGTCCTCCAACCAGTGTCCATTCATTTCGGGCCGCACTGTACCGTTTGTAGAGGTCTGCCGCACTTGCAACTTATCAGAGTTACACACTGCAAGCATTTAACTGAATGTATCTTTAAACGTCTGAGAAAATGGAAAACGCCTGCCCTCATACATATTCACAAAGGGCATCATTCATCCTACCAAGTATCCTTAACAAGTATCATTAGTAAAGTATGGACAGCACTTTAAAGACTAACTTCCAATTAAAAGTCTGGCATAAGCTTTCGTGGCCACTGCTACTCTATTAGATGTAGTCACTGCAGTGACTGGTGAAGTAGCTATTGTATCTAGCAGCAGACTAACACGGCTGTATACAACATTCTTAACAAGTACCGAGGCTGGTTCTTCGGGTAGTTTATGTTACGCTTTTAATGAGAGGTCATCTAGGAGGACAATTTACCATTCCAGAAAATTTTACAAAATTCAAACCTTTTCTACCTCAAGGTTAGGTTTTTTTTATGACACCAATTGAGGTTGGGTTTATTTTCCACAATGTGTTTCTTAGATTACTTACCAACGTTTTCGTAGCATTCTGTATCTTCAACGACTCGGACTGGTCCTCCGGTCCCATCTTCACTGCTGGTTACAAGCAATTTAGATCGGGGTTTTAAATGTTCAAAAAATTGGGGCTGGGGTCAAGCCTCGCCCTGCAGGTTACTGACTAAAACTCGTCCGGCCCTTTAGAATTGGCTAAAACATGTTTTGTCTGCAGATTAGTACACCATGTATAAGTTTGAAAATACATCGTGTGTTTAGCCTTATTCAAAATGTAGAGTGTCATTTGGAGTAAAAATTATTTTGAAGCCAATTTGGATGCTATAAAGACTTTTTAAATGCTAACACTCGGGAACATGCGTGGCTATTCTTTGCAATGTTTTAAATTTCAATTTGAGGTTATATTGCTAAATTGCTTCAATAAACGTGATAGCTGTATCGTTTGAATTAAGAGTAAATTGCTTTGTTACAATCTAGCCAATTCCATTGTGCGTTCTTTTCTTTATTCCATATCAAGGCACACACTTGATGTAATGCAGGCTTTATTAATAAGTTTCAAGAAGGCCTAACTTAAACAATATTTTGTTTTTAAGCAGTCAATAATACTTACCTTTGGGAAACATTTTGTTGTTCTGTTGAGAAAGTAGAAATGTTGAATACGTTTAACGACGACACGATAAACATGTAATGCAATAGGCGGATTCGATGTTTTGTACGCAACAGTTTTATCTAATTTTAAATACATTTTTTAGGTGAGGTTAGATTTAGTACAAATATTTGAAGCTCTACTTTTCAACATAATATTGATTGCAGCATTATCAGAACTGATTATGATTTCTTAAGATAATACAAATATGAGACATGTATGATGACTGTGGTTTAAATGTTCAGAATTGTTTTTTAAAGATCTGGGAATTGTCGAGTAATCTCTCATCAGAAAAAAAATATGTTTTTAGGTGGAGGCAGAAAAAAGCCCGCGTGCTCAAGAAAATTAATCCATGTGTACCACATGATGCACAACTACTCAAGAGTTTTTGGTGCACAAGGCATTAACAAATATGAAAGCTTTATCCATTGTTTCGAAAAATGAGCATAGCAAAGGTCTTACCCTTCTTTTGCGGTGGCCTCTTTCGCTTACGGTAAAAATAGCCGGCCGCCTGTATTGCGATACTGATGAGCAAAAGTATTCCCAGTACACTGATGGCAGTTAGATACGGCCAGCTTATCAGTATGCCGATGACTGAGGGAGCAACGGGTGCTAATAAAAACAAATCAAAATATCGGAAGTATCGTTTCAATGTAAATCATAAACTGTGAGTGTATCTTTGACACTTTTTTTGTCCAGTCTAAGTATAAAGAGGGTCTGATCTTAAAGGCAAACATTTGGCTTAAAAAGAGAAAAATCCTTTATACAAGTATGTAAGCGCATAAAACCACCAAATTATAGTTGGCCTGAGACATAATGCCGACACAGTTTACTACATCTACACTTTTTTACAAACATTATGCATGGCAGCCATCTTAGAAAACAATAATTTTGTTTTGCTGGGATATGCATAAATGAACTTCAATGCTTTCATTGCTACTGACAAAAGATGCCCTCTAAAATGGCTGCGACGCTAAAGATATTGTGGAGCTTGGTGGCTTTCCTCCAAACCGGTTATTTCTCCCTCAAGAATATCAGAGCGTGACAAAACAAAAATAGGCTTAGTAAACAATCCAAAACATAACATTTCGGGGTTTTTCAGGACCCAGTGCCCCATTATTATGCTAATGAAAACCTATTTGTTTTTTTACTCTTAGCGGCTCAAAACTATGGATTTGAGCGAAGGCACCCTCTTTTCTCGTGACGGTGCCATTTGTTTGTTAATGCTAAACGATGGCAACAAACTCAGACTGCGAGAGGGTCAATATCTTATTTTCCTAATAAATTGCCTTCTAAGAACACGAACTAGACGTTTCAAGACGGAACGGGAATTGTTTTTTTTTTGTTTCGCACAAGTTTTTGTTTTTATTTTGCCACCCCGAGAAAATTATGAGTCATATTTTGCTTTTGGCAAGCGGTTGTAGGCCTTTTAACAATAGCTCTGATGCTTTGTGCATCAGACATTCTGTGCGTGGCTTATCCCATGCATTGTGAACTTTAAATGTCTACATTGTATCAACAGGCATTAGATAATGGTTCAGTTTCGTGTTGTGCATAACGGTATGGCACAGATAATGGGTGCTCTAGGCCATGTGCATTGTGAAATGATATTTACAGGAGCACAACGCAATTGCAATACATAGGCTTTGCGTGCAGCTTGGTGAAGGTATGTGGTATTTGTATCTCGTTCCAGGGCACTGTTCTGTTATGGTCGATGTTGGACAATGGTGGACGGAGTGCGTGAGTTGACCTGACCTAGCAAAGAGGCAGGTGAGTTTGGATTAAATTTTAAGATATATTATGAGATCAGAATGAAATTAAACTGAATACCGTTAAACACTAGCCGCATTTTTGTTATTTTGTTGTCATTTAATCAAAAACTGTTATGTTTTGTCTTTGTTTTTTTCTCATATCGTGGAATCAAAATAGCGCCTGTGATTTATCATTGAATTCTAACAAATTGTTTCTTCTGCAATTTGTTAGCTTCTCAAAACTCGGATTGGGGCACAGAACACCCCGTAGTCGTATGAATTAGTAGACCACGTGATTTTTGTCTTAAAACCCCAATGTAAGCAACCATACTAGGTATTTTGTTTTCAAGATTATATAGCAAGTGTTCCTGTTTTGTTGGCATTGTAAGCAATTACATCAACCTAACATGTATTATATGGAGTCTTGTCATTACCACATGGCAACTTTAGGTTGCTTGTTCGCCTTATAGGGCGTATTACCCAATAGCAATCCTCTGCCTTGTCAGTGGAGTTATTGGCAATAATGAAAAACGATCGGAAACGTTATTAGAAAATAATCTACTTTAGACGAATAGGTAATATACATATCGCACACCGGATCATTTATATTAAGTACTAAATATACGAGCCCGTCGCAAGACTCGAATATTCGGACAATTTTAATTGATGGCTAGATATTGCAAGTTCTTACAACGCACGATGACATCAACCAGGCTGGAATACACCACCGGTGGTACACCGTTGTCTCCGCGGCACCTGTACGTCCCAGCCTGCTCCCTACTGATGTTGATTAGCAACAGTGTGCTTGTTCCATTGCTGTAGAGAGAGGGTAGGGAGCCTGGAGATTCGACCCTCTCCCACGTGATGAAATCAGGGGGCATGGGATTGGCGTCTGCGCTGCAGGAAAAGATCACGTTATCTTCCTCCTCAAAAGTCCTAGATGTGATTTCAGGTGGCGCAGAAAATTCTGGACAGTCTAGAACAATATATAACACAACACTTACACGATACATAATGTTAAGAACTTGAGATTTCTAATCATCACTTCAAAATGCATCCCTCCAAAAACACCTGAAAACAAAACTAGGCAAGCCATGTAAAGTTTGTACAAGAGGGCACACATTTCAATTCAGTTGAATCGCAATGGCTATTCATTTTAAGATCATATTATTGGAAGCCGATGAATCCTATACAATGGCACTAGCCGGCACACTAGTGACAGTAAGTGGGTCGGTAGGAACGTCAGACGTCAAGAGAGGTAGACCTTATAAAATTTAATGACCACTAGGATCAGCAAATGAAAAACAAACAAACATAATCTTACACTGTACGTCGATTGGACCCAGCGATCCTATTGGGTCTTGATCCCAAGATCCTCGTTTGGTAGAGCATGTGATCATGTTCCCATTATCTTCTCTGGTTGGCGTGAAGTTTAACGTGCTGCTGAACCTGTAGCGGTTGCCCGATGTTAACATGGCGGTGGTATGAGTGCCGGCAAGAGGTAGGCCCCCATTAGTCCAAGCCAGCTCCCAGTCGTCAGGGTATCCGTGGCTGGCCTGGCATGTTACTTGAACGGTCTCATTTGCAGTCATCGACAGATTGCCTGATACAGCTGGAGTATCCGGGGGACCTGCACATCATGCCATGCAGAGGCACAGTCATATACGATAAAAAAAGACTAAACCAAGAAGATACACATTCTTCTAGTAGATTCTGTATGATATGGTTCGAGTGATTAATGGTATTTGAGTTTTGTAGAGATAACAGCTAGGATAATTCTCTCCAGATACACTATGTGAGATCATGATCTATTGTGCATTTCGGTATATTTGTCCTGAATATGCTCTCCCATCACATTGCTTCTAAGGTTTGGACACATACCAAACCATTTCCCATTCCCTGGAGCTCAAATGAGGACACGCCCCACTTTCAGTTTCATGAGGTCATACGCAGTCTAGTTGCATAATTAATCGCCGAATATGTTTACGTATAATAGACCATGGTTGGCTTTGCCAGGGCCAGGGTATATTATATAGACTACTTTCTCCTGGGCTTTTCATAGCGAATGTGACAAAAATACCGATCATTGACGCCGCCTATTCCGACCTACTCCAACACTCTAAAAGGTCTCGGGTCTGATCTGACACGGAGTACAGTTTTTTTTTTCTCATGACACTTCGAGGGTCAAAATAACCCAAAGAATGAGTCAGAACACAGAACCTTACCAGTAACTTCCACTGTGACCGTCGCAAACGGTAGAGGGAGCTGCAACTCCGCTGTACTAGCCACACACTTAACCATCTGCCTGTGATTGGTTCTGCTCGGGACGAACGTCCAGCTGCTCGTGGTGTCCACCAACCCACCACTTTCTCCAGAAGGAGGATCAACAGTTCTTTGCAAAGCGTCATTCAGGAACCATTGTATGGTAGCGGCTGGCCTTGTCTGACGCACCAAGCAAAAGACAGAGTGGGGTGTCCCTTCCATGACGCTTGCCCTTCCACTAGTCACGTTCCCGCTGGAATCATAAAGGGACAAACTGGATCCCTTTGGAGGAACTGAAAAGAGGAAACGACAAATACAAAAAAGTGTGTTCTGAAAACAAAACTAGGCACGCCTAGTTAAGCTGGTCCAAGGGAATAGAACTTTCTACACAATTGAATCACGATAGCAGTTTATTTGAAGCCGGCATAGATGTAGTCAGATCCATCCCAAAACCATCCCTACCACATAGGCAATTCTGTGACAGTCAGATGGTCGGTCGGTCGAGGATCAGATTTGTACAAAGAAACTGTTTGACCAGCAAATGCCAAAACAATTCGTACCCCAGACGTCGATTGGACCCATCGATGCTATCGGGACTTGGGTCCAGGATCCTCTTCTGGCAGAGCATGTTATCATGTTCCCATTATCTTCGCTGGTTGGCGTGAAGTTTAGAATGCTTTTGAACGTGTAACTGTTGCTTGATGTTAAAGTAGCGTTGGTATGAGCGCTGGCACTGGCAAGAGGTAGGCCTCCATTAGTCCAGATCAGCTCCCAGTCATCAGGATATCCGTTGCTGGCTCGGCATGTTAGTTGGACGGTCTCATTTGTAGTCATCGATGGGTTGCCTGTTATAACAGGAGTGTCCGGCGGACCTGAAAATGGGATAAGGCAGGTTACTATAGAGGCACCATCATCCGAAGAGTAGCTTCTTTCCACATTTTCGGTTTGCGTGCTGCGGTCTTTTCTTTTTTTTTAATACCAAATCAACCAAGTGATGATGAGCGCAATATACCAAAACATTTTTCAAACTTTTTTGGCTAGACTAAGACACACAATTCACTTGTTAAAGCCAGAGTCCATCATTCGCAGCTATCCAAAAAGTAACTGGCATAATTATTGTTGAAAAACATACTTGGTTGAAAAATAGTAAAGGGACTAAATTCCCTGTGAAATTGTTTTAATGGCAAGCTGTCATTTTGAAGAAATCAACAAAAGAAGGCATTTCCAAGCACCGTATGAAATTCAAATTGGTATGTTATTCGGCAAAGCACGCGCAAGCATTGGCACGACGCATACGCGCGCGTGGTTGCTATAATTCGTCGGGTCAGTGCAAGATCAGTGGACAGAACTTTCTATACCATTGAATCACGATGGCAGCCCATTAGAAGCCGGCATGGATGTAGTGTAGTCATATCCACCACAAATCCATCCCTATCACATATGCTAACATGTGACAGTCACGCAGTTGGTTGGTCGAGGGTCAGATACGTACAAAGAAATTCTGGGACCAGCAAATGCAAAACAAAAAACTTACTCCGGACGTCGATTGGACCCATCCATCCTGTCTGGTCTCGGATCCAGGATCCTCTTCTGGCAGAGCATGTTATCATGTTCCCATTATCTTCTCTGGTTGGCGTGAAGTTTAACGTGCTGCTGAACCTGTAACGGTTGCCCGATGTTGACACGGTGGTTTGAGTGCCATCAAGAGGTAGGCCTCGATAAGTCCAAACCAGCTCCCAGTCGTCAGGGTATCCGTGGCTGGCTCGGCAAGTTAGTTGGACGGTCTCATTTGCAGTCATTGATGGGTTGCCTGTTATAAATGGAGTGTCCGGAGGACCTGAAAATGGGATAAAACAGGTTACTAGAGGCACATGCTGCGGTCTTCTCCATTTTATTCATACCAAATCAGCCAAGTGATAAGCGCAATATACCAAAACATTTTCCAACCCTTTTCGCTAGTCTAAGAGACACACTTTACTTGTTAATTGCGTCATAGCGTACAGATATTGCATTAGTCCATGTAGGTAAACAGGCGTACTACGAAGCCGATACACACTTGGCAAGCCATTGTACTCTGAGCTTCCCTCAACGATTTTGATACAATACAAACCAATGGCAGGATGCCCATTCTGATGTCATTAACTCGAATACACATAACTTTACCTGTGACATCCACTGTGACCATCACAAACGGTAGAGGGAGCTCCGACTCCGCTGTACTAGCCACACACTTCACCCTCTGCCCGTGATTGGCTCTGCTAGGGACGAACGTCCAGTTGCTCGTGGTGTCCACTAAACCATCGCTTTCTCCAGAAGGAGGGTCAACAGTTCTTTGCAAAGCGTCATTCAGGAACCATTGTATGGTAGCGGCTGGCCTTGTCTGACTCACCGAGCACAGGAAAGAGTGGGGAGCCCCTTCCACAACACCAGTACTCGCACCAGTTAGGTTCCCACCGGAATCATACAGAGATAAACTGGATTCCGCAGGTGGAACTGCAAACGGGTATGAATTGTATTCAAATTATCCCCAAACTTTTGTATTCGAATAGTAAGTACATGCTAGAACAGCAGATGTCCCCGTGTGGCGTAACCCAAACAGAAAGTAAACCAAAAAAGCGGGGGTGCGTGAACCATTGATGAAGATTAAGAATAATAAACACAGGAAACAAAGGAGTATATGACTAGAATAGACAGTGCTTAGAACTAGGACGGTGATTTATAAAATTTACGTTTGCCATATCTGGAAAGGAAAGTCGAAAGGGAAAAGATTTACTGGACGCATGTTACCTTGCACATGAACAGTAACGAATATATTAACAACGGGATGTGTCTCTGCAACGAACGCAACGCATTCAAGTAGCTCCCCGTGGTCGCTCTCTGAAATGGGTATTGTTACAGTACTGGTGCTTGTGGTGAAACCGTCGCTATCTGTGACATTGTTGTAACTGTCGGGAGAAACCTCAAGTCCCCCGAACGTCCACGAGAGCGAGACGGGTGCTCTGATATCAGGCACTCTGCAAGTGAATCGATTGAAGACTCGTCCAATCGCATACACAGTGTCTCCCATGTAAAAGTTATCTCCCAACCAGTCAAATATAATGATAGATGTCCTGGGCACTGAAAAAAAAATCCAAAGATATAGGCAAAATTGGACATCTTGTCTAGATGTATGAGTTACTCTCACATTGATTTTTTTAAATCGGTCTCTGCACCACCAAATACTACAATTTAGACGTCTGGTATGTCGAAATGTAGAACCCTGTCTCATGTAAGTTAATTTTATTATCGTTTTATTTATTTATTGCAGTCCAGCACTTAACAATCATGATGGAATTTATATAAACGTTTCTCCCGTGGGACGAACGGGGAGTGCAAGCTTTGCTGATAACTATTCGTTCCATGGCTTCTGAACCACGGTCTTATAATCCGTCCTTGATTTCATGAGAATTTGTTATTATTTCACTACAAGATAGATTAATAGGTGAGAGGTTTGCGATAACACAATGTGGAAATATCTCTTTTGTGAGTATGTGTGGTTCTGAAGTGAACCTGTTGGGTTAACTCGACGTTTCGAACAGTAGGCTCTGTTCGTCATCAGGAGAAACAAGATATATTGCTCAAAAATCATGAGGGCTTATAATTCATGGGGCGGCCACCCCACAGAAAAAAAAAATTGTTCCACAAGTATTCCCTCCAATACAAGTAAAAAAGTCATTTTATGTGCCGTGTTCAAAACTGACGTAAAATATAACAATTTATCTTGGTAATGCCGGTTTATTCAAGAACTTGCCATTCAAATAAGGTGTCACAAAGTAAAACAGATACTGTTTGTAATCCTAATGATAATATGATGTTGTCAGTTCAGTCTTTTGATGTGAAATGTTTTGCAATAGCAATCTCTTGAACAAAAATAACCGGGTTGACTTCACTCGTATTCGTGGAAGCTGAGTCATTGTACTTAATGTTACGGGCATTGGATAATAATTCCACGATAACATTCTATAAAGGTTACCTTGAGATTCCACGTCATCGATGGCGATATCTGAATGTGAGCCGTTCCCACGAATCCCTTCAAACGCTATGAAAAAGCTTGACGATAAATTCGTGACACAGATCTCCTCCTCCAGCCAAGTTGTTCGGTTGGTTTGCTCACCGCTTCTTGAAAACAGAACTTCACCTTCAGTGACTGATTCGCCAATAGCTACACGAGATGCGTTTAGAGTACCTAAAAAGTACAATTCATTTACAAGTCCTTACAAAGCTTACGCTCACGAAATATAAACATGATTTTTTTCAACTCTCAAAATAAGCCTTATATGAAGGAATTTTGTAATACATGTACATTTGAAAAACTGCTCTGTGTTCAAATATTTTACAATTTCAGTTTATGTGTTTTCATAGTGTCTCTTTCTGAAACGGTTTATATATACATGTTATGTAATAATTATAATAACATCTATTTCTGAATTTTTTTAAACATTCATAAGTCAAAAAGGTTCCTATTGCAGTGTTTTCTTTTACAGTGAAGTGATTTTGTACCTTAGGTGATATCACTGTAATACGTACCCATATTGCTCCCGTACATGTTGTACCAGAAACTAAAGCACCACGCGTGGTTGGCGATCTGTTCTTTGCTGGGAACAACTGCAGGGCTGATAAGCACAGCGTTGGTGCCCTCAGACGAGTGGTATTGATGAAAGTAGGCATAACGGCCTCTGTAATCTTAACAAGTATGAGTTGTGATAAATCAGCTAATAGTTCATCAGATGAAGCTTTGGTAATAAAAAGTTAAGAATGGACTTTTATGTTCATTCCAAGAATATTCAGCAACATCCACATACCTCCTACAGTCTTGTCATGGGCAGGGCCAGTAGAAGAAGGATGTGTGGATCCCATCTTGAGTGACCAGTCTGTACGGTCTTCCTTTGACTGCCTCCAACCACACCACCCTTCTTCAAAGGTACAGTTGAAACCTACTGTCGCTAAAATATAGAACACATAATCTCCAAATCAGCATTCATGCGATCATCTAGTTATGGTGAGTATGAAGTGCCCTGGGTATGAAGTGCCCTGTATATTTCAATTTAGTAAATACTTACAATTGACAACCAGTCTGACTACAAGAGATGCCTGGACGTCGAATGGCTCTTCAATACTTGCCACGCACCGCAGCTCCAAACCATTGCTGTCTAAGGTCGCAGTGTATGCCCATCTGCTTCTAGTGGTGACTAGCACATCACCTCTTCTAAAAGAAGGTTTATATATTTGTTTCCTGTTGTCGCCAAGGTACCATTGAATCGTAGCTGAAGGCCATGTATCATTTGTCTCACAAGCAAAGGTGTTTGCTATACCAGTTGCAACGTTCGCTGTGCCCCCAGGTCGAAGTCTGTTTCCACTGGGACCAGTCAGGGACATTAATGATGACTTTGGTGATACTATAAAAAGAAAGGAAAACATAAATGCTAAAAAGTGGATAGACGATTGCCATTAAGTTTGACCCAAAAAAAATATTTGAAATTGGATCTCACCTCTTACAGCGATTGACACAGTCATACTGTCGATCGGCTCACTGTCTGCGTCGATCGCTTCGCACTGTAGTGTTTTCCCAAGGATGTCTCTGTTTGGTGACACAACGATACTACTGCTAACGCTCAATCCGTCGATGGTGTCGACGCTTCTGTTAATGACTTGTTTAACTCGCTGGCCAGCCAAGGTCCAGACAAATTCTACTTCGTGATTTGTGTCAGGTACCATGCAGGTAAATGCATGATCTTCTCCTTCCACAAGGACTGCTATTCCAGCATTTGAAGGAAAGTCTTCAGTTGAATCAAAGAGGAACATTCGAGGGATTACTGGGGGAAAAGAAACAAATAACTGAACCAATTAGGGAGGAACAGCACAACGAGGACATTCATATAACAGGGAATACAATGTATTAGTTTTCATTATCAATTTATATGTTTATTTTATGGAACTGATTATTTTTTTTTCAAGAATGTCACACACATGCAGCCTAGTTTCATCGAAAGGGGTCTAATTAAATCATAGCAGTAAAATTCTTCTGGTTAACCAGAAGAATCATAAGCCGTTCATGTTTTACATGGTTCGACCCTGTCAATGTGGAAATCATATGAAGGGTGGGACATTTTCGGCTCAATTTATCAGACCGCGGTAGTGTTAATTTGATGTAGATTTGGAAAAAAAGAGAAGAAATCAAATTATACCGGTATTTATGTCATCAATTGCAATATCTGAGTCGAAGTAACCACGAACTGCCTCCAGGGCAATTTGAAATTCCGAAGTAGCATTTCTCACACAACTCCTGGCCTTTAACCAGAATGTTCCGTTCGTGTATTGACCGCTTCTCGTAAAGATGATTTCACCATCACTGAGTGTCTGATTAACTGGAAGCTGATACACATTGAGAGTCCCTGTGAAAGCAAAAAAAACCAAATTACGACGAAATTAATTGATTACTTTCTACCAAGCTCACGAAGAGATTCCAGTCCACGCCGAGACGGTTGCCCTGATTGTTACTTTACCCAATCATCTGCTCTGATAACCGAGCAGGCTCACTTTATGTGTGAATTTGTCAAGCCGGTGCATTACCACCATTCAACTCCACTACGCATTTAGCAATACAACTGTGCAGATGCTTTGAAATGATATAAAATGGATCTTGAAAAGTTCCCCTTAATGCCAACACAACTCAATGTCTTTGTCATAAAACAATTAAATCACTATGTAGCCTCCGGATGTGACACCTCTCATATCTTGTAGACTTCAGCTGAGTTTTGTTTGGGACTCAGGTGAGGCTCACCGAGCTGAAATATACCGCTTGTGGGGCGCTCACCAGCCGCTTTAGCCGGTCTCGACAACAGTTTCCAAAACAGCCTTTGTTTCATTAAAAAAACATATTTTGGCTGTTTTGGCATACTGCCAAACAAACTTTGTTTTTCTTTTGATTTGTCGCTTTTACGGCAAACTGCTCTTCTGTTCTTCTTCTATCCCCTATTCCATAGACTTTCTACATTTTTCATCGTCTACAGCTCCTCTGTCATAGCATATTTTTTAAGATTTCACATAGATGAAGACGTCATCTTGACGTTATTTTAAAGGTGCATATTTTAAAGTCATATATGTGAATAACTACTGGTCTGATTGGGTTGAAAGTTGGTATGTATATACCATGGATGATGACGTCATCGTGTGATTTTTAATAGATTTTTGGTGGTTTTTTTTTACCTAAAAAGCCGTATCCCACGAACAGAACATTGTAGTAGGTTTTTTAAGTAATATTATTTGCACAAAAAAATCTGACGAGTGTGGGATGTCATACCGAAAACAGCCCTGTGTTTGTCCAGAAACACTAGTCTGGTTATAAAAACATGAATTCATGGACCATGCATCATAAAACAGCTGTTGCAAACATATCATTAGAACGGTTTATAATACTAACCCATTTCGTTTCCAAACATGTTGTACCAGAAACTGAAGCACCACTGTTCTCTTCTTGGCGAAATTACAGGGCTGATAAGCAGAGCCTCACTGACTGAAATCGCTTCTAAATAGATGTAGTGCCCACTGGCATCTGCACAGAGTGGTTGGCATAGAGCAAACAAAACCGTAAACTTTCGAGGAGATTGTGCGTTGTTGATGTCGGCATATTTTCATAATATGAGCTGCCTTGTTGTCTTTGATGCAGAGTGGTTAAGTCAATGTCAAGATGAGGCGAAATAAAATCCTGGGATTTTTGCAATCGGCTCTGGTCCAGTTTTACAAACGTAATAAAACATTATGTTAAAAGAAAAAAAAATGGCTTCCAGGGTCGACTTTAAATTGTCAAGAAATTAATTTTGAGACCCAAAACCGTAGAGATTTAAAAACATTGTCTGATCCCATTACGTACTGCCTAACGTCCTGTCGAACTGTGGCCCGGATGAATATATAGGAGTTCGCCCCTGCTGCAGCAGCCATTTATACCTGTCGTCGTTGGATTGTCTCCAGCCACAAAACCCTTCCTCGAAGGTGCAGTTGAAGTCTGTGGTTGCTATAGCAGAAACAAAACGTACCAGCTGACAATCTCAATTGAAACCAGTTCAAATGTACACTGATTTCAACCCCTTACATAGGGAATTAACTGGTCTAAACTAGTGCCTTTTGGGTTCAACTGTCATCAACTTCTTGAGTCAACAAATCTCAGTTAACAACTAGTTGACAAAATTAGTTACCTAAATCTATATGTGCATAAGAATTATTCTGGCGAACTTGTAGTCTGCATGTATCAGTTACTAACTGGAGGTGAATACAAACTCAACGGCTACCACTTTCAAATTTGAGAAATCAGGTAGGCCCTGGTATTAGTGGAAATGGGGCAATAAAATAAGTTTAGAACATCCATGCAAGGAAATATTTATTCATTTCCTTCACTCATTTTATATTTATTTTATTTAACATTAGTATTCATCGCGATTTGAAAGTATTATGCATCTCACCCTTTACAGCGATTGAGACAGTCATATTGTCGATCAGCTCACCGTCTGCGTCGAACGCTTCGCATTGTAGTGTCTTTCTATGGTTGTCTCTGTTAGGTGACACAACGACACTACTACTAACATCCCATCCGTCGATGGTGACGACGCTTCTGTTACTGACTTGTTTTACTCCCTGGCCAGCCAAGGTCCAGACAAGTTCTACTTCGTGCTTTATGTCTGGTATCAAGCATGTAAATACATGATCTTCTCCTTCCACAAGGACTGCTATTCCACCATCAGAAGGAAAATCGTCAGTTGAATCGAAGAGAAACATTCTAGGTATAACTGGGGAGATATGAATGAACCCAATCAATGAAGGACAATGAAACAATGAAAACAATTTTGTTTACCATGGCCTAACTCAGTTGTAAGTATACTTATGAATAAAAAAATCTTTTTTCGTATTTAGGCATTTATTTATTGAGACAAATTCATTCAGGGAACCATATATATTTCGGGTCACGTTTTATGTACACGTTATTTCTGGTTTGATGCGTCAAGAGTTTCAATTGTGCATAACGAGTGTTGATTTATTTTAGACGGGTTATGCTGCACAAAGTAAACTACTTTTTTCAGGAAATACGAAAATATCACGAACGTATAAGTGTGCGTATTGACTTTGATGACGTCACAATATAATGAAACTGACATTATTTTTGCAACAATGATCCCCATAGGTACAGAAGGACTTATTATTTTAAGTTTAAAATACAAAACATTGATCATTTACAAAGTCTGTCTTACAATAACGTCCGGTTTTATGACGTCATAATTATAAAACTCGAAGTAATGTGTTGTCTAACCAATGTTTGTGGGCAATTTAATAAAATTTCGACATACGGTTTTTAAATTTCAAATAATTGTCTTCGACTTGCCGCTGAAGGCATCCTTTCGAAGGATGACGTCATAATATCCATTCTGACTGAAACACTTTCTCAGTTAGTATTACTGTAGTAAATATGCGTCCTTATTCAAGTTGTATCGATTAATCTTTGTACTTCATGGTTATTGGTGAAGTTCAAGCGGTTTTTGGACAAATATATATTGTTCAAGACAATATCTTCCACCTAAGTAAAAATTAACACACATGTTAGTTCAAGACTAAATTTTGAAAGTATGATGTCAGATTTTGACCTTAATTCGCCCCTAATTTGTTGTGTGATGACGTCATGACGACGTCACAACTGTTGTCACACACGGATGAATGTTTGTACAGGTTTTCAGTGTCATCCCTTGAACCGTTAGGAAGACATGAAGATGATTCTTTGTTCTGTTTATGATTATGATTTAAACAAAAGGGTCACTTCTGAACTAAAATCGCTTGTAATTTGATAACTTAAGTTATGTCGTCAACATAATGTCATACTTTTGTGCACACCACTGTATCAGGGTTGATGTTGATGTTCACGGAGAATTATTGTCATTAAAAGGCACACTCAAAAAGAAGAACAAAAAACAACTTGGGTTCACCCTCTCACCCTATAAATATAAAGAGGAATGCGGGTTTATATACCCATTATATTTTTTATGGATGAAAATGTATCTCTTTTCAACAGATGCCACATCCAAATGATTCCATTTCCTGGTTTTATCGAAATGGGAAAACTAGGCGTCAATCAGAATAATGTTCAATCATAAAGGTAGATCTTAGTTAAATATAACAAAAAGTGATAATCTTTTGATGTTTACAAGTTTGACAATGTCATTGTGTCATTCAGGGTATGAGTGGGGAAAGTTTTGGCATAGTTTACTCCGATTGGGAGGAACGGTAATTTTTGTTAAAATAAAACTTCATACCAGTTTTGATGTCATCAATTGCAACGTACGACCGCCAACTGTAACCATGGACTGCCTCAAGAGCAACTTGAAATTCTGAAGTAGCATTTTTCACGCAGCTCCTGGCTTTTAACCAAACCATTGTATTCGCATATTGACCGCTTGTAGTAAAGATGATTTCACCCTCGCTGATTGTCTGATTTACTGGAAGCTGGTACACATTGAGAGTCCCTGTGAAAGCAATTATAAAAGCAAAATCACGAAAAGAACGATTTTTTTCAATTTTTTGTTTTCTCACGTAAAATCATTTCAACGTTACTTTGTACAAACACGGTGTATTTGTTTTAAAGAGTACTTCTTTCTCGCATGATATGCTTTTTAATGGGTAATGAAGGTAATGATTGTATCAATTTTTGTGATCAAAAACAAGTATTTTATGCATATTATCCTAACATCTTTATTTAATTGCTTTCGCATTTGACACAGATATATTTTGATCAATATTCACACAATACAATCCTTTGGCATCCTACATCACTACCTTAGCTCATTGTACCCACTTGGGGGTGGGAACATTGCAGAGGTAACATTTGTTTTCCTTTTTTACCCCAAAATGTGAAATGCCCAAACAAAATCAACACGTATGACGTAGTTCTGGCAACATTATGAATGCTTTGCCTTATTTTAAGCTTTACTCTAACTGATCCTAAACGTTCGCCTTATGTCAGAATTTACAATTATTCAAAATACAGCCCATACGTTGATGAAAACCTTCTCGTTAACCTGAACGACAGCACAATGTTGTTAATGCCGACTACCAAATAGTGCAAAAACAGCAGCAACTTATTATAATCCACACATTCGCGTCTAGGTATTACCTAAACTGGATAGTTTAGTTTTTGAATATGATATGATGACATCAAAGTTTGCGCAGAAATATTGAAATTAGCATTTGCAAAAACCAAACACCCTTTTAAGATTCAATACGTGGATTAAAAAAATGAAAATGGACACGCAGATGCAGAATTATATATCTCCGTCAGGCTTTTCATAAAAAAGCAAATGTTTTAAACAATTGTAAAAATGGTTTGGCGATCTTACCCACGTCGCGTCCATACATGTTGTACCAGAAACTAAAACACCACTTGTTTGGGGGAAGTTCCATACTTGGCGAAACTACAGGGCTGACAAGTATGGCGTTTCTGCCTTTCCTTCCATATGAGTTTCTATAAGCGATGCTGTGGCCACTCGAGTCTGTACAGGACAGGTTTTTTTTTTAGGGTAAACAATTAACCGATGATGTTGGAAGAAATATTGCGCCGATGATGGAAATAATTTAGCAGATGAATATTTAGCAGAAATACAGGTTAGCTAGTCCATGCGGGTTAGTTTGGTTAAGTCAAAGCCAACTACATTATAGCTTAATGTCTATAGTGTGAAACCTGGTGCAGTAATTTGAAACATACATGTACAACACATTTATATTTCACTTCACGTAAAAAAGGCATGCACTTTCGGTTTTGTCATTTAGGAAAAACGTTACCTTAAATTTAAGACACAACTGAAAAATATAGTTTTGCAAAATTCTTTGTGTTCAAAAAAACTCACCTCCTACTGTTACGTCAAAATTGGGCCGAGTGTGAGAATAAGGAAGACGCCCCTGATACAGATGCCAGTTATACGTGTCTCCACCGGATTGTCTCCAGTCACAAAGCCCTTCCTCGAAGGTGCAGTTGAAGCTTGCGCTTGCTGTGACAAATAACAATAGTACGCATACTCGTTAACTGACAACCGTTAACTGATTTTTTTTTTTTTTTTTTACAAAGGATGACCTTGCAGTAAGAAAAGGACATTACTTCCACCAACTGTCAAAACGACAAATCAATGTTATCCGTCCTTTCCGGTGGTCTTGAGTTTACGATTCGCGTTGTATGGAAGTTGCTTGTGAAAAGTGCCTATTGTGACTTTGCTCAAAACCCAATGAGAAACACAAACTGAGAACATGCATTGCGTCCCTATATGGATGTGAGAGTTCGCCATAAAAGACGATTTACGATATACGTTCTGCTGCATCAACACTTTCATAGTGGATCAGAGATCGTTTCAATTAGGGGCAGTTTAAGTACGTGGCCAATGAAGTACAACAAAAGTGAAATTCGGTAGATAAGAAGACGAAAGGCAGACAGGAGAGCGAGGGGCGCTCAGTCATCAAACCACACGGAGAGCAAATTCTCTGACTTACCTGTTCGAAATATTGCCAGCCATACCATGAAGAGAATAGGGTGTAGGGCCGCCACTATCATCTTTGTCTGTAGTTGTCCGCACAATAGTCAGACTGAATTCCACTAAAATTTGCAATCACCTTCTTTAAAATCCTTTAAGAAAAACGCAAAAAAATGTATAGGAGTCATGAAAGGAATTTGAACTTCAGTTCTATACAAGTAATTGTTCATGTTTGAAGCTATCATTACAGTTTCGACTTATTACCTAACGGCGGATAACACCATAGAACGTCCTCGTTGGTTTAGGCCCAAAAAAAAAATATTTGGTCTCTGGTCAGACCAAAGTTTCGGAATTGACGCGGTCACGCGGCTTTTTTTTTTTTTTTTTGCTTTTTTTTTTTCTTCAAGCTTGGATTGTACAGACAAGGTAGGTACTATTTTGCTTTTTTGGTGTCCTCATGTACACTGGTGTCCTCCATAATTTGCCTTGGTGCTTTCGATCATTTGCTTTGGTGCAATTTCCCTTTCCTTGGTGCTCTTTGGTAAAAAAAAAAGATTAGGTGCGGAAATAGAGGGCGCTGTTGGAGCTACCGCGGAACATTTTGGAAAAAAAAAAGATTGACGCGCATGATTAAAATCGACGCGCGCGCTGACCAGAGACCGACTTATTATTTTTTTTGGCCTTAGATTGGATAACACAGAGGACCTTGTGGGATACGATAATTCAGGGTGGCTACAAGAATACTGTTGCGGAGTTATTAATATGAGGAGCAAATAGCAAGAACAACTATGATGTTCATGGCTGCTATTGCAATCGATCGAAGTTATACCCCTGTACTAAATTTGCACATACGTAGTGTATCCAAAAAGTTGAATTCGGCTTGATAAAATATGAGACAAAATCACACCTCCCCTCCACGAAAAAGGTCATATATTGGGCTTCTATAAATATAGCGACACTATTGAATGTCATGTATCATTTCAATTTGATGTGTAGGTTTATATAATGGTCGTGAATTATTCACGGTGAATATACCAGTTAGCACTTGCTTTTAATACTGTTTGTTAAGCACTAACTCGTATCTGTAGGAACACGTTGTGAACCCTTTGATACTTTTTTCTAACATTTGCTTAAAACTGAAAGTACCGACTTCAAACGTGTTTAGCTTTCATATGAATAAAAAGAAGTGTTTTGAAATATTTAATTTCCTTTTTTTTTCATGGTTGGATAGGGGATACTTTGAAAACACAATCTCTCGGTTTATTATGACCTGTTTAATTTTTTTGCACAATTTGATATCAAGAACAATATGATAGATTCTGGTATGATTTTACCAGTTGGAACATGTTTTTGCATAGTTAAATTAATAATGTAGGCAACTCTGACTTCGTTTGCAGGTCAACAAATGTGAACTACTTGATTACAACCCAGATTTACGGCAATCAGTCTTGGATATTAACGTGATCGGCTCACAGCGTACAGAAATATAGAAATTAAACTTTATGTAGTCTGAGCCTTGGGTACATTCTACATGGATTATTACCCGCAGCGTGCTATGCTACCAGGCCTACAAGGTAAGCTATTTGTATTATATAGTAACCAGATTAGGCTACAAGTTCCACGTTGTGCCTTCTGCAACTGGCGCAAAGTTTCTTCATCATGTGAGCTAGATTTAACAATCATTGCACTGAATGCCTCAGCTTGATGATTTTGACTCTATGTTGACAACCATTCTTTCGCATGCAGGCGTACATTTTTCACCCAGCTTTGCCCGAGTTGGTAGTGTATTTTAGTACAGAGTGAAACAATGGCACGCCAATGTCGTGTCCATTTCAGTGTGCCTTTTGCTTTTGTTTTTGGGTTGTGCACTTCTTGGTAAACTGTTTACTCGAAGATTTCTCTCATACTGCAATCTCATTATTAAAACTAAACTCAGGAAACATCTGGGATTTTAAGTAATCTGCATAACAGTTACTTGTGTTTTTGCCTGACGTGCGCAAAGAGTAGTGTTACTCTTCACAGATGTTAAATTACGGTGTCTAAGGCAAATAAAATGTAATGCCAAATGTATGTGAAAACAGTGCTTGTATTAATGGAACCGGTCTTGGACTCGAATCGCACGCGGCTTTTGGACGGACATTGAATCGGGCACTATGGGTAATCGAAACCCCGTTCTCGATCGACCTGCGCACAGTGATCTGCTTACGAAAAAGATAATTTCAATGCACATTTAAAAATCGTCAAAGACAAGCCCACTCTGTGACAACATGTAATTCTTGTCATCATTTCTGCTCATGCGCTGAATGAGTGCTTAAAAAATATTCGGGACCTAAGTCCGCCATCTTTGTTTTTGAAGTTTTCATCTTCTCCTTCATATGAGTGGGGAGTGAAAATACAATTACATTACAATGGTTACTGATAATATCAATTATCCTTTTTTGTAGAAGCTCAGATTAATTTCTTTATTGCATATCGTTTCCTGTATGGACATTTTTGTACCCCAGAAAAGGAAATTGTACCCCTATGAATAGCAGTACGAACTTCCCAGTTGGTATTTAGGGTCAAACAGAATAAAAGGCCCGTATAATAGACACAAGCTTGTTTGCCCTGAGAGTAGCCACAGGGAATCTGCTGTTGATTAAAATGGGGAAGTAACACCGATACAAATTATTGTGTAGGGCAAAAACAATTGAACTTGGAATTATACGAACATAATGAGAAATGTATTGTATTTAAGTTCAATTGTTTTAAGTGACATTTCTCCTATTTTCCCAAGTCTTCTTTATTCATAGTACCATGAACATGAAAGAAAATCACCTTTTTTACGAGGAGATGGCTTTAACTTTAAGGTTTAACGACATAGTTATTTCCACCAGTCATAAATGTTCAATATTTTCCCCCATTTGGACAAAGCCTGACATTCGGCAATGTACGTGTGGTAAAAGTGTGCAAATACAAGCACATATCGGGTTTATAGTCTCACAAGTTATCTATATAGGCATAGTTGTGCTTGTGCAATTCTTCATACGATTCTATGTGGACAGGAAACTCAATTCTTTGTTCAGCCTTCGTTCAGCCTCAACTAGGGCTGGCAGAACGCTTTTTAAAAGGGGGAGGGCAACACCAAAGTGGCACTTGGAATATAGTCCCGTTCCTTTCGCTATAAACCTATGACAAAGAACAAATAATGAATACATTGTCCATCTTGCTCTTTGTGATTGTTTAGACTGTTATGTAGAGAGACCATTTTTATCGCAAGAAGGGCACTGTTGCTTTTGATGGACAGTTCAACCCCCCCCCCCCCACAGTTCAGTCACCATTTTATTCGCGTGAAGAGCACTGTTATTTTTTTTAAGGACCAGTTTTCCATCATAAGAGGCGGCACAATTTTAATGTTGCAAGCAGGCACTAAATGTGCTTTCGAGGGGCAGTTTTCCATCTCGAAAAATTATCGCGAGAGGAGCACTATTGTTTACGGAGGCCAATAATCCATGTCGTTAGGGGCACAATTTTTTTTTATTGCGAGAGAGGTATTTGTGCTTTCGGGGGGAGGGGTTAGTTTTCGATCTCGAGAAGGTGCACATTATCTTGTTAATGCGAGAGGGGTACGGTGCGTTGGATAGGCAGTTTTGTTTTCATCTAGGGGATGCATTTACAACCGTACTTTTGTTGGCCAGGGAAAGTGGGGGGGGGGGCAGGGGAGAAAGTACTTTACATCAACAATACTCTTCAAATTCTAGTTTTAACAGACTTCGGACAATTTTTGTATTAGCGCGTTTATGAACATTTACGGAATATATGCATAAGTTTGCCCCCCCCCCAAAAAAAAAACCCCCAAACCTATATATGATCTTCACTCTTAATTTATTGATTTAACCCTCCGACGCAGAAACTAGCCCTTTTGGGGACCCAATTTGGTTAATTACCTTAATAAAAAAAAAAATTCAAACCAACTCTGGTGATCTTCCATCTAATCCTAGCCAGAGGCACCCACTACGGATATATGCAGTCACCTTTAGTGTGTGACCCCGGGTGAGGCATATCTGAGCCTGACAACCTGGGCTGCCCATATACACGTGCACAAAACAAAGTCACTTGCGGGTAGCCAGTGCACGACTTGACCACAGACTATGTATTCAACATCTGTTTCCTGTCAATGACCTCCTTATTTATAGTCTACAGACATGTCGAGATTGTATACATATAGATACAGTGTTGTGTAGCCTCAAACCAAGGCGTTAAATGTCTGGGTCCCCGGAGGGACCCCTTACTGTAAGTGTGTTAGTCAATGGGCCGTCTGCGTCGGAGGGTTAAGACATGCTCCTGTATATGGTATTAGGCAAGGGCGGATTTAAGAAAACTGTTGGGTCATTTTTGATATGCGTGGGACGAAAATCACAAAATCCCAGCTGAGAAAATGTTAGCAAATAAACAGCAATCGGCAATGATACTCTAAATTTCAAAAGAAAAGTAAATATTGTACCTACCTCGTACAAAGAAAGCCAGTCGCACCACCGTTGTGGCCATAAAGGTGAGAGACGTCATTGTCCAATGGATGCTTCTCAGTGTAGTGGCCCAAAGATGTTTAAGTTAGTGAGTATGAGACGGAAACTTTTTTACAAACGGCTTAACATAAAAAAAGGTTCGCGAAGATAAATGTTACAACTTCCTTTACAGTTTGTTTAATGCTTTCGTAATTGGGTTGATAAAGGGGGAAACCCTACAACTAAACTAAGCAACCAAATCCAGCGCAACGCATGCATGTGACTTTCACTCATAAATAGTTAAATTTACTTCCCTTTGTGTCGTTTATAGAACAAAAACACCCACAGTGGTTTCATGTCAATGAACAGGAAAAGACGGAAACAAACTAAGCAAGGACAGAATATCAAAAGATTATGAAAGAGCCACTATTGCTTTGCGGTTAATTAAAATGGGGAAGTAAGTTTGTAAAAAAAAAAAAATGCCGCCCGTTGCTCCAGTTTTGTTGAACTGTTTTCCTCAAAGAAAAATCACGACTCAAGTTCGTGAAAGTTAAGGGGACTTTGCCTGTTTTCGAATTAAGAGATTTTCTTTTGCTAAGATCGAAAACCCGAAACACATGCGTTTTAGAATGGCGTTCCAGAGTCCGCGCCGATAGGAGGATCTCAGCCGCAGTCGTCCGAATCCCCATAGATCTTGATGTTTGATCGTGAAAGAGCCTACTCAGGCAAGGAATTAATGTTTGGCTGGGGGTGGGGGGGGGGGGGGGGGGCGGGGGGCAGGGAGGGGGGGCAGGGCTTGGATCAGGTTGAATACACGCCCCTGGCTGGTAGGGGAGAATCTTGAAATGCCAGTGCGATTCAGCCACCGCAGTGTTGTAGGGCTCTTTGGTGTTATTCACAAGAATGTGTAATATAGACAATGGGGGTCACATAACTGGATATCAGTGCTTTGACTATGTTGTTGGACTGGCTGTGAAACATTGATGACATTATAGGGCACTTGAGGGAGGGATTTTTAGCTATTGAGAATCCCAGAGTTGCTGCTGGTTCAACATTTCCCGATACATTTACTACTGATTACCAAAAACACGACAAAATCATACCCCAAACTATCCGATACCCCAACTTTCTGAGAAAATCGAGTTGAAAAGGTGCTGTGCTCCCATTCCCAAATTTAGAATCACATAAGGATGACACTTTGACTCATGAAATTCAAGAATAATTGAAATAATAGTGTGCATCTTTAATTTAAAGGTATAGCTTCTACTTGTAGCTATGTACATTTTTATGCAGACGACCTTTTACCGTGTATCTCTACTTTGCAGGACGTTATGTGAATTCGAGAAGGGCAAATATGTAAAATTAAACGTAGCAAACGACAATATGGATTATTATTTCAAAATTAACGAGTTATTTTGCTGTAGGATTTCAAACTTTACTTATAAGACGTGATTAATATATTTTTACATGTAAACACAATCTTCAAACAACGGGCTATAAGCAGCCGATCAATAACCTGTCTCTGGGAATTAATTGCCCGTCCGATTTTTGTACTCATGACACAACATACTTAGTTTTCTTCGTGGCCTAATTATACCGCACACTGTTATCAATCTTAATTCTAATAATAATGTAGCACAATTTTGAAAAGGAGTGTGTGTTTGTGTTTTACAGCTAAGTCAAGCTATAAACTTCAGAAGTCTCTTACTGGGGAAATTGGCTATACAGAACAATCACGCTATTACTATAAATTCACAGAGCCCCGCGCCTTTCAACAACTGAAACTACTGTTCAGATAAATCGTCCCTGGACAGTTGTTTGGTACAATAGCTAGCACAATGCCTTCGCCATTAAAGGGGGCCTCGGTGAATGTGCACATAGGCAATGATAGCGTGCTCTGATTAGCCTATATAAGAGATGCCGTGCCCACTGGAGTAATCAATTCCACAACAAACAACTCAATACATCACACATAATTATGTACACTCTGAAAGCTTTCCCTGCCATGTATACTTTGGCTCGCTATCCTGGAAGAGTAAGACTCTACTTTGAGAACGTGTATTAACTTACCGCTTTCCGATCATGACATGTGGTAAATAATTGTATTTTTTGGTGAAGTTCTGTTTATAGCACCTGACTCACTATCAGGCGGAAGGAAGGCAATCGCGAATGCAATACGTATCTACGAATGTACATTACTTTGAAGCTCGTCTGTAAACTTACTAAGTTTGTAATTTAAATCTGTGCGTACTTGACAAAATGGGTCTTTGTGATCTAAAAAAAAATATTTACGATGATATAATAAACTAAGAAGTACAAATCATTACTTTTGGAACAGCATAACTTCGATACTTCTAATAAACAACTGGAAAACGTGTATTATGTGGATGCTGTCTTGGCAGGCCCCCCAAGAAAATAATGTCTTCCTGTACTCTTTATTTCGTTTACGAAAACAAAACTAATATAAAATCATTTCCTCGTGTAAACTTTGGAGTATAATTAAATCCAGCTATATCCGTTAACCTGACACGACCAGGATATAATTGAAAATGCATATGGTGTAAAATCTGGCATTTGATTTTTGATCATAACATTTGACTCCTGTCATAGCATCCTGAACTCAACTTTGATATCAGTGCCTCGACCCAGCAAAAATAGTATATACATGATCATTAGAAAACGCTTACTAGCTGTGGTGTGAAAGTGAATTTTGTCAATTCTGCAGTCTGGTTTCGAGGATAGTAATTTTTGAATAATGAATTTACTATAAACACCTTTAATAACTACATTTTCTGGATAGAAATGAAAAACAGTATCACAAAATTATTACAAGCCTTCGAGAAAGACTCTGCTAGGGTCGAAACGTCAGGCCACTAACTATTTGTTTGCATTGATACCATAGGTCCTTTTGGTTGGTAAGCAGTTTGCAACAGCTAATTCTATTTTTCATTTTATTACTAAACATTTCACAGTATGATGTGTATTTTGTCTTTTCCCTGCATATTGATGTATCGGATACACTGCAAATCGATGTTTTAATAATACTCCTAAACGAATGTATTTTAACATTATTGCAAGTCGCTTTTGACTATTTCTGGATCTCCTACAAAAGCGTCCAGAAATATCGTTACTTTTTTGCCAAGAACTGAAACTTCAGCAAAACACACAGTGTCTTAATCCAAGCTCCCAAATTGTAAAGGCTAAACGAAGTGCACATTTTCTAATGAGGGCTTATTCATTTTATGAAAAAATAGCCACGACTGTGCTCATTCATTCACTCCAATGACTCCTCGCTTAGATCTTTTCAAAGTCTGATCCACCTGTGACCGACATTTTGTAGATGCTCTCCTGGCAGCTTTCCAACAATATGCATTCCTAAAATCCAAAAAGAAAGAGTTAGCAATGTGAGGTTTTAAAACTCCATCCACCGATCCCATGTTCGTCAAGCTCCCAGCAGTGAAAATGTAACACGCCACTTGCAATGGACACAGGAAAGAAGTTAAGGAGAATACACGAGAAAGTGTGGATTCGTAATTTAAGAATTCACGAGGCGCGAAGCGCCGAGTGAATTCGTAAATTAAGAATCCACACTTGCGAGTGTATTCTTCGACTTAAACCATTGCGTCAAAAGAAGTATTGGCATTAACAGTGAGTGGAGATGAAAAGACTTGGGATAAATGTTGCAACCTGACGCCACTTCCGCGATTGTGTACAAAGTCTATGGAGAGTCAAGAATTTTTTTAAAGTATTTCCTAACAAAATTGGAAATATTTTTCAGTCCCAGATTCATGTATATCATCATTTTTGCAATGAATGCCCTTCATTGAGATGATAAATGGAGAAAAACAAGTGGCGTCAGGTTGCAACATTTGTCCCGGCTCCTTCCGTCGACAAATTGATAGTTCAGACGATGATTTCTTTCTGACTCGAAGTAGGTTTTGCAGTGACGGCGGAGAATCTGACAGGGAAGATGCATTGGTAATTTCGGAAGGAAATTTTCACGCATACGGTCCTATTAATGCTCATTATAGAGAACAATTGTCTGACGTGTTCAAAGTGTGGATTCGTAATTCCGAATCCACACTTTACTAAATATTCTTCGTTCCGAATCCACACTTTGTGACCAGCGTAACAGATTCGTAGTTCCGAATCCACACTTTTAATAATAGTGTGACGTCATAGCAATGATTTAAATGTAAATAGCCAATGAAAACCAACGATTTAAAAACCTCACGTTGGCAGCCACACGGACGCAATTCTTAATTTATATTTGAGAGGTAAAATCAAGCCAAGGCCGCCTCATCAGAATGAGTCTTTTTTTTTTTTTTTTTTAAATAGGTCCACTTGCATTACTTTCATTAGGGATTGATATAATTGATATAAAAACAAACAATGTCAACCTGCTAATTCAACCTGTAAATGATCTGTTACTGTCAAGCCAGGGCCCTCTTGAGATAATCACTGCGCTATTTGACAAACCTACTCACGTTAGCTTTGCCCAACAGTCCTCCAAGTTTCTCGGTGATTGTTGCAAATGTCGGTCGTGCTGCCGGGTTCTTAGTCCAGCAAGCACGCATCACCTGGTACCTGAGAAAAAGTGCAAAGTGCAAAGCAGTTGTTTAGAGGCAATACGCACTGGATGCAAACTGGTTGTGAGGGTCGGGTGGCTCAAATTACATTTTGTAGAAACCACATTCCATTCAGTCACTGAATAGTAAACATTAAAGGTGCTCGCTCCAGCAAGAGTTAATTAATGGGTTGGTATTTTGCCCAATATATAAAACAAACTCAATCATGAACACATTCTTACTCAATAGTTTACATTTACCCAAATTGACCAACAACGTGGTAACTTCTTTATTGACAAGTAACACACTGACCAATAGCTAGAGTTCCACTCTTTATGTCCCACAGTGAAAACATACTTTGACCAAAATAGACACGGGAAGGGATAAGGTCAGACATCTTGTTTGATCACGTGCCATTAAATGTGACGGTCGTATCCTTTGATCAGTTCCGCAGTGGGCAAACAATTATTTCAGTCACATCATCAATCACAGATAAGACATAATAAAGTGCCAAAAAATAATTACCGGTAATTTAGCTGGTCTCTTTGACTCTGAAAAAAGTGAGTAGATTGAAACCCCTTTTCATATTAAATTGTCGAACCAATAATTGGACTTCGATTTTAAACTCACAATTGCAATCGACAGTGGTCGGGACGGGGCATCCGGTACCCTGTCTTCACTTTGGAAACCACTTTCTTGGCACTCAGGGTTGGGTAGGGGTGGCCACCTGTGAGAAAAATTGGAGTTGAAAAACGAGCTTTGTAATCCAGTCAATCCCAAGTCAATCCCAAAATGTATCATAAGTCAAATCACAAGTCAAATCACAAGTCATATCACAAAGCATATCACAAGGCAAATCGCAAGTCAAATCACAAGTCAAATCACATATTAGCCTAACGATGGGAGTGTTTGTAGACATACACTATTTCCCGTGTAATATTCGAATTGAAAGGTTCGGAACCAGCGTCAAATGTGTGCACAACGCGCAATGGTCAGTGACCTTTCCAGATTTTTAAACATGGGAATCATTGGTCTTACCGAGAGTAACAATTTCCCACAGCAGAACCCCAAAAGACCACACGTCACTCTCTATTGTGTACACGTCATCAAGAACGGACTCCAACGCCATCCATCGCAGAGGGGAAAATCCCTGAACATCAAAAGTAAATCAAAAATTACCGATACATTTGTGTTACAGACGTCATGATAGAATGCACATTGAAGAACATTAAACGAAAAACACAAACACAAAACTCAATTGCATGACGTGTTATTACTTGGAAAATAAAACCTGATTTGTGTTGAGATATTGTTGTTGATGCTATTGATTATGTGTCTGGTAGTTGCAGTTGGAGAGCCTCTCGATACTTGTTTTTTTATGTCAAAATAGAGTCAAATATTGCTTATTCGCGAATAAGCAAACATCGTTACCGTGCTTTTGCGTTTGTATGTTCTCATTTCGGCGACGTCACTGGCGAATCCAAAATTGGATATCTTGCTCACCATATCCTCCCCAACAAGAACATTACGGGCAGCAAGGTCTTGATGAAGACACTAGTATAAATAAAACGAAAGGGGCAAACCTGTTTAAGATGACCGCGCAGTGCAAAACATTATATCCATTAATCCAGAATACACAATCGGTCGGATTCATCCCATTCAATGGGGTTAAGGAGTAATCCTACACGATAGGACTGCCCGGTTCACAAGTGAAGTTCAGTTATTCAGTCAGTCAGTAAAATAAAAAGTGAAGCCACGTAGGCCCTGCCCCACATAAACTCGTCTGGTGACCCCGTGTTGGCATCGACTAGATTAGCGTGTGTTTCTGACCACAATCTAGTTCCAACTATACTACGGGCCGTCCCAATTTTAATTGGCGCCATTGCAATAGTTGGAGCATAAAAGCTAGACTCACCCCTTGTGAAGCCAAGTAAGCCATGCCTTCGGCCACGCCCCTGGCCAGACTCAGCAAAGTCCGGGGTGAGAGGGATGCGCACACAGCCCCTCGCAGGTTGTCATACACCCGTTCAGATCGGCTATCAGTAAGAATCTCCTTCAGGTTGCCATTCGCCACGTGTTCCACGATGACATAGATCGGGTCTGTGCATACGATTGCCAACGTTTCAACAGTTGAACAAACAACAACACAATTGCTTCACCAATTAGGGCTACGGGGACCATGTTATGAACCAATGTCCAGCCTTCAAAAAAATTTCCAACAAGCCAGTTCCGTCCTTGCGTGCCCGCATGATTATTAATTTTTCACTATATTTCACTGAGGTAAACAATTATTTAAACATAATGCCCGAAAAACAAAGTGCCAACATAATTGAAAACTACCTCTGGACTTCATGGCAAATAAAAGGATAATTGCAGATTGGAATTTTGATTCCCACTCTGCAAGAGACTTATGTTCATTCAGCTGCTGTGTTAATCACCAAAATAAAAAAGTCAAATCAATTAGTTCGCAAGAAGTGGCAAATTACACAGTGGCTTACTGACTGATGATTTCAAAACGTTTTCTTTAATAAAAGGATTTTTTTTTCGGGAAAAGGACATTAATAACAAGTGTAGTTACTAATTTAAGGCTAACAGTTGATTATCACTTTCCGTATTGTTACCTTCGTTGATGCAGTATCCAAGGAGCTTAACGATATTCGCGTGACCACTGAGAGGTTTCATCGAATTCAACTCTCGAATCAGGTTTTCTTTCTCCTTCGGGTCGCTTCCATCTGCATGATATGTAAAATTTTAGCGAGAACATTACTCTGAAGAACAATAATATCCAGAGGACTTCACATTACTTCTAGGGTGATGAAATGTATACCAGCTCTTCGTACCAACAGTACATGGTACTTTGTGACAACTCACGAGAGGTCCATATTGACATACCGTTAGCTCGCACTGCTTCGTGCGCAAACATATGAAGTCTTCACGACCATTTATTAGGAAACTAAATAAACACAAGCCGATGCACACGTGCGTAGCAACACATGCGCCTCTAGCTAGCGGTTGTCACTTTTTGGGTAATAATAAGGGAATAAAAGTGTGTTCGGGAGGTATTATTACACTCTGTTTAAGATTGGTGGGAGTCTGGATGGGTGATAATTACCTGAGGCGAAGCCGAGGATAATTATCACCCATCCAGACTCCCACCGGTCTTAAACGGAGTGTTGTCAGATATTTATGAATGTTTATTTTTAAAGCGCACACATCAACCTGTATTCTGTGCTTCATCATAATATCGATGCTGATTGGGCCCATGAAACATTCCAAATACCATCTGAGCTCCCTGGGGAGTATACAGCTCGATGCTGCAAGTTCGGCGCAAGGCAGCTAAATTCAATCACATCTCTGCCCCCACATGAGCCCGAGTTTGCTCCTGGGTGAGAAAAAGCAATAAGTGACAAAGTTCCTTGCCCAAGGGCACACGCACCATAACTCCAGGCTGGATTCGAACCCAAACCTGCAGTATTACCCGCAGACCATGAATTCAATACTCTAGACAACAAGGCCACGGCACTCCATTCAGTATTCCCGTATTCCTAACAGTATTAACGGGACTCTTACCTTTTACAGTTTTGACAACCACGTGGGTGACAAGGCCTCGCTGCTCGATGCCCACGGCTCTTGCAAGTAGCACTTTCCCGAAGGTGCCCTGGGTGAGTTCTTGTAGGAAGGTCAGCTGGTCTCGCGAGATTGCTGCGCGGCAGTCCGGGATGTCAGCATAGGTTGACTCAACCGGATCACTTTCGACTGCGCGAATGGTTTGCATAGGGATCCCTGCAATTTAACATTTCATATGAGTGACGTTATCCAAAAGCACTCCTAATTGATGTACATGTATAACAAACAAATAAACCCGACTGTGGCTGAAATTCCTCTGAAGTTTAATACTAAAAATCTTAAAATTAAGGCTTCGATAATAACAAAATCACTCTTGTTTGCTTGACAACAACTGATGACTGTCTTTCATAATAGATACCAAGTAGAATTTTTGAAAAGCACACTTGACAAAAATCGACATTTTAAAATTGGTGATTTGAGTCCCCAGCGCAGTTGGCAAATGGAGGCGAGTTCATATTTAAGCATTTCTGTCCCTAGTGGATTGATAGTATGATCCAATTGTTTTGGTAGATAACAACCAAGACACATAGCATTCTTACCATGCATAATAAGAACATTTGTGCATTCAGGTTGGCTTGAATTTGTAAAAAAATAAAGGAGAGTGGAGCATTTTTTTTGGGACACCCTGTAAAAAGAACGTGATCAAGCAAAAACTTTGTGTTCGATTTTTAGATCCTCGTTGTTTACAGGGTCGCGAAAATACCACCTAAAAAAAACAGGGACAGAACCTGACTTTACAGTTATAATATGCGAGGACATCGCGAGTAATTTATGGAGTTTGGTATGGTCCATGTATATTCATTTTGGGCAGCACTGTACCAATGTTCCTGCACTGGACACTTTTTTTTCAATTCATGTATGCGCTTTAATCAAGGCAATCTGGTCTTAGAGGAAGATGCTTTACCAGATAAGATTACCTCACCAAATTATAATCGGCATGCAGATATTCTCAAAATAATTCAGGTCTTATGACCCCAGTTGACATTATTTGTTTATTTTTCGTTGTATTTCTCTTATTACCTACCCATATTTTCGTAGCATTCCGTATCTGCAATGACCCGGACTGGACCTCCGGTCCTAGCTCCACTGCAGGCAAGAAAACACGATGGGGGCTGGTATTTTTAAGGATGGTGGTATGGTCAAGTCTCGCCCTAAAGAGTATTGACTTAGCCCTTGAAGACGGTTACTGGCCCTTTAAACCATGTTTTGTCAAGCAGCTTAGTACATCAGGTATAAGCTTGAAAATGAAGCCATTATTCAAAACGTAGAGGGCCATTTGGATAACAATAAATTTGAAGTCATTGTAGACTCTGTAAATTACTTTTATTCAAGTACTAACTCTCAGTAATATCTTAGGTTGTTTTAAACAAATAAACTGTTTGTTTACAATCTTTGAATTTTAGAATAAAGGTGACATTGCTCACTTGCTTCAGAAAACGTGATATTTGTACCGTTTGCATCAAGTACAAATGGCTTTGTTACAATCAGGCGAAATCCATTGTGGTTCTTTTCTTTCAAAATGTAGGCTTTAATAACACATTCAACAAGGCTTTAATTAAAGGTATTCTGTGTTTCTGACTAATTGTGTTCTTACCTTTGTGGAACATTTTGTTGTTCTGTTGAGGAAGTAGAAAATTCCATGTTGAATACGTTTAACGATGACACAGTATAATACGATAGGCGGATCCTTCGTTTTGTACGCAACAATCTTACCTAATTTTAATAATCATTATATTTTTTACAAATACTTGAAACTCTACTTTGCCACATAATTTTGATTGCAGGATTATCAAAGCTGATGACAATTTCTTAGGATAATAAAAATATGAGACACGTATGTTGAATTTGGTTTGATACATTTTCAGAAACAAAATTGTAAAGGTCTGCGAAAGTCGGGTAATCTCTCATCATGGCCCAATTTCGTAGAGCTGCTTAAGCCAAAAATTTGCTTAAGCACAAAAAGTTTGCTTAATATAATCAGGTTACCCACCGAAACTCCATGGGATTGTTATGCTAAGTAAACAACAGTTAAATACCAGTCACAAGCAATGTACATCGCATGGAGTTCTGGCCGGTAACATGATTATATTAAACAAGGTTTTTTTTGTGCTTAAGCAAATTTTATGCTTAAGCAGCTCTATGAAATTGGGCCCATAAAAGAAACCTTTGGGGGGGGGGGTGCAGAAAAAGTCTCCATTGTAGTGCTCAAGAAAATTACTCCATGTGTATTACATGATACCAACTACTCAGTGTTTTGGGCGCACATGGCATTGAACACATATGAATGCTATTGTTTCGAATAAAATGAGCATAGTTGAGGTCTTACCCTTCTTTTGGCTTGGCCTCTTTCGTTTACGGTAGAAGCAGCCGACCGCCTGTATCGTGATACTGATGAGCAACAGTATTCCCAGCACACTGACGACAGTAAGAAAAGGCCAGCTTGTCAGTATATCGACGACTGATGGAGTAACAGGTGCTATAACAAAATCAAAATATCAGGAGTATCGTTTAAATGTCATTTATATACTTTCAGTGTATCTTTGACACATCTTGTTTTTGGCTGTATAAAGAGGGTCTGATCTTTCGGGCAAACATTCAGCTAAAACGGTGACATCTATGTGAGTTTGGTTAACATTTAATGTATTTTAGAGTGATCCTCAAAATCCAGTTCTGTATTTCTTTGTTGTCATTGACTCAAAGAATTTAGAAATATTTTGGTTGTTTCCCATTACGTGGAATCAACAAAAAGAGCCATTGATTTGAAGGCTTACTACTCTCTTTTTTTTGCGATTTGTTGGATTCTCCAAACCCACATTGAGGAACATATCGTAGTATAAACTAGATCATGAACTTTCCCCCTAAGACCCTGAAGTAGGCAGCCGAAGCAGTCATTTTTTTGGAAGTATAACCCAACAATACTCCGCCTCAATATGTCAGGGTAGTAACTGTAAATATTGGATGTCGATCATCTTCACAGCTAGATATTGTACACGCCCCACATATATATTAGGCACTAAAACGAACGAGCCTGTCACAAGACTAGAAATTGCTTCGTACCCAGACATTTTGATAGCTACAAATTGCAAGATCTTACAACGCACGATGACAACGATCGGGCTGGAATACACCACCGGTGGTACACCGTTGTCTCCGCGGCACCTGTACGTCCCAGCCTGCTCCCTGTTGATCTTGCTTAGCAACAGTGTGCTTGTTCCATTGCTGTAGACGGAAGGTAGGGAGCCAGGGGACTCAACCTTTTCCCACGTGATGAAGTCAGCCGGCTTGGGATTGGCGTCCGCACTACATGATAAAATGATGTCATCTCCCTCCTCAACATGATTAGATGGAGTTACAGATGGCTCGGAAAATTCTGGCCAGTCTAGAGCAAAAGAAGACATCAAAAATGTCACTAGTTCCAGTTAGTTCCCTCTGTGGATTTATCATGATTTAATGCTTCCCAACTTTGCCATATGTTGATTCCCATGTGACATTACATATCATGACAGCAATACCCATGCAGTACGTCGAGGGGCAGGTGTAATCGTTCACTCGTTTAAGGTCTCTACCCCCTACGGAAAAAAAAAGGGATAATGTTTCGTTTTCTTGCTAACTATGCCAAAAATCATTGCGTTGCTCCTGAAAAGAACATCAGTGTCCCGCAGTACTCCTCTGCAAATTGGTTCCTTGTCAGGCAACAAACTAAATGGTGAATAGTCAAGGAGCTAGGAGACCCAGGGCTTACATTTTACGTGACAGTGCAAAGCTGAACAGTATTTTTTTTTTTGGGGGGGGGATATTCGTGTGATACCTATTAGGCCTTGAATGTTTTGATGTAATTGACATTGATCCGTTCGAGATTGTAATTTGTTTTTCGACTTTAATTAATTAATCTTACATTGGACGTCGATTGGACCCAACGATCCTGTCATGTCTTGAGTCCAGGATCCTCTTCTGGCAGAGCATGTGATCATCTTCCGATTATCTTCTCTGGTTGGCGTGAAGTTTAACGTGCTGCTGAACCTGTAACGGTTGCCCAATGTTGACACGGCGGTGGTATGAGTACCAGCAAGAGGTAGGCCGCCATTAGTCCAAACCAGCTGCCAGTCTGCAGGATATCCGTGGCTGGCTCGGCAAGTTAGTTGGACGGTCTCATTTGCAGTCATCGTTGAGTTGCCTGTTACAGCTGGAGTGTCCGGAGGACCTAAAAATCATGACAAAGGGATACAAAACATACTACCAGAGGAACCATCATTCGAGAAGAGGCAGATTCCTTACCTAGTCTTTCCCTTCTTGCATCCCAAATGAACCAAGGGATGGACACAATATACCAAATAATTTCCCAACCATTGGGGCAAAAATTTAGGGGCACATATACATACTACGGCCGACGTAGTCCATGTAGGGAAACAGGCATACTACCTAACTGATCAATAGTCCTTGGGCAAGCCATGTTACTCTTAGCTTCCCTCGGCGATCGTGAAAACAATTTGCTGACCATTGCCAGGATTAAGTTAGTTTTGAAACTTTGTATGGTGTTGTAAACCAGTGAATGTTTACTGTGACACCATGCGGAAAATGTCTTCGAGAAAGAATCACACTTCTCAAAGAGCTTTTCCACGTGGTGTCACCTCAAACGTTAAATATAACACAGAACTCTTACCTCTAACATCCAGTGTGACAATCGCAAATGGTAAAGGGCGCTGAGACTCCGCCGTTCTCGCGACACACTTCACCCTCTGCCCGTGATTGGCTCTGCTAGGGACGACCGTCCAGCTGCTCGTGGTGTCTACCAAACCTTCGCTTTCTCCAGAAGGAGGGTCAACAGTTCTTTGCAGAGCGTCATTCAGGAACCATTTTATAGTAGCAGCTGGTCTTGTCTGTCGAACCGTGCACAACAAAGAGTGGCGCGCCCCCTCCATGACGCTTGCTCTTCGACTAGTCACGTTCCCACCGGAGTCATAAAGGGATAAACTGGATTCCTTTGGAGGAACTGATAAGAGGATATAAAAAAAGGAAACGGAAATCCATCCCCAAACAAATACTGTGTTCTGAAAACAAAACAAGGCAAGCCTTGGTGCAAGGGGACAAACATGTCTACACCACCGAATCACGATAGCTATTCATTAGAAGCCGGGAGGGATGTGGTCGAGCCTATCTCAAGTCTCTGCAAGTCCATTACCAGTCCTCCGGCTCCCAGCTCAACTCACAAGCTATTTCAATGAGCTGTGACAAAGGCATGCATTTGGTATTGTCCATCCACTATTTCTTGTGACGAGACTTGTGAATGACTTGTGGTTTACTTGTGACTTGACATATGATGTACTTGTGATGGACTCGACTACATCTTTTGAAGCCAGCTTAAGTTCAGCCCAGAGGTAATCCTTTAAGAATAAGACTGCCAGGCACACAAAAAACAGTCAGTGGGTCGGTCGGAAAGTCGGACGGTCAGATAGGTATACAGAGGATCTCTAGGAACAGCAAATGATAAAAAGGAAGATTCTTACATCGGACGTCGATGGGACCCAGCGATCCTGTCAGCTCTTGAGATCCTCTTCTTGCAGAGCATGTGATCATGTTTCCATTATATTCTATGGTTGGTATGACGTTTAGCGTGCTGCTGAACCTGTAACGGCTGCCCGATGTTGACCTAGGGGTGGTATGAGTCCCGGCAATAGGTAGGCCCCCATTTGTCCAAACCAGCTCCCAGTCGTTAGGATATCCGTTTCTGGCTTTGCATGTTAGTTGAACAGCCTCATTTGCAGTCATCAATGGGTTGCCTGTTATAACTGGAGTGTCCGGAGGACCTACAAATCATGACAAAGGGATAAAACACAGACCACCAGAGGTACAATCATCCTAGAAGAATTAGAGTCGTTTCCTCGACGTTTCGGTTTCTATTCTGCAGGCCCATGTTTTAAACCCCCAAAATAACATCTTGTGGGTCTAAAATCAGGGTCTAAATTGTATCAAAGCGTACTAAGACATTTTACTCTTAGCTTCCCCCAGCGATTGTGATAAAATGACGACTACTGGCAGGATGCCTATTCTTTTCCACTTCACTTAACTCGAACGTACACAGAAGTAACCCCTAGCTACCTGTAACATCCACTGTGACCATTCCAAACGGTAGAGGGAACTGCGACTCCTCTGTACTAGCCACACACCTCACCCTTTGCCCGTGATTGGCTCTGCTAGGGACGAACGCCCAGCTGCTCGTAGTGTCCACCAAGCCATCGCTTTCTCCGGAGGGAGGGTCGACAGTTGTTTGCAAAGCGTCATTCAGGAACCATTGTATGGTAGCAGCTGGCCTTGTCTGATGCACAGAGCACAAGAAAGAGTGGCGCGCCCCCTCCACCACGCTTGTCCTCCCACCTTTGACGCTCCCACCAGAATCATACAGAGATAAAGTGGAATCCTTTGGTGGAGCTGGCAAGGGGAAAACGGAATAGCTCGTGTCAAAAAGCTCCTGGAATGTGTACTGAAATTGTATGAACTCTGGGCAGTCCAAATAGTTTTCATGGGGGGGGGGGGGTAGTTGATGGAAGAGTGTTGCCAACTCGTAAGAGCCAGAGAAAGATACATCGCGCGCATTGGTTTGCGTAGGTGCACACGACTAATTCAAAATGGTTGTTTAAAAACTAATAGCGTTTGCGCTTCAGAGAAATTAAATGCACCTAACCGTTGTTACCGTGAAACGGTATTTAACGTGCAAAATTATGATCTTTGTTAACAGTCATATGTTGGATGCTGCTGAAAGCGAACGTAAGGATCCTAAAAAGCCAACGTAAGGATACTAAAAATCCCCTCCTAACATAGCCTCACGCAAAAAAAGTATGTCCATGGATACAAATTATATTACCTTTAACGTGAATCGTAACGCTGATGCTTCGAGCAAAATGATATTCCGTGAAGGCCCAGCACTGCACTAAGTCGCCGTGCTTGATGCTCGTCCCAGGTAGCGAAAGTACGCTGGTGCTTGTGATAACTCCTTGCTCTTCTTGTGTGCTGCTGCTGTCAGGTGCTGTCTCCTGATAATTAACTTTCCAACTGAAAACTGTCTCGTGCTTCACATCTCGTGTTACACAGTGGAAAGAATGGTCTGCTCCATCAACAGTATTAGTTGTTCCGCCGGCAGTTGGGAAGGTTCCAGCCGAGTCCCAGAGCAATAATGGTTCTAAAGATATTAGCCAAATTTAAGCAGGCATATGTAAGTAGAAATTAAAAAAGGTAGTAGGTAATATACGTACGTATGTGATAATATATCTTTATGTCTCCATGTCCTCTCTGTGATTCCGTATGTCACTATTAAATGCAAAGATGACATTAAATTCCACGTACCTGCGTACGTGGTGATACACCGTACATACGTATACGTAATATCAGAGAGTTTCGGCAGGTTTCAAATTCGCGCCCGTATCACGTATCCGTATCGGTTTTGCGTATCACGTCATCATTTTAGGTGTTCTTCTCGTACGAAAAAACCTGTAAAGGCCGCCTGTTGGGACGTTCAGTGATTTTCGAAGCAAAACTTTTATGTCTAGTTGCATATCGTATGTGTGTTGTGCGCATAAAAGCACTGGGCTAGCGAGGCGTGAGGTTATACATGAAAGTCCTTTACCAGCCTGTTTTTGTTTTGTTTTTTAAAGTCCTCTCAGAAACAAATTTAAACCATATAAAATAAAGATAAAAATTAGATTGTGTATAACCCCAAAAGAAGAGGTACAGCTCTTTCAGGGTTTCTTTTTGCAATCTTGAGAGAAAACTAGAACAATACAAAGCAAGTCAAATTTGGCTAACACTAACAGGCAATGGTTATGAAGACGATCTTTTTTATTGTAAAAGTTACCATTCTGAGTTCAAACTATTGTTGTCTTTGAAGAAGGCATTTGAGATTCACAAAATCGTTTTTCTTTTCAGAGGCAACATAGCTGCAGACACTGGGGAAAACAGTAGACTCAAAATTTATTGAGTGACCCTTTTACAGGTTATTCCTTAACAATACGCGTACGTAGCTGCGCGATGCCGAAGCTGATACGCAAACGTGTACGGATACCTAACTTTTTCCGAAATGCCGAAACTCACTGTTGTTACGTACATACGTGGAAATATTACGTACGTACACGTGATGATAATGACGTACGTACGTGATAAAATCACGTACGTACGTGATAATATTGCATACGTACGCAATAACAATAATTTATGTACGCACGTAACATTATCAGGCACCTACGTAATAAGTAAAACTACATCGTGAACTACATTTCAATGTAACGTCATATACTTTCGATGTTATCTTGTTATCCTTATTAAATTGATGCCACACGGTGTTTTTCAACTAAGAAAGACTGGTAGAAATGATAAGGCCAATTCGAAATTGAGGATAGAAACAGAAACAGAAAACTTCTCATTCACATTTAATTGATAAATAATAGATAAAAAAGAGTCGATTAATCTACCTAAACATTACATCAAAAGCAACAACCAAATTAAGAGACTTTCACTTCGATTTACAACGAAAAAAAATCTTGATTACCTGTTGCACCCACATCATCGATTGCAATGTCAGACTTGAAGTCACTTCCTCGCACTGCCTGGAATGCTATTTGAAAGCTTGAAATAATGTTTGGGAAACATATCTCTTCAGAAATCCAAGATGTTTGGATTGTTTGCTGTCCAGTTCTTGAGAAGATCATTTTGCTGTCGTTATTGCTTCCGTAACTCGGTATCTGGTACACATTCAGAGTACCTGTAAAAACATGTCCAAATATTGAAATTGTAGATGGTCGCCAAAGGTGGCTTAAAATGACATCAGCTCGTACTTTGTCAAGGAAAACGCAAAACTCAAAAATTCAAAATTACGTCTCAGACGTATTACATAATAACCTGTCTTTTGTTTTTAAATCATTTTGAGTTCATCGTTCTGAAGAAAATCCCAACAAGTTCATCTGGAATGATGATAATAGCCAAAAAAGTAACTATTAATAAGATGGAATTTGCGTCGGTTAGATGTAAACTCAGTATTGGGTTTTGCCCTTCACCGACTTTAAGACTCAGTGTTGTCCCAAGTATAGTGAGAAGACAAGTGACCCGGGTGAGATTCGAACCCACGACCTCCTGCTTACTTTAGTGCAGACGTATAATAAAAAGAAACGGAACTAGGTTAAACCTAACCTTAAATCTAACAAAATTAAGCTGTCGCGGCCCAGCTGCAGAAGTTGCACGACAGCTGCAGGTGCATCCAAGCACAATTTCCAGAGTTGTTCGTTACCGCACCACAGGCACCGTTAGTGATCTTCCAAGAAGTGGGCGACCTGGAGTGACAGACAACCCCACGTCAGGATTACCATAAGGTCCCGCAGCACATGAGGGATCGACAGCGGAATGCCAGACAGACGGCCAAAGAGATACCCTGTACCAATAACAACGGGATCACGACAAGACGGTCAGAAACAGACTTCGGAGTGCCGGGCCCAGATGTCACAGGCCCTACCGAGGTCTTTGCCTCACACAGGAGAGAAGACAACTTCGACTTCAATGGGCCTACCAACCTCACGACAGGACACAATATTGAACCAGGTCTTCTTTACTGATGAATCACGTTTTAGTCTCTCCATTTCCGATGAACATTGCGTGTACAGGACAGACAAACCACTTTCGGATGCTTCAGGACAGACAGGGAGGACCAAGCATCATGGTTGGGAAGAACTGCCATTCAGACTGAGTACAGAATCTTACAGGGCAGGGATACAGGGATAACATTCTGCAGCCACATCTTGCGCCTTTTATGAGGCAACACCCAGAGTTGACCTAACAGCAGCAGCAGGACATTCCATGTTGTAAGGATCGTGCAGGACCTTCACGACCAACAAGTGGATACAATACCGTGGTCTTCAGTCCTGACATGTCTCTGATAGAGCATGTTTGGGATGAATTTGAATAATTAAATCTAATTAAACCATGAAGTGGAACTGGAACAGGTGGGAGCCATGGAACAGTTTGATATTTTTTTTTACTTGAAGACAAGTATGACTGGAGTCACGCATTTAATAGCAAACGTTTCAGGACAAGAGTGCGTGGGCGTTGACAGGATATTTGGCAAGGGGGGCGCCCCCCCCCCCCTCCCCCGGAAAAGCAACACACAAAAAAAGAGAAGAAAAAAAAGGAAGAAAAAAAGAAGACGAGGTGCGAAGTCATATTGTTATTAATTTAATGCACATTTAACATCATTGGCATCCGCAGGGGTCAATTGGGGTGAGCTGGGCAAATACCCCCCCCCCCCACCCTCGAAAACAATGATAAATTGAGAATATGATAAAGAAAGTACAATATTTTTTGGAAATAATGTGCTTTGGCCCGGCCTCTATTAACCCTAAAGGGGCCGGGGGGCGGCGGAATCCGCCCCCCCTCAACATTTTCCGTGAAAGCTTCTAAAAAAAACCCCAAAAACCCAAAAACATAAAAATCGGACCACAGGTTGCCGCATAGCGAAACATTTTCCGGCGCTACGCGCCGTGAAAACTGAATTTTCGCATATACGTCGTGTACACAGAGCAGAATTGCCATTCGTACATATGAATAATTAATAAGCCATAATTCCAAAACCCTTTGACCTATAGTCATGAAATTTCTTGGGTATGTTTAGGAAGAGTTGCTCTATGCATGTGCCGAGTTTCTCGATGGCCGAGATCTTAGGGGGGGGGGCGGAATCCGCCCCCCCTCCCCCGGCTGAGAGATGGTCAAAATAACCCGGCCCCTTTAGGGTTAAAAAAATCCTGTCGACGCCCATGAAAGAGTGAGATAAGAATTATTAATATCAAATTAATAATATGGTTTAATAATGGTGGTTAAATTCGCTCTCTGACAGTGTATGATTTCAATGAGTCCTTATTTTTTCCAAACAACTCATTAAATGTTTTAACCGCTGAGCTCTTAATGTCGATTCGTATAAGGCTTTTGATATGACTGAACAACTTAGGCCTACTCCAAATCCTATATGCGGGGTCCAGTGGCGGGAGTCCACAGGGCTCATGCGGCGGACAGCAGTCCAGGGATGTCAGAATGACGGCGCCTCTGTAAACCTTAAACCGGGGGGGGGGGGGGACAACGACTGACAGGTACTCGGTCAGAAGCACTCTTGCGTTGCGAGAAGCCGTTGATAACGGCTACTTTCAATGCAGATACAGTGAGAGAAGAGGCAAGAGCTATGGAAATTTTGTTTTGTTTTTTTTGGCCCGGCTGTGGCCGACTTGATGATGTTGATGATGATGATGATTGTAGAAGTCAATCACTGTAGGCTGTATATAATTGTATTATGGGGCTATTAGCTATATAGCTGTGCACAGATGAGACATGCCTCCATTCAAGTCCACTTGTTTTGCAATTTTTTATTACACTGTATTTTTAAAGAGTATATATATATGAGTATATACGAGTAATTTTCCATGAGTACGAGGACGAGTACTTTGCCATGAGTACGAATACGAGTACGAGTACTATGCCATGAGTGCGAGTACGAGACTACTTTGCCATAAGTACGAATATGAGGACGAGTATGAGTACAGAAAAAAAGTACTCGAGTACGATTATGAGTACGAGTACGAGGACTACAACGCCAGTACCCAAATATCCACATTCATTGGGAAATGGATTCAAAAATCTGTCACTCGCCCACACACACTAGAGCTATACATGTATGATATAATAAGCACATGTTGTGTTGAATAAATAGCTGTGGCAAATTACATGCAAACAAAAATGACTGTGTTGTATGTATTATATCAATCTGAGAATTAAACCTGTATTATATAATAAGCACAAAGTCAAGCATACCCATTGTGTCTCCATACATGTTGTACCAGAAGCTGAAGCAGAACTGTAAACCAGTGGTGTGAACGACGGGACTGACGAGGAGAGCTGTGTCATCTTCATCACCTCCGGTTGCCTCATAGTAGCAGTAAAAACCAGTTGAGTCTGTGAAAACGCATGGTAAGTCTCGATTTGTTCAAAGACGATGAACTAAACGTTTAATTATTATTAAACGGTAATCCTTAATTATGGTAATGCAAACAAATTTCCACCCTCTTGTGAGTATCACATTTTGAGCGCAGAAACACATTGAAGGGTTGTTCTATACCTCGGCATTTATTAAGGGACTAAATGTGTGTTCGGGAGGTATTATAGCACTCTGTTTAAGACCGGTGGGAGTCTGGATGGGTGATAATCACCCGAGGTACAGCCGAGGATATATCACCCATCCAGACTCCCACCGGTCTTAAACAGAGTGTTTAATACCGACCGAACACATATTCATTCCTTCGGTCAAAACAAACCCAATCTTTTCTGTCCAAAATAAAAAAAGGCACAAACTAGACGTTGCCAACCATTTAGTTCACCAATTTTACTTCACATTTTACGAAACACCCCTCTGACTATAATATCGAATGCCCATACTCGTTGCCTTATAATGACATCGGCGTGCGCGTCGCGCGTACTGCCCGATGTTACGCAAAACGCAGCTGGGCTGGTGTCGTGAATTTCGGACTATGAAATACTGATTCACTGGTTGTATTGCGCATGCATGCGTTAGGAATGTGAACGTTCAACCAATGAAACGTTAAAAGGCACCGGATTTCATGGGAGTTCAAATTTCATGTTACAGTGGAAAAGTGTTTAAGACCAGCTAGCCATGTCTCTATCATCCGTTTAAGACCGGCCACGTGACGGGCTCTCGACCAATAGGAATGCGTATACTGTCTAAGGTATTTATGAATAATATATAATGTGCATACCGCATGATTTTAGTAGCTTAATAGAATGAAAGAAACAATTAAACAAACCAAACATACCGCCTCTTGTTTTGTCAATTGAGGGTCCAGTATTGGACGATGGTGTCCCTCCTGAATGAAGCGTCCAAGATGAATCGCCATCGGTTGATTGCGTCCATCCGCACATACCGTCTTCAAAGGTGCAGTTGAAAGACAGGGTAGCTACCACAAATTATACAAAACACACGATTTATTGTTAAGTTGATGTTTAAAATCATCAAAGTGACTACTGACCAGGACATTTCTGCCAACTTCCACGGAAATCAGCCTTTGCACAGTAACAAACTGATTTGAAAACTTTCTAAATGACAGACGTTATTATACTTGAAGTAATTTCAGGGACAATTTGAAATTTGGCATGAAAAAATATGCCATGAGAAAGTGGGCTGAAAAGTTAATTATTTCTCGTATACATGCATCACAACCTCAAATGCGGTATCAAATTCAAGCGAACAACAGGAACATTAATTAGGAATGTATCTAGCCGCGCACAATTCCATTGTTGCGAATGTTCTAATATAGTCTTCGTGTGAGATGCACTTTATTTGCTTTCTGTTGAGACTGTAGAGAGTCTTTTTTATAGAATATGAACGGAGCCTCCAAACGCGTAGGATCAAACATTTACATGATTACGAATAGAAAGGTTTTCACAAGCTACATCATTAAAGATGTCAAACACGTTCGATAAAACTTTGTTAGGCCAAAATAAAACAGTCTGCAGTTTCTGGTATGGAGCTCGCCCCAAAAGTGGTGCGGCGACGCGTTTTTTCAGTTTCCTCAACTTTTTTTTCTTCAAATATCGGCTTATGTTGCAGTTGACGCTTCGATCCCCTTAAAACACTCAAAAATATCCTTCAGGGTGGAGCTTCATGTGACCTCAGAAAGGCCATAAGGCTTGAAAATCCTGCACCCACTTCTGGACTCCACGAACACGACCATTCTTTGGCAATTTTGGATAACCAAGACAACAATTTAGTGCAAATTATATGGAGCCCAGAGTGGCTATGCACATAAAGTTTATACTCGATCGTAACCCCATCTAAAAACACCGTTAAAATTGTACAGCAGTAGAATCCCAATCAAACCAGTGAGTTTGGTGGTTTTAAGACATCTTAGCATTCATTGAAAAAAAATGCCGATGCGCATGGCTAGCTACGGCGACGCGAGCGCAGACCAGAAACCGGGGACCTTTTTTTGGCCTTATCTAACATACTTTCACGCTGCATATTATCTGAAATCGAAGAGCCAAGTTGGAATACTTGCACTTCGATTTTCAACTAAACAGAAGCGTTATTGATTACCTGTCGCACTCAAATCATCGATTGCAATGTCAGACCTGAATTCACTTCCACGCACTGCCTGGAAGGCTATGTGAAAGCTTGAAATAATATTTGGTAAACAGATCTCTTCAGAAAGCCACGTTGATCCGTTCGTTTGTTGTCCAGTTCTGGTGAGGATAATGTCGCCCTCGTTGATGCTTCCGTGACTCGGAATCCGGAACACATTCAGAGTACCTGTGAAGATACGTACAACTATGTTAATTGCAGTTGGCTGCAAAAGTTGGCTTAAAATGACATCGACTCTATAGCTTTGTTAGAAAAACACGTTACTAAATGTAAACAAAAGAATCTGAGGAAAAAAATCAGAAAAATCTCAACCTTATACATTGGTTTTTAAATGAATCTGCGTTCATCATTCCTGAAACAAGTCCCAAAGTTCATTTGCAGTGATATTTATTGTTTCTAAAATCTTTGCAAGAGAAACCTGTAACAGAAAAAAAGTTGCAAAGACCTGCACTTTTGATAGTTTTTAAATACACGGTGAAACGAATCCATTTTAACAGTTTAACAAGGCAAAAAAGCGTCCTTAACAATCTCGCATTGTCGGAATACATGATCCTATACTTTGGGCAAGTTTTTGAAAATGTATTTAAAAAAAAATCGATCATTAGTTCCTTTTTTCTAACAAACTACATTACACACGTATACATGTATTATATAATAACCAGAGTCAAGCATACCCATTGTATCTCCATACATGTTGTACCAGAAGTTGAAGCAGAAGTGTAAACCAGTGGTGTGAACGACGGGACTGACGAGGAGAGCTGTGTCATTCTCATCCCCACCTGATGCTTCATAGTAACAGTAATTACCAGTCGAGTCTGTGAAAATGCATAGGACATTGAAGTGAAATAATAAATGTGTCAATAATAATAACAATATAAAGTAAATATATGTGTAATATTTTTAATTAAATTATATTTAAGTCAAGAAATATGCAAATGAATTTTTTCACGTTTTTTAAAATAAATATAGCGTACATGCCGCACATGGCATATTGAAAGGAAAAAAAGAATTAACAAAACTTACTGCCTTTTGTTTTGTCAATCAAAGGTCCTGTATTGGACGATGCTGTCCCTCCTGAATCAAGCCTCCAATATGAATCGTCATCAGTTGATTGCGTCCATCCGCACATACCGTCTTCAAAGGTGCAGTTGAATGACGGGTTTGCTACAGCAAATCATACACAATACACAAAATCCTTTTTAATTGTATTTTATCATTTTCTGACATGTTTTATCTTGTACTAATGTGTTGCAAACTTTAATTTGAGTTTCCGTGACGTTATGTACAGAAATATAATCCTCCAGAGATTGTACGTTTTGACTTTTTTTCAGTTTTACTATGGACGCATTATGACATAAACCCTAATGATGCAAAGGCACTGAAAATATTTGTCCAGTGTGAGGGAACTTTTAAAGGCAAGGGTACTTAATTTTATTCTATGCATGTCCAGCTTGTGTTAACGAATGCCAACTTGACCAGCAGAAGTTTACTTTGTCTTTCTTTTTTTCTCTGTAATTGAGTCACGTTATTTTAAGGGAGATCCGTCCCAAATCTTTTGATTTTTATTGTAGAATAACAGAACAATGTTGACAGAAGAGTTTTTGAAGGAGGGGGGGGGGGGGGGGGGGTCATCAGCAAAAATGTTTAAATTGTAGACAGGTTTTTTTTTTCTCCGGACACTTGGCTCCGAAGATCAATAGGCGGGGGTGGGCCAAGTGCTGGGGGGGGGGGGGGGGCTCACACCATACTTTCAATGGGGACGATTATTAACTCTATATTACGGAATAGTATACAAATACCCCCAAAACCAAGCTGTCTCTTTACGTATTTTGTGAACACGCGGACACTATTACCAGTAAAATAGGCGAGTTTTTTTTTTTGGGGGGGGGGGTCAGAGCAGGGGGTGTTTCCGCATTATTTTTAAAAGAATTTCTACGAAAAAAAACCTTTATAAGAGCTATCACGGGCAGTGAGTTTGATTACTTCCCCCGCGTTTACTCGTGCGACAGCGTTCAATTTACAAGTAACCGACTCGCCGAGCAGGTTAAGAATAATAAATAATAATAATAACTGTATTTATATAGCGCTTTTTGCCAGAGGATACAAAGCGCTGGGGGAGAATGCAACACAGGTAAATGAAGTAAATGTATATGAACATTATGAGACCCATTATGTTGCACCTTATAAGGGTTTACAAGGTACTGCGGCGCATAATTGCTGCCACTGCCAGAAACACCGGGGCAAACCCCTTCTCTTAGCGACAAGTGTTACTGGGTTCTTTAACGTGCATTACACAACACACGGGACCTACGGCTTAACGTCCCATCCGAAGGACGAAGCAATAATGGTAAAGTGCTTTGCTCAGAGCACAAGCACCATGTTCCCACGGTCAGGATTCGAACCCATGTACCACGGCACACGAGTCGAACACCGTAACCATTGGACCAAGCGCCCCAGGTTACTTGGGGTAAGTATCCCATTAGGCCATGCAACGACATATTGGTGTAAATTTAATAGGTGGGGGGGGGGGGACAAAATATCCCTGACCCCCTTAAACTGATAAATGGAGAATACATTGAGAAAAACAGAATTTATTTTGGAAACAAATCCTGGTGACGCCCATGTTTCCAGCTCTTGCGCGAAAATTTACCCGAAACCGTTTGCTTATTTAGCTCCACTGTACATGTGTGTCATTACGCGAGAAGCCAGGCGCTAGTAAGCTGGGGGAAGTATTCGAAGGGACTCACTTGTGGCGCTTAGTGGATTGTTCCATAATGAACAGAGGGTTGTTGGCCCAGTGGTAGGGGTTCCTGAATGCATTGCCTTAATGACATTTGATGCTTGAATATTTAGTCAGTCGTACGGTCATTGCGCAAGCATTCAATATTTTGACCCCCCACCCCCTCCAAAAAAAGATGGTTTTGGCCTGCCAGTGGGGATCAGTTGGTTTATCAGTTACAGGTCAATTGTTAAAAGAGATAAGGGGAAATGAAACTGATTTAAGATTTTGTTCAGATGTACCACTTTGGAGAACCTTTTGTGAACAGTGTGTGCACAAACATCAACCTTTAGGCCAAAAAAAAGTCTCCGGTTTCTGGTAAGCTTGGAAGCTTGCTTTTTTTTTTTTTACCTGAGTTTTTTGCTTCAAATGTCGGCTGATGACTGCAAATGGTGCCCGACGAAACTTAGTGCAAATATATGGGAGTCCAGAGAGGCCATATAAAGCTTATTCTCGACCATAACCCAATCTAAAAACACGTTAAAATTGTGCAGCAGCAGGATTCCAGTCAAACCAGTGAGTTTGGCGGTTTGAGACATTATCTTTCATTGAAAAAAAAAACACTTTTTCATTTTGCCGACGTGCATGGCTACGGCGACGCGCGCGCATACCAGAAATCGGAGACTTTTTTTTGCCTTAATGACCGTGAGCCTAAATTTCAAGATCAAAAGATTGGTCGTCATCAGTGTGTCCTGAGTGCGTTCGATTACTTCCCCGGCTTATATACTCGCGCCTGGCTCCTCGCGTAATGAAAGACATGCGCATTGGAACTAGATAACGAACGGTTCCGGGTAAAGTTTCGTGTAAGAGCTGGAAACATGGGCGTCGCCGGGATATTTTCTAGTGGGGGCAAACATATTTTCCCCCAAAAATCCTGTTTTTTCATATACTCGATATATAAAACATATTCTCGATTTATCAGTTTTTGAGGGCCCCCCCCCCCCCACCAATAAATTTACACCGATATGACTTCTCGCCTCTTTTTCTCTTCTTTTTTCTCTTTTTTTCTTCCTTTTTTTTTTTTTTTTCTTTTCCAGGAGGTGGATTCTGTTTTTACCCCAGACACCGCATACAGAAACAAACGCAAATGTAACGCAAAGGCAGCACTTGAGCAGCGCTGGTAAAAAGCGAGAAATCGTGTGTTGTTGGCATGTCAATTACAAAAAGAGAGAGCTAAATTAAAGGTCAAAAGTCCATCACAAGTAAAATTGGAGTTTACAAGTATTAATGATTTTTTCCCCACAGTATCGTGCTTAATGGAAGAAATGCTACTGTTCAAACGAGATGTAATTGGCACAGTGGCGTAGCCACCGGGGGCGTTGGGGGGGGGGGGGCGACCGCCCCCCCCATGAAACCGTGTCGCCCCCCCCCCCCCAGTCGCCCCCCTCGCCCCCCCCCGCACTGAGATTTTGAGTTTCTAAAAAAATTACCATTGATCTACATGACGCAATGGGCCCTATTATGTACTACAATGTATCTTTTGCTTAGAAATATTGGTTAAAGTGGTCAGAAATTGCCTCAGAAATGCACCACCTTGACCACAGAGCATTTAGAATCCAAATTTTTTCAGGGCCCTCAAGCGGGCCCCGAGCCCCACGCCTATAGCTCAGAATTCTGGTAGCTGATTCAATGACTCCAACCTCGAAAACAATGTTCACAAAAATTTTCTTATGCCTTCAACTGAGAAAACCTCGAAAAATTATGTTTAAATTATTATCTTTTGTGCTAAAATAATTATTGGTTAAAGTGGTAAGAAATTGCCTCAGATCACACCACAGAGCATCAAAAATCCATTTTTTTTCGGGCCCTTCAGCGGGCCCCGAACCCCACGCCAATAGCTCAGAATACAGATAGCTGATTCAATGTCCCAACCTCGAAAACGATGTTCAAATAATTATCTTTTGCCAAGAAAATATTAGTTAAAGCATGGAGGAAAGTCGTAAGAAATTGCTTCAAATCACACCACAGAACATCTAGAATCCAATTTTTTTCGGGGCCCTTAAGCGGGCCCGGAAGCCCACGCCGTAAGGGCTTCGCGCTTCGCGCTTGCATCAGTTATGATCAAGGTATGTCCCCCCCCCCACTTTTGAGAAGCGATTGACGCCCCTACTTGACGCCCCCCCATGAAATGTTCCAGCCCCAAGCGCCCCCCCCCCCCCCCCCCCCCCCCTGAAAAATTCCTGGCTACGCCACTGAATTGGCATGTGATTGATGTGTGATTGACTTGACTACAACTGCTATTATCTTTTAGATCGACGGGCCTATGAAAAGATGTATAAGATCATCGCAGTCAGTCTCGAGGATCCTAACACTCGTATATGTATAATAGTAAGCAAGCTTCGTAAAAGAATACCATTGTCTAACCCTCCCCCTCCCTTTCATGCCCCTTGGTGCCTTTCCGCTGAAAATTAGTTCGTTACGCCAATGAAACGTGCAGAGCTTGGAGTATATAGTTTAACGTAAGACACGATTCCTTAATTAAGTATCAAGTTCCACTGATGAACAAAACTACCAAATATTTGTTTCATCCGAATCTCGTCTTCATGATTCAAAAGCTATTACGTAGTACAGGTATGTTTAAACGCAAAACCGTGATAAATTTGATAACAGTTTTGTGAATGTCACTTTTTAAACATAGGCTTATTCAAGTGTGCGGGAAATTATTGCTTTTTATCAGAAAGTATCGTAAGATGAAAATCTGGTTGGCCTAAGCTGAGGAAACTTTTGTGGATAGTAATCGGCAATGATAACCCAAAAGTCAACACAAAAACAACAAAAAATGGTCCTACCTCGTACATATAAAGCCAGCCACAGCACAATGGTCATGAAGTTAAGAGACGCCATCGTTCAATGGATGATTTTCAATGCAGTGGCCCAGAGACGTCTAATAAGTTACTGCGACACAGACACCCTGTTATTCAAATTTTGCATTCAGCTTCGATAAACATAAACCAGGTTCATGGAAAATAAATATTTCAACTTCCTTGTACGGTATAATTAATTTTTCTTTTTTTTATTTGTGCTCAATAAGGAAAAAAAAAACACACAACAAACAAACAAAACTCCCGCAACTCATGCATCTGACTTTTATTGATAAATTATACAATTTACTTCCCTTTAGAAAAACATGTCAAACATCGAAACAGCAGGAAGTTTTCCTTCGTAAAAAAATTTATTTTTTTTAATCTAGCTTCTGTGTGTGTTCTTTGATACTTTTTTTTTTAAATGGAAAGTGTGATTGATCCATCTGCAGATTGATCAATATGATCAGTATATTCATGGGAATCGCGAGGGTGGCGCCCCCCCCCCTGGAAAAAAAAGAAAAAAGAAAAAGAAACAACAAAAAAAAATCAGGAAAACGAGGTGCGAACCATATTGCTGTGAATTTGATGGGGAGGGTGGGGGAAGGCAAATATTCCCCTGCCCACGCTCGGAAATGATATATTGAGATTATGTTGAAAAAATTAAGAAATTTTGGGGGGGGGGATTTGTTTTACCTCTCCCCGGTCTTTGCGACGCCCATGGGTATATTTGAGGATTGAAGGGCAAATGCTTATGTAAAGGCCTTTAGACCACGTTTAAAACTCAGCACAAGTTACGAATCAATGTTCTGTTATTACAGTGGGCCTATTAATAATAAAGCAATATACGAAGCCTGTTGCACTAATATTTTATAGCCTAATGCGATATTTTCTTTAAAAAAAAGGCGAGTGCGTTCCAATGTTTTTATATTAGTATAAACAGGAAAAGACCTGCAAAAATAATGATGATAAACAAGGAAAGACATACAAAATAACAATTATCTCGTTGCCTTGCGGTTAATTACTATGAGGAAGTAAAAATGTAGAACTAGAAAGGCCGTCCAATTGTTCTAGTTTTGTGGATCTATTTTCTAAAAAAATAAATGGATTCGAATCGGGAACGTTAGGGCGGCCTTTCGTCTGTTAATTACCCGAGTAAGATAATGTGGGATAGGAAACCTGAAACGGGCATTAATTAACCCGAGTCGCGAAAAACTAAACGAGAATATTGGAGATCTATAGTGAGCGGCTTTTAAACTTCTGAAGGGGGCACTGTGGTGCACTTTTTTTTAAGGCGTGGGGGACACATTGAAGGCAACTGATATATTGTTTTGTGCAATTTAATGGGGGGGGGGGGTGCACAGACCTCACTACGGGGGGGGTCTGATTGGGTTTTTAATGCAGGCCTATTCGCGCGTGTCATGCATGCACTGAAGACACTATATGCTGGGGGAATTAAGAAGCTGGAACTGTCGTGCAGTGCATTAAATAAATTTAAAGGAACCTGCAAGATTCTTTAAGTGCATCTAGGGACGGGGGAACCCCCCATTCAGCCGCTAAATAATGTTATGATACCAGAAAATAGAATTAAATGTATTCTGAAATTTCCTTAGAATGCAGGAGAAAGCGATGTTTTTATAATGTTCAGGGACGTGGTGTGGGGTGAGGGTGGGTGGGGGGGGGGGGGGGGGGAGGTGGGGGGATTGGCAGTGCTTGCTCTGGATCCCACCCAGCAGGCGTGCATCTGGCACGCACGCGCATACTGTGCACGCTATTTGTGGGGTACCTCTATTGGTCGACCCTAATTCCCTTCTTTTGTTCGACTTTGTCCCCTTAAAAAATACGGCTATGGGGTACGGGGGCCTACTGCAGTTTCTTAAGACTCACTGGCGGGGTACCATTGTTCCTATTGTTGCCCTTTTTAAATTCAAATTCAAATTCAAATTTATTAGCACTGCTTCGCAGCTGAAGCTGAATTACAGGTGTTTACAATAAAAAAATATAATTATGTAAAACATTATTTGTAACACATTAAAATTGAGAACAATTGTTATATACGCAGAAATATGCCAGAAGTTGAATTTAAACAAAAGTGCCAATTTATGAACGCACGCTGCATAGGAATGCCTAATTCTATCACCGCCTCTCCCCCCCCCCCCCTCCCCGTTACACGCCACCGCCCCCCCCCCCCCCCCCCCCCCCCACACACACACACATATGCCTGAAAGCTAGATCCTCCCCTGTTTTGTGTATTCAAAAGAATAGACAATATTCATAGCGGATTTATTTATTATTTATTCATTTTTGGGGAGAGGTGAATCGCCAAAACAACCAATCAAAATTATTGGGCTAATTAAATAAGTCATGTCTCACCCCCCCCCCCCCCCCTCCTCCGGTAAACAAACGTACACCATCTCCACTACTTATCCTGGGCCCATTGTTAAACAAATGACTTCATTGTCGGTGCTAAATACAATTTTGAACTTGCATTATTTTAACCAAAAAAATAATACCCAGATCATTATTATAATTTTTTTTTAATAAGAGCAACAGCCCAGAAAAATAATGACTGGACTAGTGGCGAGTTTACGGAATCGACACGTTTCGCGGGTACCAATGTTCTAGCGTAAATGAGTACCCATGTGGTTAATGTAACCAGCGAACATTTTCTAGCTTAGTGTCCAAATTCCTACGCGTATTCCGGGCACTGATATATATCTATCCAACGTGACCCGTCGGTTCGTAGGAAGCGAGAAATTACGAACTGGTATCCAACATGGCGAAAGCAGTGCAGAAGATCGTTGGTTTGGGCCAAAGATTGGGAACTTCGGTGGTCACACAGGGACCCAAAGTTGCTGGAAGTAAGTTCTTGTGATTCTTAACTATATCAAGATAGGAAAATCGTTGATTTATAAGGGATATGTCCTGAATGTGTGTTTATTTTTAGTGTTTGGTTTTGTGTGCAATTTACACTGATCAATGGAATGGATGCCCATTTTACGGACAAGTGGGGAAAACGGGGGCGGGGGCAAAGCCCCATAAATGTGGCCAATCATGTATTTACGGGCCCAGTTCTAGTATAAGTGAATTTAGTCGGCGAAAAGAATGTCATAGATAAACATGATAAAGCAAGGCATGCAAGGGCAGGGTATTAAAATTCGTAGTGGCTATCGTTACGCCGGAAACAGGTCAACTCGTACGCGAACCAACTCGTACGCGAGACAACTCGTACGCCGATTGGTCAACTCGTACGCGAGACAACTCGTACGCCAGCCAACTCGTACGCAAGACAACTCGACAACAAATTTAAATTGAACGATGTTTACGATCGCCAAACGTTTACCCCAAAACACACGCCAAAGTTATCGATTTATCACAGTATGATTGTAGCCAGTATGTATTTTCAACAGTTTAAATTCCATAAATGCAACGATGTCAAGTTCAAAAGTTTCAATGATACAAAAAAAACATGATCCATTTTTGCGACCGATGTGTAGTGCAATGCTGCGGCATGCGCTTCCAACCACGCAGCTAGTGTGGAGAATTTGTCAAGACGTACACGATTTGATTTACACATATTGCGGGGCCACTATAGCAATGTATTGTTGGAAGTCTACAAATGCAGCGGACATTATACGATTTAAATTCTCACTACGTGGCAATATCTTGTCCTATAGCGTACGGTGTGAGCCAGGATCAGACATCGACAGTGTGCGAGTGGTCCGGGAAAACAAATCAAAACTTTTTTGTTATGAGCCAAAAAAGCTGATTTAAAACTGAACTAATTGGGACCACTCAGTAACACAAAATTATCCCCTTAACTTAAGGAAAAAAGAATGTGCCGGACAACTGACCGACCTTAATTTCCTACACGCCCAAACCAACGGTTTTAGTCTAGTCTATACTCTTGCATACGAGTTGGCTCGCATACGAGTTGGCCCGCGTACGAGTTTGTCCGTGTACGAGTTGTCCTGCGTACGAGTTGGTCGCGTACGAGTTGGCTCGCGTACGAGTTGACCTGTATTCGTTACGGCAGCCGTAACGCATTTCCCATTTTCTATCGTTACGGTAGTAGGCAACTTTTATAAAAACATGAGAAGAAAATATAAAATTAGAAGGAAAAAAGTGCTTTTGAATGTTATGAAATTCGGACTTTATTTCCCTTTTAAAAAAAATCTTCCAAAGCCTTAGTCCGAGTAACTGGAACCCAACTTATCGCCTTTTTTAACATTTGGACATGGTCTGGCGATAGTGGGGTCCAAGCTAATACCGCAACCTGGACAACATCATCCTGTCACTGTCCCAAAAACCAACATTTTCCATCAAAAAACATCAGATTTCACCTTCAAAAAGGCTTCCAAATTACTAGATATGCCACCTTAGGTACAAGTAGACATCGATAATTAAGATGGTTGTACTGAAGTTTACTTACGATCCGGAAAAAAGTGAAATTTTCCGTTCATTTCGGAGAGCTCCCCTCGCGATCTTAAACACGTTAAATTTCCGATCGTGTTTAATGTTTGAACAACGCGATTTCTTCTACATGCCCAGCGTACATTCGATGGTCCCCGTATCCCGAGTGCGATTCCGTTACCGAGCGCGTGCGATGCATCGATTATGATAATGAGTAGACTGGATCACGTTTGTAAACACATGTGCATTTCAAACGATAATAGGGAGTCGGGAACTAGCGCAGCTTTTATGGCGGGTACCAGTTCAAGCTGGTTCCCGATTCCCTTTTACAGTTTGAAATGCACATACATGTTTACAAACGTGACTCACGATGATGCAAAATCCTACCCTCTATCAACTGAGCTGTCACACTGCTCGCTAAAACGTGGGGAAACAAATAATTATATACCTGCATGCATATCAAAAAAATAATGGTAGAGGGCGCTAAACAATGGCTGCCGTAACAATAGCCACTTCGTTTAAATTTTTGGGGTAGATTTTGGGATAAAAAAATTAAATGATGATGACAATGGCAAATGCAACACAAAAATTAGCCTTGGTCAATGCTCTCGTCGTTATTTGTCCCGTACGCGGTCAATCGTCGGCATATATCCTCACGCGCTATGCACATGCATGTAAAAATACAGCGCGAACAGCGACCTCACGTGGCCACTATTTTTATGCAAATCAGTTGGAGACGATCTCGAGCCTTGGCTCAATCATAGGCCAAAGCTTATTGATGTTTTTCTTTACTTTGCGCTAGATTTCCAGCGCACGACCTCGTATGCGAATACAGATAATGTAGGCGGGGCTAATATGTGGAGTGTCCAATCACACCTTGGTAAATCCGGACGTCATCAAATTATTTGCAGCTATTCTGCCTTTTGCGGACGTGACAGGAACCACAGTTTTTGTGCATTGGTGCCGTGTGCAGAGACACACAATGTGTACATGTATGGATTATGTACGGTGCCACGTTTCACTATGCAAGTTTCCACGCAACGATCGACCAATAAGAAAACGACATTTAAGGTCAGCTAAGGCTATTAACGTAATGAGCACCACCCCCAAAACCTCACATGGACGATTGAACCAAGGCTTGAGATCGTCTCCAACTGATTTGCATAAAAATAGTGGCCGCGTGAGGTCGCTGTTCACGCTGTATTTTTACGTGCATACATGTATAGTGCGTGAGGATATATGCCGACGATTGACCGCGTACGGGACGAATCACGAATAACGACGAGAGCATTGACCAAGGCTACACAAAAATAAAGATGGTGATCACCTCATCATGTAGGCTAGCCCGACTGCATCTGGCCGTACAGTACTATCGCAAGCTCTGTAGTACGGCCCGAACACCAATGCTCCCCTAAACGCTGAACTCTTATGTAGCAATTTTGCTACCGATTTTGATCGAGATTATCTTCTCGTCCAGTACAAAAATTTCCAAACTTAAGGTTCCTAGTCGTAGACGAACTCATAACTTTTTCAAAAAAACGTTCTTTGGTTCCAATATTTTTATCCATCTGGCCAAAAGACGACTTTCAGTCATCATCTTCCACAAATACCGTCCTGAAAATGTCCTCCGTGCGATTTCAAAATGGCGGCCGCGTTGTAATATATGCATTATGCGGGCATGCTTGGGCAAGATTATGAATATGCATTGCAGTTTATGACGTTTGTCGGGCGCGCGGCGCGGCTGGCCATACAAACACGCTCTCATGAACTGAATAATGCGGCCGCCATTTTGAAATCGCATGGAAGACAATTTTCGGGACGATTTTCGTGGGCGATGATGACTGAATGTCAGCTTTTGGCCAAATGGATGAGGATTTTGGGATAAAAGAACGTTTTTTCGAAAAGGTATGAGTTCCTCTACGACTAGGAACCTTAACTTTGAAAATTTCTGTCCTGGATGAAAAGATAATCTCGATCAAAATCGGTAGCAAAATCGTTACATCAGAGTTCAGCATTTAGAGGAGCATTGGGGATCTGGCCGTACAACAGAGCTTGCGATAGTACTGTACGGCCAGATGCAGTCGGGCTACATGTACATGTAGGCCTACCGTAGACTTGGCGCTAGAACTCCTTTTTTGACATTTGAGATGTTGGTCTGCCGTACTATCGTCCCACAACGGAAAAATTGTCAAAGTGACAATTTCAAAGTTCCCACAAAAATCACAAAAAAAAGGCTGTTGACTCCCAAAATCAATTTTTTTTGATTGCCTTCAACTCTTCTCTCTTAGATGCAGTAGTTCTGGTGCTGCCCCTGCCTGGAGTTAGTCCCTCCAACAATGGTGTCCGAGATCCCAGAGATGGAATATTTAATATGGCTGTACAATGAACATCTCCCAAATCAACCTTTTCGTTTGCCTGCCAATGTTCTCTCTTAGATGCAGTGCAGTGGACTCGGCCCAGACTATCCAAGTTCTGGTACTACGCCCGTGTGGAGTTAGTCCCCCCAATGCCGTCCGAGATCCCCGCTATTCAGAAGGGCTTCGGGGAGGTTGTAGCCAGTGCACGCTCAGGGAAATGGATGAACATGACTACCAGGGTGGGTATTAGTTAGGATCTTCTGACGGCAAAATGCATGAAATGTGATTTCCTCATGTTAATTTCCTCTTATTTATTTGGTCAGATTTTTTTTAAGAATGTGTTAATATCAAGCATGTTATATCAACTTTTTAAAAATGTTTTGCCCTGAAAGAAAACTGAAAGATGGCACAGTTGATTTGAATCTTGCTAATACAATCAACAGAGTTGTAATGACTCGAGTCAATGACTCGACTCGAGTCCGACTCGAGTCACATTTTTTGGCGACTCGACTCGACTCGAGTCCCGACGGGTAAATGACTCGACTCGACTCGAGTCACTGCGAGCAAATGACTCGACTCGACTCGAGTCCCTCATCAGAATGACTCGACTCGACTCGAGGAAGGCTAATAAGACTCGAGTCCCAAAATAAAAGCAAAACTTACTTGCGAAAAATATTTGCAATGACTTACGCTGCGCCGTTCGCGTTGCCAGTTTTTGTTCACGTCACGTTAATGTTCGCGAATAATGTACGTTTATATACAGCGGCAGTCTGTTTCCTTCCTCCATAATGAAACAACAAACATACACCGTGTCGCGGACTCCCACCTTGTGGTTCTATAGCATGTAATGCTAAACCCGGAACCAGACTTAAAACGCATTTCTCAATCCGTGGTTTCATCATTGGTTTCGGGCGATTTTGAAGTTCTTGGTGGAACGCTGGCTAAATTCATGTCCCGATTTCACACACAAAAATGGATACAGACGGGCCCACCTTTAAATAATCAGAAACAGTTTTGTATAATGCAATTAGGTTTTAACGTTGTCAGCAATCAGCGAACAACAAAATCTAGACTCGAAGCCAAACGGTTATAAGACCGAAGTTTCACATCTTCTTATCTGTGACGTGAGCTAGCAATGGAAACTGTTGGTTGGGTACCATACAGCATACTTTATGTCTTTGGATTTCCGTAATAGACTGGTGCCTTGTATTCTTTCTCTCTTGTGTTTGTTGCTTTTTATTGTAATTTAGTGTTCAAATATTTGTGACTCGAATTGACTCGAGCTAAATACTTGACTCGACTCGACTCGACTCGACCACACTCTGTGACTCGACTCGACTCGACTCGACCTTGTTGACCTAATGACTCGACTTGACTCGAGTCACTTCTTTAAAATGACTCGACTCGACTCGAGTCACAAAAATCAGTGACTCGTTACAACTCTGACAATCAATGCAACTTCTGCATCAAGTGAACAAGGCCTTCGTCTTGACTGTGCGTTAAATGCACAATGAAAGGGACCGATGACTGCAGTTTATATTAATAATAATTTTCAATTTGGTATAGGGGTCAACAAAAATTTTGCTACGTTCGGATGAGATTATTTTAACCCGTTCACGCTGGGATTACTTTGACAAGAACGGAGCGAGGTGCGGGATTACTTTTCACTTGACCTTCATGCCAGGTGGGCTGAAGCCATCATCCTCGGGCAGCACACTCATACCTGTACATGTACAGGGTGAGCCAAAAACACAAAACCCAAATGTCAGAACCATTGTTTTAGTGAAGTTCTGCATGAAGCACTCTCAAACTCTAAGATATGTAAGCCCAATTCGTTCTTTTTGTACAAGAATCGTTCAAATCACTCTTATACCTTTTAAGTTACGGAATTTTTAAGGCAACCACCTCTTAAAAGTTCTGTCCACGGATCACAAAAACTAATCACAAAGCAAAACAAAAACAAATCACAAAGGGGTGTGTGTGAATGGTTTTTGTTTTGCTGAGAGAACGCACACCTTTCCTTGTGATCCGTGGACAGAACTTTAAAACGGTGGTTGTGTTTACAATTCCGTAACTTGAAAAGTACACGATTGATTTGTATGATTCTTGTACTTCAGGCCAAAAAAAAAAATAAGTCGGTCTCTGGTCAGCGCACGCGTCGATTTTAATCATGCGCGTCAATCTTTTTTTTTTTCCAAAATGTTCCACTGTAGCTCCAACAGCGCCCTCTATTGCCGCACCTCCTCAATTTTATTTTAACCAAAGAGCACCAAGGAATGGGAAATTGCACCAAGGCAAATGATCGAGAGCACCAATGCAAATTATGGATGACACCAATGTACAAGAACAATAGTACCCACCTTGTCTGTACAATCCAAGCTTGAAGGAAAAAAAAAAAGCCGCGTCCCTGCGTCAATTCCGGAACTTTGGTCTGACCAGAGACCGAATTTTTTTTTTTTGGCCTAAAGCAAGCTTATGAATTCGGCTTTCATGTCCTAGATTTTGAAAGTGCTACATGCAGAATGCCACTAAAACAATAGTCCGACATTTGGGTTTCGTTTTTTTTTTACTCATCCTGTATTTCCAGCCTCGCTCCCTGCGTATTTATCCGTCATCCGTTCCGAATACCACAACACCTATGCATGTATACATGTACATGTCATCCGGCGCGAACTGGTTAAGGGGAGCCGACTGTATTTTCAATAGTCTGATGATCACTTACTCCAACTGTATCTTTCTTGTTTGTTATTACCAGGAGGCTTTCCGCAACACTTTGGTCTGCATGGAGGTTGCTTTCTGGTTCTTCGTGGGCGAGCAGATCGGTCGGAGGAGTATCATTGGCTATAACGTCAAGTCTGATCATCCAGAACCCAAATACATTTAACGACAGCTTCAACCTCGGAGTTCTAGCCAAACTTGTGTAGTATTGCCCAGCACCCTCCAGATTTACCCATCCCGAACCCAACAGAATCCCCCAAAATCTTACAGCTGACTGAGTTATGTTGGGTCTCTTGTGGCATTGCTGAGATTATTATGCAGGTTACTCCCTTACCTCACATGATCCAAAAAAATCCAACTGCTTATGCAATCTTTGTATGATATTGTGTGGTTATGTTTAACAAAACCTGCAGATTCCTGAACCGCTACCGCACAATCCAACACGATCCAACAATGGACAAGGTTTTGCTTGATCTTGGGCAAAGCAAAGTCAACTTCTTGACCCCCTACACCCACAGAATCCAACAAACTTAAAAATTGAGGGTTCCTTAGATTTGATCTCAAATTAACCAGCAAAGTCCGTTGGTTTCAGGACCTAAATCCCACAAAGTTGAATATGGTCAACAGCTGACAAATTCCTGTTTGATCATGACAGTGTCAGTTGGTATTCAGACAGATGTACAATGTATGAATGCTTTCACTATCAGCAATGTTTCCTGGAGTTTGTTTTACAAACCACATTAAAATAATAAACTGGTATTTGATTTTATCCTTGCTCTGTTGGACAATTCACAAGTCGTGTCGCGACTTAGGTTTAAAGATGCATGAGTTTCATATTTAAGATTGATTTGAACTGATTGAGGTATTTTAACGAATGAAGTGATTGTTTTGTTTCAGGACAAGTACATGTTCATGTAATGTAGGCATTGAGTTCAGTAGGTACAATGTACATGTACACCAATGAAAGTATTTGGCTTTTGGGACATGCATTTCCTAAATTGTCATTTTTGTAAGACACACTGCCTCTTGCAACAGATCAGCAAGCCTGCAAATTCTAACGACTCTCACTATTAGCACCATCTGTAGTTCTTGCACAACCGGCCTATGGGAAAGAAACTCTTGTTGATCTCTTTTATATTTCTTGTCTCATATTCTTTGGTTTACACATGAGGAAATATTCCGGAGGAAGTATTCCGAAGGGTTTATTCCTAACCTTTGTTCTCAATTGTACCTTGATGATTTTCCATCATGAATCCTCCATCACGACCTGAGCTCCATCCAGTGTGGATGGGACTGCAGTGTAGTCCTGTTTGACCTCCATTGACCTCCTGCAAGGCAACTGGATAATACTTTACCTGCACATGTACATGTATTTTCCTGAATAGATATACTTTATTACTGAACACTTTGTGTTGTGTTCTTTAGCATTGTCAATTCAGTTTGTTAATAAACCATTGTTGTTTACAGAATTGTAAAAGAAAGTGTTAATCACCTGAAGTATTTGCTGTGGAAAATGCAAGTTAAACATGTGATTGGATGTCTACCTTTGACATCATTATGCTACCGTTCAAGTTTTAAATAACTTCAGGTTTCTGCATATCCATGATGTATCACTTTCTCCAGCTAAGTGTTAATCAAGGAGGTCATAAGTCACTACTTCATCATACATGTATTCAAAAGTCACTACAAGTAGCTACATGTATGTGTCATCATTCATGTGACATCACATGCCATCCCAATTCAATACATTGCACATGTCACCAAGTGTCATCACAAGTCACTTCAAGTCGGCACAAGTCATCCTTTGTCTTTTCCATATCTTTTCACAAAGTACGTGACATGTGACATCACATGCCATCACAAGTCAATACATGTCACCAAGTGTCATCACAAGTCACTTTTAGTCAGCACAAGTCATCCAGTCTTTAGCCAAGTCACAGTATACATGTATAAATGAACTATGACAAAGGCATTCCTTTGTCTTTTCAATATCTTTTCACAAAGTATGTGACATGTGACATCACATGTCATCACAAGTCACTTTTAGTCCTCACAAGTCATCCAGTCTTTAGCCAAGTCACAGTATACATACATAAATGAACTGTGACAAAGGCATTCCTTTGTCTTTTCCATATCTTTTCACAAAGTATGTGACATGTGGCATCATCTGCCCTTCTTAAGTCAATACATGTCACCAAGTGTCATCACAAGTCACTTTCAGTCAGCACAAGTCATCCAGTCTTTAGCCAAGTCACAGTATACATGTATAAATGAACTATGACAAAGGCATTCCTTTGTGTTTTCCATATCCTTTCACAATGTATGTGACCAGACTTGTGAATTGAATCTTGATATGACGTGTGATTGACTCGGTTGCAGTTCGGTAGTTTATACATACGATCAGTGACAAGACAAGTTTTCGCCACCCTGTGTTAGATCTGATTATCATTACCCCGCGAGTTGAAGTCAAAATGACTACATGTATTCTAAAATGTCTCAACTCTGAACTTGGGGGTTTTTTTTTAATATAAATTATCAATCATTCACTGGATTCATTGGCGCCCTTACAAAAAAAAGTAATTGGTTTGCAAATTGTCCATAAATGTATTTTGATTTAATTACAAAATTTTACAATGTTTGTGCTATCAATATATACGGAAAAGATAAAAAAATTGGATAATAATGAAGACCTTTGAAACCAAACCAAATCATAAAACATAATGTACATATATGAAATTTAATGGAATCTAAAATGATTAAGCAATAGATAATTGATACGTCATATAAGCATAAAAATGTAACAACATCAGAGTAAAATGAAATAATAAGTATTAAATCAGGAAATAATCATCCCTTGGAAATGTATACACATGTATATACAGAAGAGGGGAAAAACAGTCAAGTGGCGCATCAAGTGGGAGGAGATTGGGGGGGGGGGGAGGGGGGGGGGACGGTGACTGCTCTATGTTCCGACACCGTTATGCTCCGACACCCCTGTGTTACGACAACCCGCACTTAAGATTGTGTTACTCCTGGTTTAGGGTTAGGAATAGAAATATGTGCAGTCGGGGTTACACCCCTATGTTCTGACTGCAGATATTCCTAACCGTAATCCTAACCGGGAGTAACACAATCTTGTGTACGGGTTGTCGGAACATAGGGGCGTCGGAACATAGAGGTGTAACCGGGGGAACAGTGGTAGTGCGCGCAAAAGATTAGGCGCCATCCCTTAAGCCCGCCCCATGGTGCTTTGACCTATTAAAGCCGCTATTAATGCCATGGCGTGCAGGGAAGTCCAACATAGGTGCATAACAATTGTGTGCTTAAAGTGTGGGGCTACTATGAAGTGTGGCATGAGAGGCACACGTGTTGTTGTCCCGGTCCGCCCAGGTGCGCGCTGTGGGCGGGGCCTATTGGATCAAGTTAATTGTCGTTCGATGTCTCTTATTTCCAGCGTCGAGACTGTACTGTCTTCTGCAAGGAGTCCATCAACCTTTTTTTTTCAAATTGGCGGACACGAATACAGGGTGCTATTTTGTTGAAGTGGGTAATATGGCGCTCTCCACGAATTGAGGGCGCTATTTTGTTGGAGAGGGTATTTACCCCCGCCAATAAAATGCCGCCCTCCCTTCGTGTCTGCCATTTGGGTATTAAGCACTGAGCAGTTTACACAAATAGCGCCCTCGCAATTTGCCCGTCATAATATTATTTCAAAAGACCAATTAAGATCCATCTCGTGTATGGAACCTACAATAACGGGGCCCGTCAATGTGTGAATATTCAGGTGCACTGACGTTGGAACTCTGTGTGAAATGGACTGCATCTGAAAAGAAAGAATTTTGTGATGAAGAATTAAATTGCACGAGAGAGTTCAGCAGTAACATCCCTATAGAAAAATAATGTTCAGCGCTTGTCTGCAAACAAAATTATGAGCCTGTTAAACGAGTACTGCAGTGCTGCGGTTCGACTATGGAGTATTATTTGACCAATTAAAGCCGCGATTAATGCCAAATTGTACAAAAATAGTCATAAAGTTGTAAATCTGGAAGACCCCATTTCTCTTTCTTGTGGATAGCGGAAGACATGCTCTATCAAGTCATTTTAATTTTGTTAATTTTAAAAATGACACATTATTACAAAAAAATGGGTCAACTTGAGGTCACGGTAAGGTCATGATGACCTACTTTTCAAGAATTGATTTGAGCAAGCAATTCCCATTATTTTAATACTAAATTTGCATATATTTGATGACAATTGACATGGTTATGACATATTTTTTTACCAAAAGGGTGGAATTTTAATCTAAAAATGTCAATGAAATGTTTAGCTAGTTATTTCATGGTAGTGCAAAGCACCCAATTTTGCCGATTAGTTTTTGTGCTAAGTATGTATCAGCCACAAAAAAACAGCCGCAAAAAAATACATTAAATAAGTTTGACTGAGGATCTTTTTTTGGGGTCAAATAATGTACCTGTTGAGTACATAATCTTGAGCTTAGCAGCTCTTCGATGACGCATGCTCAACTAGACAGAAGGTTTTCCCGTGTCTATCCAAGAAACGATCATGAACCACTGTACGTGTATCACCTTTAACTTTTGGAGAGTGCCGTTAAAATTATATGCAAATAAGCACGCACGTTTTCCGCGCGCACGCGTACGCGCACGCGCACGAGCCTCTATGAAATAAAACATGGAGGATCATGTTTACACGAGGGAGTCGTGTCATGTGTGAAACTTCTCACCAATTGGAAACTTTGTTGCAGTTTTGCTAACTCTGCATTGCGTGTACTTCACTGAGTTAACAGGTTGGGCATCAATAGATGCCTTTTGTCGACGAACTGAGTGTTTTATCTTTGTGAAAAAGGAGAACTTTTAGTGCCAGAAGTTTTGTTCGCGTCACGCGGGACCGCACCAAATCGCCCCACGTGTCTGTGTGGCACCTTTGCCCCATACTGGAGCAAGACAACGCGGAGTCACCATATAATACAGCTATAGACAGAATCGTTCTTAAATAGAACTAGTACTAGCGTTTGGAATTTGGATGACACAATGGACGGCGACACAGTGGACGGCCTGGCGTTACAGTATAACAGCTGGTAAGTAAAAAAAAAAAATCTATTGTCACATTTTGCTGAAAATATTCTGCCAAGCACTTTTTTGTTTGAGTCAGCGGAAGAAAGGTAGGCCTATACAATACTAGTGTAGCTAGGCCTACTGCCCGTAGGCCCTATGCTTTAGAGAAAAAAAAATGTGATTTCAAGTGGTCTGGTATGCAGTGTCGTGTGCCCAATTTCATGGCTCTGCTTACCACAAAATTGCGCGCTATACGATCACCATTTTGTGTTAACTGCGCGAGCACAAAAATGTAAGACAAATAAATTTAGGCCGGAGAAACGTTTCCCTTAAATCTATTAAAAACAGACTTAATTTTTGTGTCACTCCCCAAATATTAAAACAACGTGGAGTACAGCCCAAGAAAAGATGCAAAAAAAAAATGTGTTGACGAAAATCCTATTTTTCTCCTTTGAAATGTAGACTTGTTTAAAAGTATTTGTTTCTTGCGTGAATCTAAACTTTACTTATATACAAGTTACATATACACGGAGTTAAGTTGGGAATTCCTTGTTTCTAGATTCCGTTTAATTTTACGTGAACATTTGAAAAACAAAAGGTGTTAAAAATTCCTGGGGCGAGGGGGTTTGAAATGTAGGCATACTGCATCTAGGCGTCTGATGTCCATATATATAGTTTCCATATAACTTATAGTTAGAGAGGAATTATTGAGGCCAAAGCAAAAAGGTTCACAATTCCCTCAGAAATTGCATGTAGTTGAACATAATAATTTGACTTCGCGTGTAATCTTAAAAGTAAATTTTATGTTTAGAACAACTTCAACAATGATTGTGGAACCCAGTATATATTCGGCATTCCATTTAAACTGAGCCATTTAATTATGATGTGTGGTGCGTAGTAAGCGTCAGGATCCCTCATTGTTCCCATCACTTGGCCAGACGGGGTATTATGCATAGCATACCCATTGTGAAGGTAGATACGAGTAGGGCCCCTCCTTTGTGTTGGTCATGGTGTTCCTGAATTATCAGGAATTCTTTTGAGATACAAAAAAACTAAGGCAATCTGTTAAGAAAATAGCCTATTTTATGTAGGACACTTAAAGGGAATGTACAACATTTGTAAACATCGACAAATAAAACTACCAAGTTTTTACAAAATACCTCACTACGATGTTGGTTAATGACAGTCTAAAGCATCCTGTAAAATTATGGCACTTAGTGTGAAGTCATTTTCAAAAAAATTGTATTTTTGTATAAATTTCCAACGGTGGTCGGCCGACCACCGTTGGAAAAACCTAACTATTTTTCAACTACTGCTCCAAATTTACCATTTTGTTCAGTCAAAATTTTGTTTGCTATTGGTTACATGTTCATGAACGGGTGCAGGCCAGCTAGACTGGTTCCCTGACCTAACAATTTTCCGGCATCTATAAATTAATTCATTTCATCTTTAGTGGAGTCAGGGAACCAGACTACTTGAACGTTTTTGTTTTTCTTGGCTTTTCCAGCATTTTCGAACACAAAACTTCAAACATGTCAGTGTAACAATATTTGATCTGTTATACTAAGTTACTAACCCCTCAAATAGTTCATTTTTAAAAATAAAAGCAAAAGCCAATGATGTACATTCCCTTTAAAGGTATCCACCCTGTCTCAAATCGTGCATGGTATATTACAGATATAAGCCTGTCCTCGGATAGCCATAAACTTGTCATTAGCTTGTTACTTTGTCGATAGCCGCAATAATGTATTTGATGGTCGAGTGGTAAAGTCACTAAGTACATGAAATTAAAGACAAATTGGCGTGTGCAACGTTTTTTTAATTTCCCTTTTCCAAACATAAAAAATCCAAAACAACCACCTTTACCACTTTAATACAGAGTTTTCAGTGAGGAGATCAACTTATTGCAATTACGCAATACCTCAAAAAAAAACACCAAAAAAAACAACAATGCAATTAATAAATAAAATGCTGAAAAAAATTCCCACAAGGCATGAATCGAGATCAAACTCAGCTTTATGCCACAAGGGAAAAATACTTTGTTCTAACAAACATAAGCGCATTGAATTGTTAATATATCGTGAAACGCAATGAAGTGTTAACATATCGTGAAATATTTATTTGAAATACTAAAAAAAAATTACTTCAAAATACATCGACTGTTATTAAGCAAACAGATCGGTATTCGAAAAACCAGCTATATACCAATAGTGGGACACGTTGACGTATGCGACTTTTCTGGATCCATTCATGCAATAGGGCGCCACCAACAGTTAACCATGGAGATCATGTTGGGAGTGCATCGTGAGAAAAAAAAATACTAGACGTCCGTTTGTAGACATCGCCAACATGGGTAAATTTTGTGTGTGGCAAACGAACTCTATAGATATTTGCTTAAAATACTTAGACGACTCTTGTGATTTAAGTTCTTATTTTTCCCTGTCAGCGTTAGTGAGTGTTGACCAGGTGGGGCTGGGCTATTGAGTCACTCCCCCCCCCCCTCCCCCTTCTTCGTGATGAGAAACCATTAAGGTGTATTTCCAGGTATTTTTTAGAACTTTCTAAAACCAAAAATTTATTCAATATCGCTGAAATATGGAGAAAAAAAGTAAAAAATGCGACGTTTTGATAAAACAGCGAGTGTACATAAAGATGTTCATCTGTGTCATGAACAGCGCCCCTAGTGTAATGTTGTGTCCAGCCCAGCCCCTCCCCTCCCTGCTTTTCAAATTGCTACGACTGGGCATTTTTTTTTTAAATTTTGGTCACGTCTCATCCCTCCTCCATTCCCCACCCCACTCGCCGTAACAGATTTACGCCACTAGGAGGAGTGAAATAAACTGCGATACAGTATATGCGATAAATCGACGGGAACTACAAATAAATATTCCTATCGCTTGGTGGCGCCATGTAGTAAGATCACTGCTCATCACTGAGAGGGAATACAATACAGCGTCTGTTGACCATTGATATTTTCATCCGCGAAGTGCGTATCCATGGTGACAGTAGCTACGGGAGTTGCGCAGTCGGACGGCACATCGATCCCACTGAAATCATTGTCAATGCAGAGGCTGGCACGCATGGGCAGCGGTAGCTCTGGGGTTGAGGATACCTTGATCTCTTTGCAGAAACGAAACAATTGCGATGGGTCATCTATGTAATGGTAGAAATAAAGAAAGTCCACATATAAACAGGGCTCCGTGTACAAATATTGAATTAGGCCATAATTTCAACGAGTGTTGTTGCTATGCCATTTTTGTAAAGCATAATTTATTAGCAGCTATCATACGTCAATACCAAAAAGATATTCAATGCCGAGGGCATCTTGTTTGTCCCCCCCCCCCCCCCGCCACACACTGGTAATACACACTGTATTCCGTAACTGTGGTTGACATTTGGTAATTTTCTATCCTTTATCACATATTAAGGTCTTTTGCCAATGGTATATACTTGGTTATCTCTATAACTATTGACACATTGCAGTCCTGTACCTTGGTAACATCTTGCTTGTAACCTTTGGTTAGCATTTTCGGTAATCTCTCCAACTGTAAGAACATTGTTGTCCTTAACCTTATGTGCTCGTTTACCATGGTAAACATTTAGTTACATTTTACAATTGTTCACATCTAATGCTTTACCTTAGTTAGCATTTAATACAATATGAAACGATAAACACATAGTATTCCTTTTGTACCTTTGTTAGCATGTGGTAATATATTATACAAATATTGAATGCTTCGAGTGGTGTAGTAAAACTAGCCTCCCGAGGTGATCCATGGACATTCTATTTTCCCGAGGCGAAACCGAGGGAGAATAGAATGATCCATGGATCACCGAGGGAGGCTAGTTTTACTTCACCACGAGATAAAGCATTCAATATTTGTTTTATAACACTTCACCCACAGATTCTGCTTGATTTTAATATTTTAAATTATTTAAATCTAAACACAGCTAAAATAAACTTCAATTTCAATACAAAATTGGTGGAAAATGTATTTCTCTCTTAAAAACTACCCCTTCACGAAATGTTTGAACCCAAGTCTGCGGCGCGCTCTCTTTTGAATAATACGCGCTACGCACAACGCGCAACGCGCACACCATCATGCATTTGCACACAAATACCGCGCCGTGGAAATAGTACTTTGGTTGCTAATTGTATAGTACTTTGGTTGCTATGCGCATTGTACTTTTGGCCGTGCACAGAACGATAGCAAAATTAGAAAGTAACATGTGACTCGCTCCCGGCCAATAAAGACACAGAATCTGTGGGTGAGGTGTTGTAAATCCAGCTATAACCACTAGGCTGAAATTTGCATTGGTTAGTATATTGTAATCTCTTCAACTTGGCCGTTTGCCGCTGAACAAGATCTTGTGAACATCGCAACGTCAGGCCTTCTTAATTTTGTTTTATTTGTATATTTAAGGGTCCATCCAGTAAGTAAGGGGTTTGCAGCAATTTATTCATTTTCATTTTTATCTTTGTATTTTTTTCCCATATTTATCTTTTGACACATAATTATAGTAGTTTACCTTGAATAAATGTCCAGTCCCAATCTTGGATTCCGTCCTCAATGGACGCTTGAACCTTGTAGGGATCCGCTGTGTATTCAAACACATCTGAAAAAGGGGGACATTGGTCACATTGTATACAATTGTTTACAACGTGTTCCTTCTCCGCTGAATCACAAAGCAGTACAGTGCTTTGGTGGGTTACATCTGTAAAGAATGATGTGGTTTCCAGCGGTACAGTATTAAGTGAGCCTCCATTTTGTCCGTGTTATGTAAAATGTATTTTTGTCGCGGCATTATCAGTTTATATTGTAGCAACACAAACATTGTTAATCGTTTTCTTTGGGTGCTTTCTTTGCAGATTTACTTCGTCTGAGTACAGATTGTCCACAACGGAACTCCTAAATGTAGGACATTATTAGACAGCGTTCAAGGGACTGAAAAGCGTGCTCTGAATTAAGGAAACTGCTTTCAGTTGGTAAGTTGAATTTTTTTCTGATATTTCAGTTTCCAATATTTTGTAGTCACTGAATAACCTGCGAACTACGCCAAGTAGCTTACCGCCTTAAACGCACGTATATTTACGTGCACTTGTTGTATCGTGCGCAATCGGAAGCGTTGATCCCGAGTAACTGGTTAAGTAGAATACATCCGATTAAAGTTCAAAGAAAATAGAGACCACACTATCGCCCTTGAGTAGGGGGAGTGTACTGAGTAGCAAATCGTTGCTTATGTGCGTTCACCAGTAAAATACACGTTACCATTCCCTCCTATATTCTTGCATGGGTGTTCAAATGACGATTGTAACGATGAATACAATACTCTTTGAGTAGTCGTTGTATGAATACATTAGTCTTCATGTTAGGTGCATTGATTTTGGGGTATTGTAACATTGAAAATGGTAAAACTTTCATGATTGGGGTTGCTCGGAAGTAGAAAAAGAGGAATTGATTCTCGAATAAATGTCGTACTTAGGTATACCAGTCCATGACTTCGAGCGGTGTAGCAGTCGCCACAGGCAGTTTTGTCCTCGTTGCATGCCATATTCACTGCATCGAATCCCTAAAAACGGAGAAGACAAATTATTACCAAGAGTCTGCCTGAACCGAAACAATGACAAGACAAACAAAGCAAGCCCAATGAAGTTGTGCGAATGCCAACTTTATTTATATAACTGAATCAGAACGCGATATTCACTGGAAGTGTTTTCATGTTCTTGGGACTTCACCATGGGCTGGATTGAGCCCGTTCACTGGCTATATGGTTAATCATATACGATAGCACTGCCCGGCTGGCAAGTAACGGTTAGTGACACAGTCATTCGTTCAGGAAGACAGGTACACTGATTATGGGCTGCCTCCTTTTGGGCCACGAAAAAAATGCATTGTGTGGTATTGCAAATGCTGCAAATAAGTAAGAAAAACAAGTTTTCGAAAGTTTCACAGGTATCATGAGAGTATGCATTTTGCGTTTTGCAATTGCACATTTAAGGTTCACTACATTTCGGCTGACCATAACATAAGTGCAATGTGCTAATTTAGTGTTGACGTAGCCAAGTATGGGATGCGAAGAACTTAAAACAGTACCTAAACATATTTTAACAGCAATTAGAAATGTTGACACTTGGCGTCTCGATACACTCGCGGCGAAATTAAAAAAAAAAATTGTTGACGTCTCAAATTCTTGTTTGCGTTCGCATTCGCGCCGTGTATTTACGTTTTATTGACGTTACATTGGATTTTCGTTGTGTAAATCACCGTTGAGTTTACAGAATGAATATATCATTCGAGTAATATATTAAGGTAAACAACAACATTTCTGGTTACGTGCAAAATAATGTGTTACCACCGCCATCAGGTTCGATAACATACACATTTAAAAGGGACGCTTTTCTCAGTTAGACAACTTGCTTTTTACAGCTGGTGCGGTCATTTAAACTAAAATGGTCCGGCCTTTTGAGAACACAGGGCTGTTGAAAGTACCATTCAAAGGAAGCTTTTCTTTGACTAGGCCTAATGTATTGAACTGAAATGGTCCACGGATGCATATTTATGATAATGATTGTGCAAAAAGGAGCCTTCATTTTTGAAGAAAATAAAATACTTTAATAATGTTTTATATCAATAGGATTTTAGGTAAGCAGATTGTCAGAGTATCCATGTTCATTCAAGTACGCTTCCAGTACCCTATACATGCATAGGTTTTGCACTTGATCGGTTTGTCTGTGACCAAATTTCAAGGCAGGTAGTAAACCTGTACGGTACTGGGCTCGAGCTCGTTTATCCATGAAGCTACCTTGGATTATTTTAATTAGGCTCATTTCCATCTGTGTCAAAGAATTAGGAGGTTACATTTGCATCTAGATTTCCCAGATGTTTGTCTTGTAAACCAGCATATGTTTTTCGTAACTAATAAATTCCATTTTTGAATGAAGTAAATGACAGCCATGCCACTTCACCTAAAACGAGGTTTCATTTTAGAGAAAATTGTTCACCTGTCGCCGTCAAAAGAACTAGACATGTAAAGTGCTTTTGGAGATGTTTGACAGAATTCTAACTCAATAACAAATCAAATCATGAAGGACTTGAAATGTACGGTTCCAGATTGCGGCAATCTCTGTCACAATCGTGCTTTCCACCATTCTATTAAACAACAGTCTTTCAAAAGTTTCTTAACAAGCTCAAACTTATCACTTCCTAGTCTCCTGCTTTTGTCAAAGGTTCCTTTGGACTATCAGTACTTCTCATTTTTGGGGGGCAATACTTACTTGAATATATTCAAGTAAGTATTGCCCAAAAAAAATATATGGTATTTCTTACAAAGGATGAAAAATGTTAAGAAATTACTTCGTCAAGTGACTTGAGACGATTGTGCCTAATTGTGGTGGCCTGTCGATACCTTCGATGATTGTATCTCAAACAAATGTAGTCCATAACTTTCCGATTTCATTAACGTTTCTGAAGCGTTACTTTGTACTACGAACTCAGAAAACTTACAGTGATGTATTGATGTTTCGACGATAGCGACGCCAAGCCAACGTTGATTTAGCATGATATAAACGAGCAAACTGACCATACCTTATCGTTTCTTAATATTCAAGAATGGACATGTATATGAACACAACCTTAATTGTAACGTTGTATCTGGCATTGTACACATGGTAAATAATGAATGCTTCTTTTGGCAACCAACTTTGGATAACATTGCTTTTGAGGAAATGCGTTTAATATAGGGTTTTTTTTCCCCAGCCAATTTCCTTAGATGTTCATTCACTTTTGAAATCGGTCATTCATTTTCGTCTGAATTTAAGAATCACTCTGAACACGCGTTTCATTTTCACTACCAGAGCATTCGATTCCATTTCAGTTCAATCAATTAACTGATTGAGCAGCACCTTTCGTTTATGTCCATTCAGATTTGTTTGCAAGATTTCTTTTTCGCTTTTATAGGGCGATTTTAAACATTCACCATTCTATTACACTTTTAGTTTAATGCCATCGGCACCATATACAATTAGGGGTTTCGTTTTCATTAAACGACAATAAAATTGGCTGTTCCAGCAATCAATTTAGAAAAGTTATGCTTGCATAAATGAATGGACAAACGTAATTGGCGGTCTGTTTCTCAAAACCGAATGCACGGACAATGAAAACGATTGAACTTTCGTTGAATTGAAATGGGATTAAAGGCGTGCATCCAAATTCAGTCGAAAACGAATGACCGATTTTCAGAAGTGAAAGAACATTTCAGGAAATTGGCTGGGAAAAAAACCTATAGTTTAACTGTTTCTTCGGCCGTGAAGTTAATTTCGTGAGGTTAACTTCATCACCCATTTCTGGTTAGGAAATCAAATAGCAAAATGAGGGTTGGAACCACCTCCAGATGTAACGTCAGGCTGACCATACTGTATACAGGTATACCATGGACTCATGCCAAAGCATCCACCTTCACCTACAAGCTATATCGGTATAAGAAAGGGTTTGAGCTTTTCTTACCAAATTGGAATGGTCGGGATCCTTGCTCCCATCGGCCCAGTTGCCGTTGACCTGCCCACTAACCATCAAGCACAAAATGCACAGAAGCAGCATGACGACGCCCAGGAACCGTCAACGCCTATGTAACTGTAGAACCGTGGTACAGGACACTCAGTCCAGCCTCCGGAAGCTATACTTCAATCTTGCTTTAGAAAAGTCTTTTTAACATCCACTCTTAATTAACATAATTGGTGGACGGGTGGTAGTAGAATTATCAATTCAGATCACCCACGGGCATTCCGTGCGGGTTCCATTTCATAAGACCCGTGTCGGTTCATTTCGTAAACCATGTATGATTAATCGAGGGTGTAATTTGCATATTTAGGGCGTAGTATGGCCAAATTATGAATTGCGTCTTACGGTCAACTGTGTTAAACCAGTCATACGCTTAACATGCATTGCCGATTAATATATGTACAAATTGATGAATAAAGTCTATATCCATATGCGTATAATTTCCTTGGCCAAGTCTGGCCTTGGTGCAAGAGACCTGGCCTTACAAAGGTATACATTTATACAATTCTTGACTTGTAATTTTAATGTTGAACAAAGAAATTGAATACAGGAAGGTTCGAACCTTTGACCGGCGGATCACAGTACCGGTGCGCGGTGCTCTACCAACTGAGCTACGTTGAGAGTTCGCCATTTTTTCAAATGTCTCTGTTCAATTCAGGAGCGCAGATCGGAAGCAAAGTCTTTAAATTATGCCATGCTGACAATAATTGCTCTCAAAATGACGACGCTAGCAACAGAAATGATTTAAACCTGGGACATGTCGAAAAAAGGGGGTCACTTGGAGAGGGTAATTATTTAATTACTTATTTTCTTTGTCCTATATTTGTTTGCGTGTGTTTCAAGTCCTATGCACTCTATGCAGGAATAGAAGCGGGTGCTGTGAGACCAGTAAATATAATACAGTGCGTGTAGTGTTGGACGACCTATAATATAGCTCACTACCTTAATGTACCCTCTGCATAAAACCCTTTTTTGGGTGGCCCCACGATCTACAGCGCGCAGAGCCTCCATGGTAATCTACATAATTATATCCGTTCAATGAAGCCCTCGAGCTAACGACGTATACGTGTTCTTTATGTACGTGTCGGACTTACATTTATTGGTGTCGGGCGTACATCATGTCTGAAGTTACATTAAAAAGAAAAGAAAATCATTTGGAAATGATGTTTTTCTTTCACATGAGTAAAGTTGACTTATTGCAAGCAGACACCAAAAAGTTAAGACGAACCTCAACTTCTAGACCTGATAACAGATTTCGGTCCATGGCCTAGAAGCGAAGACATGTCAATACCTTCATTACCTTCATTCGTTTTGTGTGATATATTTCTGCATGCTGGAATGTGTGGTGCATAATAAGAACATACATTTGGCGAAGAAAGTGGGGTTTTGATAAAACTCTATTCGCTCTGAAATATGTCCTTTTCAGAATTCTACTAAGACTTGAATTCGTATGAAGCTTTTCCATTCACATTCACACTGGACATGGCGAGTGTACGTAATAACCCTCATTATATCATTGAAATACGTCCATGTCCAGTCATTCTAGTTAAATGCTCCAGTTTCAGCAAGCTAGCATGCAGTTCATATACAGAGTTTTGTATTACAGTGTACATTTATTAGAGGTACCAACTGCGCACAATTGTATTGTATTTGATTTCAGCATGGCAGGCATGCATCTGAACAGCAGCAATCATGTCCGTGTTGTATTTTGTCTTGATTACAACAAAGCATATGACATTACAGCAGGATCTTGCTTCTCAGTAAGTAGAGGGGAAAACAAGAACAATTTCTGCAGCTCCAAACTTGTTATTGATGAACCTGTTATAGTAATAACCCCGACGCCGCCCCAATTGGAGAATACCGCCCTAATTCGATAAGGTGTTAATGGAGAGGCGAGGGGCCGGCACCCCTACCGGGCGAGCGGGTCCGCAGTAGCGGGTCCCGGCTCCCGGCTCGAAGCCAACCGCTGATTGGTCCTGACACGTGCAGGTGCTGCGCTGATTGGGAATTAGTCACCAATTGGCGCCGGGGAGGACATTTGAGACGGGCCAATCGGCGGACTGAGGGGCACTTCGTTGGCGGTATAAGGAGACCGACGGCTGTTGTATGATCTGCAGTTTCGCGGTAAAATTTTAATTCAACCGTTTTTGCAGTGACGTCAGTGCGGTAATAATGTCACTGCTGTGCTAAACAAGTAAGACTCGCCACTGAATCAGGTCCATGGTCAGACTGCCACTCTTTCGATTCAAAGTGACACTTCTCTGGATCATTCTTCTTGTCGTTTTGACACGAAAACCTTGGCAAAAGTGACGTTTAACCGAAAACGCAGGTTAGTTTTGACCGGGTTTCCGGGTCAAACCATCTGACCCAGGACTTTTAAGAGGATAGTTTTCAAACCTAACGTGTCTGTTGCTTTATCATTTTTGATATATTTAAACACTTTACCTTTTGTTGTTACCGTAACACTTTTAGCATCCATATAATTTCTTTAATTAACACGGAAAACGCATTGCAAAGTTTGGTACATTGGGTTAAACTCTATACACACTTGCATAAATTATTAGAGAGGGAGTGGGAGACAACGCCATTTTCGTCCCCATCCCAAACAATATTGGGGTAAAGGCCCCCCCCCTCCACCCAGCCCCCCCCCCTTCCCGGGTATCGCCGCCCTTTGATATCAATATTTGCAAGAAAGCTTGGTCCAATTAGCAAAAGAATGAACAAAGCGAACATTAGCATTAAACTAAACAGCACTCTGAGAGCGCAAACTTACGCCAAGACTAAACAATTTCTTGCCATGTTGCCAGTACACCCAAAAGAATCCAAACCAACCCAGATCACTTCCAAAATCTAAACCAACTGTACTTGAACCAAGGACCACCCCTTAAAAAAAATTCATGCAAATCCGTCCTTAACTTTTTGAGTTAGCTTGTTAACAGGCAAACTAAACAACCAAACAAAAGACCAACCGGTTGGTTGGTTGGTTGGTTGTTTGGTTGAACCAACCCCCCAAAATAGCCAACGCCGATGAAAACATTACCTCCTTTGGCGGAGGTAATTAATGCTACTTCTTTGCTAGATAAATATTCCATGTGCGTACGTAGAAGAGGTCCATGCTTAGCACTAGAAGTTTCATGATTTGAAGTTAATATTCCTGGTATCCCGTGCCCAGACATGAAACAGCCGTCGCCGAGTCTGTTCCGAGTGATGTTCCGGAGCTTGTCACAAGTCGGAATCGTTTCAGCTGCTTGGGTGTTTTTCCACCGACACCCGATCCTAACTGCGAAAGCATTAACTTTCTTCGGCATCACTTACATTTGTTTTGGTCATCTCGTTTCCCTGTAATATGTTTGCTGCTTCTGGTTTGTGGGCAGAGAAATCTGTTTGACCAGCTGTCCTAGTTGGCCTACTTTCTGGTAACTCTCAGAAGTGTTTCAAAATCGGTTATAAGAAAATTTCACAGTGTCAAACAACATCCATATTACATTTCAAGCCAGTTGCTTCAATGGTATGTACCATGTCCCGACGGTACTTTTAGAATGAGTCCCGATCGGTGCACGTGTGTGAAGGGTCTTACAGAAAGTATAGACCTTATATTTTAAACAGAAAACATCGAACATGATGTGTTTGTTTGGAGACAAAATGTCCGTATTTCATCTCGCTTCACACTGCACGAGTCCGAACCTTCTAGGAAGATACTCCTCAAGATATTCGAAGAGGGATTTCAGAATTTAGTTTGGAAGTGATTGATTGTAACAGGGTCTAGTAGGCATTCGGTTTTGTGTTTGGTCTTTCCTAAAAAAAAAAATATATATATATATATTTATATCTACGTGAGTTTCATACTGCCAGCTAGTTCACCATTACTGTGTGGTGTCCTTCGGCAGGACTGGCTAACACGTTTTTGCCAATTTGTAAAGGATGTGGATATTGTTTGCTAAGTTTAGATTACGAGTTGTATGCACTTTGTGACCAGCTTCATTATTTATATTTTATTATGGAATCTTTGAAGATTTTAGAAGGATTTTTGTTATGAGCATGCTGAGCAGGGATATTCATATTGGTGCATACTTCCGTTTTATTATGATGTCCTTGTAGCGTTCTTTAAGTCAAATGTTTATCCTTGACCTGGGGGCTTAAGTCAAGGGCCAATGTAAGCGAGTGTCTCATGTCAGCCGGACACTAATTAGTGCGGACTCGAGTCTGAACATCACCGCGCCACAGTGTGACCTGGAATTCCGATTGGAAGAGCAGTGTCCCGCCTCCAACTAATTCGCAACAACGCGAACGGGAAATTGTAAACTGTTCTGGCTAATACTGCACCGCTGGGCGTGCGGTCGGATGATGTTCTCGTCAGCGAGTCGGGAAATATGCGAAGCGACTTAACAAATACTGAATAACGTAAAGGGTAAATGCAAAGCGTCAGTATGTAATCTACGCGCGGTATAGCGTTCCATGTTCGTTTTGATGTGGTTTAATTTCCCGAACAAACACGGGAGAGTGTGGTGGATTAATCCAAATGTCATAACGGTTGAAGATTTGTAAGCCAAGCTGTCTTCCCTTGGAGCTACCGTGGCCGATATTTTAAAGATTGTCAGAGTCGTTTAAAGGAGGTTTACCAATAAGGCATACTTTCAGTTTTTGGAGTCAAATGGTCATTGCTACTGTCATTACACACTCTAACAATTCTGAAAATAATAACCTATGCTTTTAAAGTCCTTTGTGGGGCGCTGTGGTCCAATGGTTACGGTGTTCGACTCATGTGCCGTGGTAAGTGGGTTCGAACCCTGACGGTGAAAATGGTGCTTGTGTTCTTGGGCAAGGCACTTTACTACGATTGCCTCTCTTTACCCAGGAGTATAAACGGGTTCCTGGGAAGCTAGATACCAAATTGCGCTGATCTCGAGCTGCTGCAGAAAACAAATGGTCTCAATAGGATGAACAGTGATTATAATTATAAAGCGATTTGAAACGTAAGGTGTAAGGCGCTATATAAGCACCACATTATTATTACATTATAAAAGGTGCAAACTACATCGTTGACAAACTTCACATTTAAACTTCTTCAATTTAGAGACATTTCATTTTAATAAATACATCCATGACACTGTGATTAACATTAATTAACAGAAATTCGAAACTTCTTGATAAATAATCGGCCGAAATGTGTCAGTGCATTGGTTCGAAAGAACAACTTTGTTACAGTCAACGTTTGTTTATTTACAGTTATTTGTTCCAAAAATCATGCAACTGTTATTACATTTAATGTGGAAATATTATAAATTGGATGTGTTTACACTAAGAACACGCTTGAAGGTTTACAGTGCAGTGTGGTACTCTGTTCGGTTGAACGTTTTGTTACGCTTTGAAAGCGTTGGGAAACGGTGCGAAATTTTTAAACTACGTTTACTTTTTCAGAGTGTGAACGCATTACACTTTAAACACACTGGACAAAGTGTGGAGACGTGACTTAGAACGCTGAAAGTTTACACTGTAACAAAACTGCTCAGTCACTTTAAGTCACTTTAATCTGTAAATTTCCTCATACTTCTTTTAAACGCAGTGTTTCGTTCAAAGTTCTTTTTCTAAAACGTTCGCATTTATAAAAAGCAAACGTTTTACAATGTAATATGTTTTTAGTGCGTGTTCAGAGAGTAGACAGGAAGTTGTGAACTCTGTTAACTGGACCGTTTATCCGAAGAAACTAAGTTATGTTAAACTATTCCGATTGGTAAAAAAAAAATGAACAGTGAATAAGAGGATTCTGAGTTTAAGCATATGCAACCTAGCTTCTTATCCACGTGTCATATATGCTTAGTTAAAACAGGTTAGGCATATAAGGGTGAAATAATCTCCCTTTTTAAACCAGATTTCCCTCAGCATTTTGCTTTTCTTTTTTCAATCTGGTTCGTTAGTAAAAACGTCATACACGTGCGAGCACCTCTGATTACTAGCGCCCATTGTCTAAACCTCAAAGTGCGTTAACTTCCGGTTCCATTCGTGCTATGCTATACCGTGTGAAGTACGTATGGTTAATAGTTGAGATGAAGATACACTAAAAAAAAAAAGGATTTTGCGACAGGTACAATTAGAAAAAAGGAACACTTGTTTTAATTGTTTTTTATTCAACAATTATCGCGCGTACCTATTTCCCGACCAACATCTCTATAACACCTGCCCTTTCATTTAAATGCTATAAATAATATCTCGTGGTTGGGAAGCGTTTATGAGGGTCCCACAGGGCTGGGCTATAATTCTCTTTGCACATTATGTCTTGTACTCTGGCTGACTGCCACTTGTGTGTTGGGCAGTGCTATCCTATAGGGTTACCCCTAACGCTAACGAATGGGCTAAATCACAGGCCCGTTGTGTAGACTTGCACTGATGCATGAAATACTTTAAAAAGAATAGCAATTCTGAATCTTTTGGATATAAGTTTCTAAACTCTAGGCTCAGCCTTACAACGTTTGCTTTGTCGTGTTTCTCAAGATTTTTTTTACTATGAAAACATGTCACATTGAAGGCCTAATACAGTTGTCATGGCGAGGACAAATAATTCAATTTGGTCAGCCAATAACTGTTAATACTGTAGTTTAATCTAATAGAGGGGGCCTGACATACTTCTGTGTGGCAGGTCACGACGCATGGCACAGCATCTGCGCATGTCTTAGTTCTATTGGTCCTCTGCGATTGCGCAAACTATGCTTTATTGTTGCACACAATACTTCTCCGAACTGACCAAATAATTAGGCTGGCCATTTCGTAAACCTAGGCTTCATTCTCAAGTTTTACTGTAAACCGCTCACTGTCTTTTAAGATTTCATAAGTATAATTCATTGCAACGGAGTTTTGCCATTCAATTGTTCTCAGGACAGATATAAAGGTGCAGCTGGAAACGAAGCCAGAGTTTGCGAAATGGCCAAGGACTCCAAGCAATGAAATTGAATAGGTTCTTTCTATCACACTACTTTACAAAATGAGTAAAAAAATAGGTAACAATTAAGTACAGGAAAAAACACAGTGCATTGACCATTCCGAAACCTTCTACAACAACGTGTCCATAATTTATACATTTAAAATATTTACAATTGCCTTGGCCTAGGCCGGACAGGTATTAATTTAATCAAATTTTAAGTAAGTAGAGCTACAAACGTGAGGAGTGGTATATGTATTTTTTTGGCAAAGAAATGCTGTTTTATTTATTATTAGTTTTTTGGCTAAGTTTTTACTCTGAGCTTGCGCAATTTTGTTGATGACTTCAATAAAAATGGAAAGTGTTGCCACCTAACGTGTTGAGAGTTTTCTAATCCGAGCTTAATTTGTCACGTGACACCAGTCTCGTGATGTTGATATGATGGCTGAACCTAACAAGGAATCGTGTCTATCAAACAGACTAGACTCAGTTGATTAATGCTAACATAGGCACAACCAACTATAAAGTTTAGTCACATATTCCTATTTTAATTGGATTTGACGCATTATCTTAGCATTTATGATTTTCTGTGAGTAAAAAGTTATCTTTCTGCTTATAAATATGAGCTCCTCAGAAACGATTACGCTGTGAATACTTCATCTTATCTTCATGAGGTTGCTGATTGCGTGAGGGCTTCCTCGATCTGCGCATGCGCGCCATCGGGGAAGTCACTCGACGATGATTGGCTGTAGCACGACGATGCGGGCGACGCAGGCGGTGACGAGGGCGGTGACGTCAGGGAGGACGGTGACGTCACGGCTTCGTGGAAATCGCTCTTCTTGGGTCGACCTTTGGGCTTTGTGGGCGCCTCTTGGCTACCACCTTGAAGAACCTGTAAAAACACACACAAACAGGATATATGCCATGAGAAAATATTGCCTGTAAAGAACCCCGTTGGTTTTGTACACAATTTCAAACTGGATTTTCGGCCAATTGTGGACACTCTTGTCTATTGTACCGGGTCCACTCTTGTTGCACACTGTTGTTGCACACTATTGAATAGATCCACTGTTTAATAGCGGGTCCACTATTAAATAGGTCCACCATTGAATAAGTATACTATCGAATAGGTACATTAGGAGGGCGCCATTTGCTTTGGGCAAGGGAAACATTCTCTTTGTAATAAACCAAATGAATATTAATAGCGCCCTCCAAGTATGTCTATGTCTAAGTATGTTTATTAGTGTCTTCATTTGCCTACCTGTTTTTTCCACTTCATCCTCCGATTCTGGTACCACGTCTTGACTTGTAACTGGCTCAGGCCCAGCGTGTCCGCCAACTCGAGTCGGTCCGGGGTCGAGAGGTACTTCTGCCGCTCGAAGCGCTTCTCCAGCCCCATGAGCTGCAGCTCCGTGAACACGGTGCGGCTCCGGCGGCACTTCTTGGCCGAGCGGCCCGGGGAGGCGCCGGCGGCCGGGTCGTGCGGCGCGCCACCCGGCGACTTGCCCCGCAGGTAGACCGGCACGGGCACGGGCACGCCGAGGTGCGAGAGAGACGCCGGGTGGTGACCGGGCGCGGAGCCGTAGACTCCCCCGGTCGCACTCAGGGAGTGGTGGTGGTGGTGGTGGTTGTGGTAGACGTTAGGGCTGAAATGGTGGTGGAGTGGATCTGGAAATAAATACATCAATCCTTTGTAAATCTATCAATCAATGTTTGTTCATGGAGTAAAAGTAGAAACTGCAAGGTGAAGGTAAAAAAGGTCCCATAGCCATTACTGGCCGTAGGGGCAGAGGGATGTTAGAGGTCCACTGTGTCTTGGCCGCGGCAAATGACTGGCGGTACCCATCTCCTTTCCTCTCGCTTTACTCTCGACAATAATTTGAGATAATAAGGAAAAACTGACATGTAAAGTTTATAAATGATTGTTTTCGAAACTATAACCATCGCTGAAAAAAGGCTTTTGTTGCACACTTTTTATATTTGATCCGTCGTTTTTGTGACTACATTTGTCTTACAGAGACTAAGAATGTGGACAATCTTTGCGTTTAATTTGGTAAAATAGCACATGATAGCACAAATAGCGTCGATCTTGGGCCAGTAAAACGTAAAACATAAAACACAATAAATTGTAAACTGTAAATTGTAAAAATTGTATATAATTGAAACAATGGACAGCCGGCAGTCACTGAAAACGAGAAACATAAAAAGAACTGACCGGAAGTGATCAATTGCTGCGGTTCGTGTTTCTAGTTAACGGTTTGTAAATTATATGGGTTGAAAGGAATCCTTGATTCTTTGTGAAAGGGCAGACCGCGTAAAAATAATGTCACTGTTTAAACTGCGGGTTTCGTTTAAACGTTTTTGAATATTTGTAAACGGATTTAGAAAAAACATGTTTAAACGTTTAAACGTGTAAATGTATGAACATCAACGAGTAACCCAAAAAAAATATCGAGGTTGGTTTACCAAACTGTTTCGACATCAAAGATTGCACTTTTGTTATGCTTTTGCGTAGCTGTTTACTTTACCGCGACCTTTTGCACTAAGGTCGCCCTTGCATGCCCTCGTGACTTCGTATGACAGTTGCACCAAATTACCGGTACAAGACCGCCTGTGTAACAAATAACATTTTCATCTCCGTTCCGCACAGAACGGTTTAGAAATTTCCACCCCAAAAATTGATCCAAGCCGACCCCTAACAGTTTATCTGGCTCCCTAAAAACGCATTATTGTCGGATACAATTCTCGTCCGGCCCATGGAAGAGCCATTAAAAAACAATAAATGCGACCGGCTGTCGAAAACCGACGATTGAAGAGGAAAAAAAGTCCGGAACCACGCTGGCTCGACGACCGACTAGCAAGTTGATTGGGAGACCACCGGGGGAAAAACAGCGCGCAGGGCCCGGCCGGCTTGCGGTCCCGACCCCGCTGAACGGTGGCGACGCGTGCTCGCTGTTTTCTGGCAGAGCCGAGGCGATTGCACCATTACTCCGGGTGAAACTGTAGTGCAAACTCTCCAGAGTGCTCCTGACCTACCAAGGCATCCGCACAATAAGGTCAACAGTTTTCCCGATAGAGGCGCGAGTAACATTTGGTACGAATTTCGGCAGAGCCGTGTCTGATTATTGGTTCCTCGTGGACAGTTTCAAAGCTTATTAGCAAACGTAGGCGGGGTGGTAGGAAGTTTGTCTGGCCTCGCAACAGTGCCCTGTCAATACGCGGCGATTTGCATTGACATGAACCACACTCTTAAAAAATATTTCCCACGAAACTTTACTCCTTAATTAACACAATCGATGGAATGCATTTTTTTTTACATTAATTAAAACCAGACCTTGCCGTGTTGTACAATCCCGTTGTATTCATTTTCAACTGCTAATAAGGGAATAAATGCGTGCTTGGGAGGTATTTAACGCTCTGTTTAAGACCGGTTGGAGTCTCGATGCTGATAATAACCCGAGCCAAAGACGATTGTAATCATCAGCATCCAGACCGGTCCAAGACAGAGTGTTTAATACCGACCAATTACATGTTTAGTTCCATTTATAAATTCCTTTAAAACAATCCTGGATCCATACCAAGATCTGGATCACTTCCCAAATCTAATCACTTGTACTTGTACCAAGGACCACCCCCATTTTTTTTAAAATACAAATCCGTCCATAACCTTGTGTGTTATCTTGTTAACAGACATACCAACCAACCAACTAACCATCATACTATCTGGTGAAAACATAACCTCTTTGGCAGAGGTAATAATATAGACAAGGCTCGGCCCCATCGTGAGGTAAAGGCCACACCGCGCTGTCGTCGTCTCGATAAGGCGACCCGCGTGGGGAGGGCTGGGCCCAATTATCGCCAACTCCCCGTGATGAACTACCATCCTGCGCGCGGTGGCGAGAGGGACAAACTAATAATTGGTCCCTCTCACAGAGATTGTCACATACAAACAGTTCCAGAAGGAGGAGATGTGGAATGTCGTGTGTCAATTTTGGCCCAGACATCAGCAGGAAATGGTAAGCTGATACGGGTTTAATAATTATCCGTAGAAGTGCTAAGCGACTGCGAGCCAAGATGCTTAGATTGTTTGACGGATTAATTCCCCCTGTAGGTATGCAGCAAGGGTCTATCATGCATCGGTGATGATTTAGTAAGCCCATACAAGCTAGCCTAAGAAACATTGATCATTGTATTGGTTTAATGCGATCAGTTAAGCTAATAAGCCATTTAAAAAAAAAATTAACTGAGCAAAAAGTGTTTGGTGTTTTTTTGGGTTGTTGTTGTTGTTGTTTTTACTTCGGAGAGTATATATGATTTCACATGTTATTTAACAATGGTCATTTCTGGGTAAAAGAAGATAAGCGTAAATAATGAAAACCATATCCTTCTTTTTTATGATTTCATTTCTAGTTCAATATGATTTACATTGAAATGGTTGAATTCTCCTCGTATTTGTGACGGAGCAAGGACGAAATAAATCAACGTCTCGCCTTTTCGCAGAACTGTCGTCGCAGAACGACTGATAATTTTCTGGAATTGGTTTCAGAAAATATTGACATTTCACTTATTTAAAAATATAACTTCACATAGCGTTGTGTTTATTGCGAGGTTATCGTGTACTCGTTTTGCCGTTCAAGAATACAGTATTCCAGTGGTGTCTAAGCGCTGAAAAGTTGACCCTGGAAGAGTTCACTTGAAACAAACAGTTTTCCGATAATGCTGAGCAGCAGCGGGCGCTGCCGGGGCAGCTCCGCCGTGCACTTAGCGCTCCACGCCCGCGTGCTGTGCCGGCAGGCGGGGCGCTCATACCAAAGCCACTCCATTAAAATTGCTGCCGAATCGAACCCCCGACTGGCAGGGAATGTGTGTACGGGCATCCGATCCAGTATGAATTCGATTAATGTGTCTTAATGGAGGAAGCTATTTATGCTGATGTTAATGTTTCCGTTTCATCAGATAACCCGCATGCCTTCATTTTAATTGGGCTTTGGCCCAATTTTTACATGCAACTTCAAATGCCTGTCCATTCAAAACAAAAATAGGCCTACATTTCCAATTTAAGTCATCATTAGTTGAAGTGATACGTTGATATGTGCGACCCAAAATACCCATGAGTATTTGGCCTTAAGCTAAATGTTGCACGACGTAAATCACTAGAAACAGTCAAAACATTTAGCAACACATTACACGTTTCTGCATATTATTCAGATAACAGACAAATACAAATAATAATACCGGAGCCTTATATAGCGCATGTATCTACCAACAGTTAGGTACACAAGGTGCCGGAAATTATGTTTATTATTAGAAACAGGTGAATGAAGTGAGAAATATGAAACCCATTATGTAGCACCTTTATAATGCGTGCTATATAATGAAGCGATCAGCACACTCTGCCTTTTTTTACTGAAATATAATTAACCACCGATACTCATTTTTAAAAATCTGGTAAATATTATAGTCCGAGGAACATTTTCCAAAATAGTTTACATACAATTAGAGGGTGCATATACTTATTTTCTTTTGCGCAGCACAACGTTGCAACGCGTTGGTGTTCTTTTTTATAGCATGGTTGTTTCAAAAACACTTTTCGAATTTTCAAATTAAAAAAGTATCAATGATAATAATACGTTTTTTTTCAACAAACAGATCTGCCCTGACAACACTTAACTCTCTGAGCGGACTGACTTTGGCATGTATGGCCCTGCATTGACTGCATGCATTTATAAGATTGTGGTATAATACTATCAAGATGACTAGGAACACATATTGTGCATCTTTCTACTCTTCTTAAATGTATACAAACTATTTAACATTACTTTTTTGTTATTTTTATTGAAAAGTGCACTTCTTTAAACATTTAAAAGCTTGCATACTTTTTTTGGACAACGGAGGGCGCTGTTGCTGACAAATTGTGAATTGTGAACCAAAATGAATTCATTGAAACATCTATGAGAAAAGGTTGCTCACTGGCTTACTTCTGACACAACAAGTAATCAACAAAGAAAACAAATTTACAACAGCAAAATATACAAAATTCTGGCAATTTTTGGTGCAGAAATATCTGTAACAGAGGTTTCTGCATGAAATGACGTCACATGTTTATTCACGAATATGTAAATTCTCATTAGCATACAAACCAACCAGGCACCAAAATCCCCTAGAAAATGGCAAAACGAAATTGAAAACAAAATGTATAAAATGGCACACTGAATGTACATATTCAATGATTGCATGAAATTACATTTACATTTCATTGGCCCTTTAAACGTTGATCTAGTCCAATCCCATTCTTTTGATCAGAGGTTGTCAGAACCGATATTATGGTCCTTACTAAACAACCTTTCAGTTTTGTAAAATAAAGCTAAAACCTTAGAAAGCGAACTGGACTTGTTCATAGTCTTATCTGACTGCCCTGTATTGTGGTAAGACCAAAAATATCCCAGCCAAAGCGGTTTACCCAATAAATTCTAAGAACTCACAATCATCCGATTTTTTTTCTCTTCTTTTAAATTCCCTTTCTTTCTTTTTCTTTTACCAAAATGGCATACCGGAAAGTATGGATAATTTTCACCAAGTACAATAGCCCAGGGCTTTTTGACAAAACACGTGCAGGAACGCGTATTAATATATCGCTATGATAATATAAAATATCTATTTTGAGACATTATTTCAACGGTTTTTCCCCGCATTCACTGGTGAAAATATTCTTCCCTGAGGTGTACACGGTGTACATTTGTTTTTACTGGTTTTGAGAAATGAACTGGGCAGTGTAGGGTCAGTTGAAGCTATCTTAAAGGTATAGTGTATGTGCTATTTTCGATGCTTCACTTAAAGCAGTATTATACAGCATGAAATATCGCCGAAAAAAATACGTGTTTTGGATTGTTTACTTATACTCATTAACATGTCTTGTTGAAAGGAAACTAACGTTATGTCTAAGCATTCGCGAGAAAGACCCCTGGTTGTTTACATCGGACACGACGGAGTACGCATACGTTTTTCATGTCGTTTTCATTCACGATACGTTAAGCGTTGTGTGTGTCCCATAAATGCCACACAGCACCGATACATTCCAAACACGTTTGTTGTTTCTTACGCGTCCGCAGAAGGCGAAAACTGCGCGGCTGGAATCACAACTCGCACCGAACAGCTCGATTTTTCGGAACAAATTGTGACCGCCATTTAAACTGCGTCTTGTAGCCCAAATGGGCGCGTTCCAGGCAGTTATGCCCCCTTTAAACTGAATATATGCTTGTTTAGTCTGTCGGCATGACGTTACAAAGGTAGTTGCAAACTTATTAATGGCAAAAGATACGGCTGCTTCATTTAGCACCAGATATGTCTCTACCGGCCCTAGTTGCAACTGTAACAACACTGCAGTGTCTGATTTCATGTTCACACGTAATGCAAGCCTGTGGGAATATTTATATGCAACAGTAGTTTCTGTTTTGTTTTCGATCCCGATTATTCACCCAAACTTCTCATCTTGCCAGATTTGTAGGTAAAGAGATCGCGTGACACGATGACAAACGTTTGAGTATAAAACCAACCGATTATTCATCATATTGAAGTTTCAATGCTGTGTATTTCGTGTATTTCAAGTTTCACTTACTGCAGCAACTGCCTCGAGTCAAAGGAAAAGTATACAATCGCCCTTGCAGAAATCATAAGTCTTGAAGTTAACTGGCTAAATGGGTGGATGATCATTTGTGTAGTTAAAATATTAAAATGGGATCATACTGCCCCTTTTTGAGATGAACACTTCACTCTAGTTTTATCAGTCTAGTTTTATCGTCGTTGATTTGTATAGCTGAAATTAATCCACTTTTCTTTATGTCTTTAGTATTTTAATGATGTTCTTATTAATGATATGATTTTCTAATTGAAACTGTAAAGTTGACGCGTTTAATACCATTTAATTTAAAATCAAAATTGTGTACGTAATTATTTGTAACCGTTTGATATTTGAATTTCATTATCTCGTGTTAAGCTAAATTTAAGCATCTAATGTGATTTTAAAGGTACTGCTTCCATTTTTAAACTCTCCCCTTTGAACAATTATACCTTTTTGAAAATAGTAAATTCACTAATTAAGTGTTTTTACAATTTCTCTATCATGCAAAGCCTCACGTCGCTTTTACAATCATAATCTGCCAGTTGATGTAATCAACCCAACCTGTATTGTATTACAATTCAATTCAAATGTGTCGCAAATTGTGATAGATTCCAGATTAACCTGCACACTTGAATTAATGACATGAAGAAATTTGATTAACCTTTTTTTTTTTGGTTAACCGATTTTATTTTAACCAGTCAAAACGTCCGTATGTAATTGACCGAAATTGGGAATCAAATGGCTTCTGTGATTGGTCCGATTGCGCTCCAACTGCGCCTGGCTGCATCTTTGAATGTCACTTGATTGGTTCAAGTTCGCGTCGCGCGGCTGAAAACCTCCCCTCAATTATTTCAGGTGTGTCGTGTTCGCATTTTATCAATTCTTACTACATATTAACTGAAAAAAGTCACCGAGCTACGGAAGTACCTGGGCAATTCAGCGTGATTTCAGCCGCTTTGCCCCCGAACTTTCTCCATCTTCAAAGGCCCGCCGCCCAGTCATCGCCTCGCGCGGCACGAGACAACCCGGGGTTATTTTATCGCCGAAATCGATCCTGATTAAAAATAAAACAATCACAACAATAGCACCCGCACCACACCGGTGTGCCCTGCATTGTTTCACGGACGCCATTGTCACGCGTGCTCGCAGCGCTAATGAGATTAATTAGTCATTGTTTTTAGGACGCGTGGCAGGAGGTTCAGACAATGAAACACCTGTGGAAGTTGGCTTGGGGCCAAGTCCAAATACAGCGCTCCCCGATGGAGTTAAATAATCAATATTTCTGACCAGTCCGGATCTGGAACTTTTCCAAGAACAAAAAGACAGGTGCGAGCAGTGTAACTGACCAATCAGACAATGGCATCAAAAGAATAGAGTAATGCATTGTGATATATTCGATACAAAGGCGGGACTTGCTCTCGCCACTTCCAGGTGACAAAATTTAACAAGCCTCTATATCTTGTTAAATTAGCAGTATATGACTTGCAAAATTGGCTGGCGGCCTTTGAACAAAGACACTGACGGGCTGCCAAAATAGAGCTTATAAGCTCAGTTGGTAGAGAACCGGTGCAGTATATTTCTAAAGACGCAGGTTAAGTAGCAACTAAAGCCAATTATACCTTTCAACTCATTTCATTAAATTTTGACCCATTTTTTTTCTCATTCTGAATTATTTGAAATTTGCGCTTTGATACTTAGGTAATTTCGATTTGGAATTCGACCGAATGTGGACAGCAAAGTTCAATTTTTCACGTACATGTACATTTCCGACATTTCTCATTATATTCTCTACTGAGTTTCGAGATGATTCCCCACTCAATTCTTTTTTTGAGACCATAATTTCCAAAACTAAATAATGAGAAGAAAATAAGTTTGAACTTTAAACACAAGGGAATAAACAGAGCCAAAACAAACCTCTAAATCAAAAGAAACATGCAGAAGTTACTTCGTGGGCAAAAATTGTTCTTTGTAAAAATGCAACGAGGCATTGAACGCTTTGAATGTGATTCTTGCGAGAGCGCGGATAACAATTAGACTCATTCGCAGAATCGTATCACAGTAGCACGTAGCCTACTTCACCTTAAGCAACGGCGGTGTATAATAATGTTGGCAATGTTTTAATGGATTCATTCTAAACTAATAAATGATTACAGAGTCCTTAAATGCCGTCCTAACATGTATGTTTATGTTACAAGTCATAGTCGCCCGCAGAAAAGGAAATAATGAAACATCTTAATTTGCGTACGCCAATTTCTTTATTGCTTTTCAAAAACGCGGTGCTTTAGCGTACGTTTGAATCAGTATCAGATTAGTATAATCCTTTTGGATGAGATAGTCTTATAACTTCTCAAGCAAGATGTCGCAAGTTATATCATAGGCAATATTTATGAGTGCTTGCAAACATGATACAAATAGGGACACCCAATGCGTGCAATACTTTGCACTGGAATGCAATACTTTGAAATGTTTGATTTTGCCTCAGTTGCTTATAGTATCTGAGGTTATTTGTAAAATTTAAATATTTATGAATAACACGATTGAGACAAATGTTACATTATCACATTCCCCTTTCGCACCTCCGAATGTATGATTGAGCCCTCTACAAATTGGAGGGCGGAAAGGTCATCATTGTGATAACTGTTTCCATGCTGTTCAATGTCGCCTGTATTCTTGGCCTTAAAAGGAAAAAACGGAGAATGGCTTTCGATGAATGTGCACCGTTCTGGAATCATACCAATAACGAATCATGACACTTCGCCACATGGGACGCTCAAGTAACATCGGATCCAAGGACGTATTTTTTCTTCTTCCCAAGATAATAGTTATACTTATATTATGCTGCTGTTCAATATCCTTACAATCACTAGTCACAGTTTGAACTCTCGTCTTTTCGTTGTGAAAAGTGGATAAGCATGAATATTTTTTTGCACCGAAACATCATGTTTAAAGAAAACCTCGTCCTCGCGTATGGTTGGAATAACCGAAAAAAATAGAATGAACGAAAAAATCGAAAGAAGATGAGATCACGGGGGAAAAAGATTTAGTGGACAATAATTTCAAATATATTCTTAATCGCATTGCTTGGTTTATAAAGTCATTGAGAAGTATAATTAGTGGTATTTAATTAGCCACATGGTGTTCAAAAGTAGGAAATCAAATCGCCCAGACGGTCTTAAAAATGATGGCAACAACGTAATGCAGATGAATGATTTCGGTGCCGCATTCTTCATTACTTTTTTTTCTTCAATAATTTCCTTTCTTTATAATTGCTCTTTGCATTTAAGAAACTACGGAAGGGAGACTCAAGGTTATTTTCACTCTTTTTGAGCTGAAATATGGGAGGCAGTCTCGTAAGGATGTAAGCAGTTATTAGTTCATGGAAAAATGAAACAAATAATACATGGAGAGTGATAGATAAAGACTCTCTTTTTTTTTTAAAAATTGAGATGCAAAACCGCACAGTGAAATTGATGTTCTCAAGGCGGAATAATTTAACGTGCTGTTTAGCAACAGTACATTCTTTAATATAAGTGAACGTTTTGATAATTCGGTAGATTACTTTTTGGAGAAATGCAAAGGGACGGCATCATATACGGGCATGTTAAAATCCTATCACTCTTAGCTTCGTTTGCGTGAATAATCTTTGAATTCGTACTTTTTATAATTTTTAATTTTCAGACTAAGTCTAGTTGTAGATTCGTTCTTTGTTAACACCTGTGAATTCTTCCTTATTACAGCTTTCTAACGAAATGTCGAGTTAACACATCTTCTGCTTGTTTTGTTTTAGAGAATGACACTTTTCATAGTGCGGGCCTGTCAATAATCAAATAATTTACAATTGTGTTTTAGAACAAATTAGAAAAAAAATCATCATTCTTTTCAAAATGAAGGATCGTTTATTTACCATTAAGACGAAAGAACGTTCTGGCTGCCGATGTTTGAAGTAACCTGGAAGATAGAATGCACTTGGCCGCGTCTGATGTCGATGTCCCGCCGTGTTTTTGCGCGTTCTCCCGTCGACCTTTCCTCCCGTCCCCGCTGCTGCTCACTCCCTGCTCCGCGGACGGCGAGTGTTGCAAGATGTCCTCGATGGAAAACCCGGTCTTTTTTGCCGTGGCTGCGCCGGCTGACGATACGGGGAGGAGTAGGGGAGCTGACGGCGGCGATGTCCGCTGTGCCGCGGTGGATTGCCTCGTTAGCCCGACCGGGAGCGAGCCTGGGTAGGCCGCGGGCAAAAGGAGCGGATTCCCCCGTGCCGTGTCCATCAGAGCCACGCCAAATGGTCCCGCCCGGCCTGTAAAGTCGTACATACTTGCCACAGCGTTCATATCACTAGCACTATGCGTCCTTCCTAAAGTCTAGTCCTTCACAAAACTCCGATATTATCAAAAGAATAGCAGCAACCGATGCCTGAAATCTGGCAAAGTGCGCGGTTGTTGTTAAACTTTACATCTAGGAGAACTTTCGAAGGGGTTTTAATCAGGTGATTGCACAAGTTCTGAAATTGGTCCTCCTGACAATTATTATGCCCACAGGGAATGATTGATCATTTTCATGTGAGAGGCTCACAAGATAAAATCTGAAACTGCGAACATCTCGAAACAGAATGTGAACTGTTTTTGGAGAGTTAACGGTTCAGTTTAAAAGTCAGCGAGCTTCACTTGTTACCAAAGGTTCAGTTTTACACTGAGTTAGGTGGTGTAGAGCGCGTGTGTTGAGTTGCTGGTCTGCAATGCACGGCTGAGAAAAGGAGCAGCCTGCCTCAACAGTCGCAAACTGAATGCAAAAGACCCCCGCGGATCTGAGAGCAACACTCAACACTTAACCGCACCGATTACCAACCTGAATTGGAGTCTAAGCGGTCAATTTGCCAAAACCTGCTAAGCACTTCATCCCACAACCTAGATCTGCTTAGCGCGTAGGTGCATGCTCGCCGTGTTGGTCAATCAGTGCAGCTAGCCTCTGTACGCTAAGCGAGAATTCTGTAAGCTGGTTATCCCGTGGTGGGCCGGCCGCGGTGACCGCACTAACACACCAATCAGAGGAGCAATGATCGGCTACTTATCCACCCTGGTGACCAGGCCCGTGTTTATCCTGGTGCCATGGTCGAAGCTTAAAGGAGAACTCCCTGCGGTTATACTTCATTACTCTAGCTTTGCACCTGCAAGAAATGCAACGTTGGCGGCGCGCTCCATATAACGAGTTGAATTCTTTGCAGCGTCAGTAGGTTTTGAAGTTAACCAATCATACGATGACTTCCTCAGGAGGCCATCGTTTGGGACATACTTTTTATTCAATAATCTTTTGTGTGCAAAGTTTTGAATTCAATGGGATCTTCGATAATGTCTTCGATAAATTGTCCAGTAGCAAAAAGAAACCTGTTCCTTTAATTTAACAAAAAAAAATGCTTCATGACGTCATCATTCTATCAATTTACTTCCCGCGTACTAGCAAATTTTTTGTATTTGAAGTTACATTTCTTGACAATCTCTTCTGTACGTGTATTTCAAAAGTTGTATTTTGATGGCGTCAAATACTTTCATAATTTAAATAAAAATTATAAGAACAGAAAATAGCCCCAAAATGAAAGTAAAGTTTGGTGAAAGTTTTTGCTTGTTTTTGGTTTTGTTTGCCGTAGCTGTTTTAGCTTACATAATTTGCGTTATTATGTTGATTTCATGTCATTGTTTCGTGTGACAGGTTTTGTTTCAATTTGTTATTTATTTGTTTCACTTTTTTGTCTTGTCTATATTTATTTATAATCAACTGCCATTTCAGCTGGAGCTTGCAAGGGCAGTCTCTGACTGGAAATAAAATCTTAAATGAAAATCCTTTAAGTGCCAAAATAGCGACTTACACCTAAAAGGTTACGAGCTTCACGGGGCGGGTCTATCGGTCCCAGTGTGTTTTTACAGGTGGGAAGCGTCAAGCCGGGGCGGGCCGGGTAGTACGCTTAGACCGGCCCGCTAAAGAGTCGACTCCGTGGGACAAGGGCCGTATCGATAGCCGCTGAACGCCGTAGGGGATGCATGGCTTAGAAACAGTTGACATATCCTAGGATCAGGGTTGTAGTATAGTTCATCACAAGCAAATCACAAGTTCAGTCGCAAGAACTTGGGAATGAAAGTAATGTCTTTGTCTAAATTATGGCTTGTGACCTGACGCGGGAATGTATCACTTGTAATTGAGTTGTGATTAAGTTGTGATTGAGTAGTGATTGAGTTGTAGTTGAGTTGTGATGGACTTGTGATGTACCTGTGATGTACTTGTTATGGATTCGTAATGGACTTGTGATTGACTTGTGATAGACTTTTGATTGACTTGTGATGGACTCGTGAAGGACGTGTGATTAACTTGTGAAGGACTTGTGATGGACTTGTGATAGCGTTGTGATGGACTTGTAATGGACTTGTGATTGAAATGTGATAGACTTGTGACGGACTTGCGATTTACGTGTGATGGACTTGTGATGGACTTGTGAAGGATTTGCGATGGACTTGTGATGGACTTGTAATGGACTTGTGAAGGACTTGTGATTAGACGTCGAACTTGTGAATTTATAAAAGGGAGTTGCGATGGATGCGACTACTGTCCCGTGGAGATGCGGGTGTTTTTCAATCACGGTGTCATCTCTGGCTTCGGATTCAAGACATGAAGGTCGCTGTCGTTGGGGAATCTGGCTGAATGCATCGTTTCATATAGATTACTTCATGAATGTCATATCATGTAATGCGCTGCCAAATGTGTGTATTTCGTGTGACTTGAAAAGCAGCTTTAAAATTATTCTCGAACCAGAGATGAGGCCGATCTTTAGACGAGCCCGGGGTTTAAAAAAACCTGAGCAGAGGAATTGAAAAACAAGCTCTTAACTTGTACATAGGCATACAAGTATTTCCTTGCATTGTCAACCCTGTCCAATGCTAAACCTACGCGCGCCCATTAGCTGTGCGGGCGACCTAGCATATGTCAATTTTTATGTTTAAACCTTGGATATAATCAAGATAGGAAAAGTCTAGTGCCTTTACAATACTTCAAGTTTTCATCAGGAATATTGTGTCATGGGCGCCAGTCTGCAGCATTTTTTTTAAATTTTTTTTTCACAGCATTCTAATTGGAAAAAAATGTTTGTGAAACGGGTATCGTATATCAAGCAAATACTGACCAGAATATGTTTTAAATTGATTAATCAAATCTTTTGTGTAGTAGGCCTAATGGATATTTTAAAAGTATGTTATGTTGTCTGCAATTCTGTTAATTGCACCACTGACAACATGGATCGGCTTCAGGTTGCAAAGGCCTTTCAGACTACTCAAACATGACATGTCTAATTAATGTGATGCATGCTGACCAACTGCTTGGCTATTGCGGCCCATGACCCCGGCATGTCATGAATAATTATGTATATCGTTCTTCTTGAGATTCTGGCATTATTTTTACAGAAGCTGTTTTTATTGTTTGAAACCTACCTCTTTCAATATATCCTTCTCAATGAGCCTAGGGTCTTTTTACTCAATGAGCTAACACATGATTCTTTCTGATCATTATAGTAGCCCCACCCACAACATGAATATTCATTATGTCATTTGGCAATCTGACAGTTCACAATGAGCTATACCACACTTCATTTTGCATATTTTATGGTTTTCAGAGCAATCTGCCAATATATCCCATCTCATTTTAACGAGCCCGCAAATTAACCGCAACGCGGTATTTTTCACACCAGGCAACCAGCTAATTCAATCAGCGTCCGTTGGACAAGTTTTCGCGGGACAGATAACGCGATCTGACGGGGACCCCCTACCGGCCTTACGCCGCGCACCTGAGCGGGTGCAGAGGCGTATTAGTCCCGCGGCATTGCTCAAGCCAGTTCGCTCCAGTTTCCTTTTTTGGCGAAGTTCCGTTGCCGTGTTTAAGCTCACCGGCATGCAACACTTTCTTCTCTGTACACGAATTGTGTACAATTGATATGATATTCAACAGAATTTAGTCTTTCTCTAAACATTAAAAAAGCCAACACTGGCTATGCATGGTTGAATGGTACATTACTTTAGCTGCTCACATGTAGCCTCTAAAGTTTATTATTCGCAGGACTTTCGAAGGACTCTCATGTGAATTATTCGATATTTCAAGGTGTAGACAATGATCTGCCATACACATCTAAATAATCACTTGCAAAATTTAAAAGAAACACGCTGTTATCCAATCTGTTCATTGGTCATTTTTTGGCAGAACAAAAGTATACAGAAATGACAACATATAAAAATGGTATTTATTATGAGTTCCAAAACAAGGCCCCAAATTTATACATGTACACATTTTTGTATGACATGTTAATTAAACAATACCGAATTCCTTTTGCTTATTTCATTCGTTTGGCTTACAACAATTTGAAAAGACCAAAAAAGTACCAAGTACATCGCACAAAACTAATTGTTGCTCAAGTTGAAACGCGATCTTCCCGTCCCAGCGGGCGGCGTTCCTGTCGGTCAATTACTGTACACCACTCCACCGCTAGCCTCGGAAGTCGGCCTTACATGCGAACACTATATACACATCTCACCTGTGCGTGTAACCCCCAGGAAAAACAACACCGCGGGCCAGCCCTCGGCCTCCATTTTTATTAATAAAAATGATATTATGATATTTTCAGAGGCCCTTTATTTTGATTTAGGCGGCTTTTCTGTTTGTTGGGGGGGGGGGGGGGTTTGAGCATACTGGAGGGGTTACAACAATATTGAGATTAATTTGGAGACATTGAGGCTGGTACACGTGCGTGTCTGGCAACCCATTCGCTACACGGTATTAGGCGCACAGTGTGTGTGTAGTGCAGGGCTATGTAGGACATCCCAGCGGCTGTTTTATGTACTGCTCTGAAAATAACTCAATTAATTCAATAGTTGACAAGTGGAAGTGTCCCATTGATACGTTTTTACAAGAAAAACCAAACAAACACAAAGTAAAAACCAGCTTTTTTGTGTGCAAAACAGGCCAAACACTGTACGCTCAGAGTTAATATTTTCCCGGGCATACATGTAAAACTTCCGTACGCTCATCAGTCCAAACATCTGATCAATTTTGACTTCCAACGATTTATGTACATCACAAAATTTAGGACGAGTTGACACTTTATACTCTTATACATGAGGCTCCCTAGTTTTCAGGTTTGGATATCGATCTGGGAGTATACGCGCACTTTGGAGATTTCTGTACAGAATGGGAAGATGATTATGAAATGGAAATGACTTACTTGAAATAATACACGGTACATTTAAAATTGCACAGAAAAAAAGGAGATTGCGTGAGTGTGTGTGTTTATTAGAGAAGAAACGCAATAACTAGAAGAGGCATGTCTTTTGCCATCCCACGCATCCCAACTGAACTCGCGGATCTGCGCCTGCCTGAGACTGAACTGAACATAAACATGAAATACAGTGATAGATGATCGGGATATTTTATGTATAAACCAAACAATATATAATTGGTAGAACATCTTGTGGTTTGCATTTATTTGTTTCAAGGGAATATATACATCATTTGCTTTTGCTGTAATTTTTAGAAATGGATGGAATTGGGGGGTTGGAAATATATAGCAAATATAGTTACACTGACTTTTTTGAGGTTTTGGGTTCGAAAATGCTATAACAACCAAGAAAAACAATCATTTTCCTGTAGTCTGGTTCCCTGACTCCATTTGAGAAGAAACAGAGCAGTTTACATTAATTGGGAATTGTAAGGTCAGGGAACCAGTCTAGCTGGCTTGTACCCGTTCATAGGTGTGTAATCGATTGCAAA